CGTTTATGTTCATTTCCACTTAATTATAAAAACTAACCAATAGGGGATCATCTTTTTACTAACATTGGTTAATTTAAATAACCCTTTCAATATTTAATCTCCACCCAATTTATTTGATTTTATCTTGTTCATTTACAAGTTCATTAAGAGAAATAAAATTACCCTATAAATATCAACAAATGATGTATTTAACCCCTATCATTTAACTAAAGTAATACCATTTATATTATTTTATAATTATATAATTGTTGTCAATTATCAGTAAGTTGTTTGTTTTGTTTTTCTATCATCAAAATCAATTTTTCATGAAGGTATGTAATAGATGTATTTTTTTTAAATATTTTTTTCTTTAATGTTTTATCATTTATATTTAATTTGTTAGTTATATTTTTAAATTTAATTTAACTTTATCGTTGGAATCATGAGTCAATTGAAGTTAGATCACCATGGAAAGACTGGAAGCACTGGACGGCCGTTTCGTTCGATTGTGAGACTGCTCAGTAGTGCTGATCCACGACCCCATCTCGTGAGATTCGAACCCAGGATCTATCAGTTTCGCGCTTGTGTACTTAACCACTAGACCATTGAGTCGATATCCGACGGTGTTATTGTCTAACTTCAATAGATCCACGAAGTTGAGCAACCATTTCACCAATGTCTTCAGTGTGTTGATATCTCACAACACACGTGGTTGAAGAGTCCAACAGTAGAACGAAAAGGCCGTCCAGTGCTTCCAGGTTTTCCATCGTAGTCTAGCTTCAATTGACTCGTAATTTCAACTATAAAATTACTGAAATCTCCACAAAAGCCCCTTCTGAGAATTTTATTTAACTTTCAAATAATTGAATTGTGTTTGAGAAATAGTTGTTATGACTTGTGGCTGAGTAGATACCCTGTTAACATATAACGTGATAAGAAAGCCAATTAGAGAGCAGCGATTTGTCGATTGGAACAGTGACACATGGAAACCGTACGAGTAGTCTAGAGTACTTGTCGGTCCTGCTTCTGCCTAGCCCAGCCAGTTAAGTCTAGAACAGCCTCTGCGGTATAAATAATTGTATTTCAAACATACTGAGTTTATATGCCAAACAGACTGACCACATCGTACCATAAAATAGAAAATAACATATTTTCAAGATTTAGCCAAATGTGGCTGTGAATAAGGGGAACAGTAATCAATAAACTGGGTGTAATTCATGAATGGATATCGCATAATAAAGCTCATGATAAGGGGAACATGAATATGAATAATTTAGTTATTAGCAATTATACAATGCATATTATTGGTTCATAAATAGACCCCAAAAGTTACCATTCATAATTCTCTTCGAGATATAACAATAATGCATTTTTTTAAACCGGTTTTCTTAAAATGTACATCAATAATTCATTATTCTATAACATCTTACGAGTTTACTCAGGAATTTATAACTTTGGTAACAATTTCTACCTTAAATAAAAAAACTGGGCACAAAAATTAGAATAAATAGAGAATGTGATAATATTTTATCAAGTGATTTCAATATTGTTGAAAAGTCCCACAATAGGACGAAACGGCCGTTCAGTTCTTCCAGGTTTTCCCTGGTGGTCTAGTTTCAACTGACTAACGCTTTCAATTTTGTTTGTTTGTTTTGTATTAAATTATAAGTAGGTTTTTTTGTTGAATATTAAATCTCATGTTGTTTGTATTTTGATGTTAAATGCCTATTATGAAATGTAAACTTAAATGTAATTTATTAGAATGTATTGTACATTGGTTTTAGCTAGTTTTATAACAAATGATATAAGTTACGGGCTTTCTGTGTTGCTTGTCGAAGTAAACTTTCAGTGAATATAAATTATTTATGTGAATTATTTCTTTTAAAAAATCCGTTGAACTTAAAGTTCATTATAAGCAAAGATGGATAGTGGCTAGAAGTGGAATCCTGTTTCACGCGCGTTTCGTCCTATTTGGAACTCGTCAACTGGATGTACCTGCATCTCAGATTTGTTGATGTTCACCCTGGCACTCGAAATCAGCACCTTTCGCTTCAAACGCCAACACGCTATCCACTCGACCACTGAGTGCTGGTAGCCACTTGCTTGTGCGATGGGGTGAAGTTTAAATTAATTTAGTATTGTTCGTTTGAATCTTCCCATTTAAAGCTCACCCCATTGCACAAGGAAGTGGCTATCATGATTCAGTGGCCGAATGGATAACACGATGGCGCTTGAAGCGAAAAGTATTGAGTTCGAGTCTTAAACAAAACGAAACGCGCGTGAAACAGGATTCCAGTGCTAGCCACTATCCATCTCTGCTTACAATGCTTGTGAGCTAAGTCTATATCGAGACAATACTCACAGTATGCACATAAACCAATCAGAGACTGACCAGTTGCAGTCCTAACCATCAATGGGAAGATCCAAACAAACAATACTAAATGAATTTACAGTTCATTACATTTTGACGAACTGAAATTGAAAAAGTACGCTATGACGTGGGATTCTTTAAATGATCACTGTTTCAATGTCTTTATGATTTGAACTTAGTAGGCTTATGCATAAAAGTGATTATCCGATAATTGATTTGTAGTGCTACCGAGATATTCTCAAATTATTCTCATCAATAATCTTGAAAAAAGACTTCAAATATTGACTCGATAAATGGTCACCATTAAAAAACTAAAAACGGCTCGTCTAATGTTTATTCATTTTCAAGGTATTATTAGTGTGACTTTTCTGAAGGTAATTTACTTCTTGGTTATTTCAAGATCAAATGATTTTATTTATTAAAACGAATGAATATAATATGACGGGAAACACGGTAGTTATGCTCACGTGTACAGCGGGGTTTTTTATCAAAAGCTTTTGTTACTATCTTCAAACTCACTTTGCTCAACATAGCCATGATTTAGATAATTATTAGAAACGGTTTAAATTATCCAGCTGTTGATACTTGTAACTAAATTTTAACAAGTGTTAGTTGGTATATTTAAATATTGTGTAGATTTCCTTGATATAGACACTTTATCACAAGTTTTGTTACGAATAGATGGATTGTGGCTAACAGTAAAATTTACGAAGCGCATTTTAGCCAAGAATATCAACGGGGTGATAGTTTAAACCCTCATCACTAATGATATAAATATCATACCTGTTGTTCAAGGGAGTGGTTATCTTTACTCAGTAGATCATTAGATAATGCATTAGGTGTTTAATGACAAAGTTACTGGGTTTGAGTCCCAGTGTGGATGTAATGTTTGGGATGTAAATATATTTGGCTGACGAGTAGCGAATACGACGAAAGCCGAGTTCTTTATTCTACTGCAAGACGCAATCCATCTGTTTTATATTGTCTTTGTTATTCATATCATATCACTTGGTGATATACTGTTACCGTTGTTATTTATTAGTTGTGTGATTTAAATTATTGACTAAAAAAACTAGTATGAGTGGTCTTATGTTTTGATGAAAACAATTTTGTTAGCTTGCATAACTTGTTCTCATAAATAAAATGTGAAATTTTCATAAATGTTTTGCATATTATCAGTGGAGTTATGTAACTCATCTATCAAGTAAAGTTACACATAGTGGAATTTGAGCTACGTTGTTTCATAATGGTACGCTGATGTAAATCTATGACTGAAAAATAAAATTAGACTGAGTAGAAATTTAAACCTAATACTTGGTGATTTACATATATGTGCTCAATGATCAAGTAACCGCTCCCAACCCTAACAAATTTTCCAGAAATTATACAAACGCTAAAAGTATTTTGACCAGACAGATATACTGTTAACCTCTCATAACAAATCTGGAAAGAGATGAGTTATATTTTCTTCACTATCATTAGACAAATACTGAGTTTATCGCCAGTTTTCGTATCATTTTAAGAGGCTTTCAAAAACCCAAGATCATCCATATTCTAATTAATACTTCATATGCTTTACAACTAATTTAGTTTTAGAAGTAAAATGTCTTCCACATATTTTCTGTCTGAGATTTATGAATAGTACACTTGCTAAAATTCACTTAGTATTTTTTTTTTTGAATATTCCCATTGATGTTTAGGACTGCAACTGGTCAGTCTCTAATTGGCATATGTGCATACTGTGCGTATTGCCTCAATATAGCCTTAATTCACAAGCATGGTAAGCAGAGATGGATAGTGGCTAACAGTGGAATCCAGGGCGCGCGTTTCATCCTATTTGGGACTCGTCAGCTGGATATACCTTCATCTCAGATTTGTTGATTTTCACTCTGGCACTCGAACCCAGTACCTTTCGCCTCAAATGCCATCGCGTTATCTGCTCAGCTACTGATTCCTGATAGCTACTTGCTTGTGCAATGGGGCGAAGTTTGAATTTATCAGTTGCAATCCTAAACATCAATAGGAAGATTGAAACAAACAATACTAAGTGAATTTAAACTCCACCCCGTTGCACAAGTAAGTGGCTATCAGGACTTAGTAGCTGAGTGGATAACTGGAGTATTAGAGTAGAAAATAGAGTACAAAAGGTTGCGTCGAAATTACAATAGCTTTGGAACAGAAAAGGCAATGGCAGTGAATCATACATCAAACGAAAGCTCATGATCTATAGAATAAACTAGGGGCAAAAGTAAATGTTACAGCTTTACAAGCTTTGAGCCAAATGAAATAACGTCCCCAAAAATAGCTTCTGTAGTTTGTTAAGGTTTCTTGTTTAGCGGTTCACATCAATTCAAGGCGTTTAATATCAGTTTTCATATAATCTTTCTTCTATCATATTATTAATGATCCATTTATATGATATTGGAGTCGTCAGTTACATTTTTACAAAATTTCTTATGACGTCTGAAAAAATTTATTCTATTCCCGACATTATTCAAGACTGTAAAAAGTACTTACAAATGGTAAATTATGAAGTTTACTGTTGAAAATTTTCATAAATCAAAATAATAACTGAACTTAATTGATGAAAATTGGCACATTTATAATAATGTTTAGTACAAAGTCGAAATTTATAAAGTTCAGTTTGTACTTGAATTAAACAAGAAAGATTATAATGCCTCCTAATTGGAACTATTAAACTTATATATATATGTCTAATTTATTCATTTTAGAGAACATTTCATCAACATATACTTTGTAATTGTCATATTGAAAGATACCAAATGACAAGTGATAATAATCGTTCAAATTGTGTAAACAATTCACCAATATCAATTAAACCATCAATGGATAGATTACCAAAATGTTCTACAATTGATTTTTATTATTTATTACGTTTATTTATATCTGAATTAATTGGTACAGGAACATTATGTTTTGTTGCTATATTATATAGTTTACCACCAATAACAAATCCAGTATCTGATTGTATTATTGTATTTTTTACATTTTCATGGATTGTATGGATATTTGGACCAATAAGTGGTGCACAAATTAATCCAATAGTAACTATTGCATTTTTTATTACAAGAAAAATAACAATAATACATACTATTCTATTTATAATAGCACAATTAATTGGTGCAATATTAGGTGCATTATTAGCTAAAAATTTAATACCAAATGATTTATCACAATTAAATAAAATTGGTTTAGTTATGAAAAATCCATTAATATCACAAGGTAATGCTGTTGGATTTGAACTTTTTGGTGGATTTGCAATTGTATTAGCTATTCTAGCTACAACTGATGAATTTCGTCCAAATATATGGACAGCTGGATTATTTACTAGTTTACCATTTCAAATGGGAGTTGTTCATGCTTTATTGGTTGGAATATTAGTAAGTTATTTCATAATTCATATTATATATGAATTGTTTATGATTAATATATATTGAATGGTAGCCTGTCAAATTAATGGTATTGTATAAATCATATTACTTAATCATTGTTTTCATATGAATAGTTAACCAAACAGATAAGATAAATTGGCGAGACTATAATTTATGGACGAACCAATAGGTATAGGATAATAGGTCTCCAATCTTGGTGCGAAATTCACTTATCCATCTGGATAAATAGAGTTTTGACATTATAGCTGATGTCAGTTCGTGATGAAAACCCTAAGTATAAATCCTAATCTTAACCATGGACTGTAAATCATAATTCGAATTCTTCACACAGGTTTATAATCCTCATTTAGTCTTAGTTATTATGTTGACGCTCTCAGGGTCACTCTAGCGTCGCTCAAAGGTCGTGCATAAATTATAGTCTCACCGATAAATTTATATGCTTATAAAAATAGATGTTATCTTGTAAATTAAAAGTGATATGTTTTACTTCACGTGTAAAAGATTTTACTTTTAAACTATTACTTACTTACTTACTTACGCCTGCTACTCCCAGTGGAGCATAGGCCGCCGACCAACATTCCCCAACCCACACTGTCCTAGGCCTCCCTTTCTAGTTCTATGCAATTTTTGATCATTTTTCTCATGTCTGTCTTGTGGCGTACCAGAAAGTATAAATAACCAAAAATAGCAATAAAATTATTATGTCCAAAAGTTTATGTAACAATAAAGCAACTTATTAGTTATTAACACAAATAAAAGTTTAGTGACTTTACTTAAATTGGCCGGCTGTTGCATATTCGGTTGAGTTTGGTACCAATAATCCACAATTATAGATAATAAATAATTTCAATACGCTTGATATGGCTCCAGTAAGTCTACCAAACGTAGAATGTAATATGAACGTCAGAATAGTCTATAAATGTAGATGATAGTGAATTAATAGTTCATTTATCATATTCTCAGGCATAATAGAACGAGGCAGGTGTGTATTAGAGTGTATTTATTGATGGGTAGTTACAGTGTCGTGCTACGTTGAATTCAAAAACGGAAGGAAGTTAGTTAACAAGTGTTCAAAGTCATACACTTAAGCAACAAGTACAATTGTTTAGTGATACATGTAGAGAATGTGAAAATACACAAAGTAAGTGCAAAAACTATCAAAAATTGTTTACTATATGGGTTTAATAGTCCTATTTCCACAGTCTCCATTTCTTGGCGTAATGTGTTCTTTGATCTTCCTCTTTTCCTTTGGCCTTCAGAGCTTTTAAACTATGCAAATCACAAATTAACTTCATCAGAACAGAATCATTTGTAGAAAATTATTAATACCGAACAGTAGTCAATTTTATTGTACAAGCTTAAAACTACTCATCAGTAATATTGTAGTGAGCAAGATACAACTGGGGACAATCGAATGTATTTAGACACAAATTACAGACTATCTCACTAAATTCTGATAACCATACAATGATTTGCAAAATAACAACCAATAGTCTCAATCTTCACTGTCCCTTGTATAAATACCAGTTCATCTTCTCTAATTTCATTGTTCATGCATTTTCCTACCGATTGTGCTTCATTTCACTTCTTTCCTTATCGATATTCTGCCAAAATACATTCTATATTTGACCATCACCATATAGTACTTATATGGATATAAGTAGACCACACTACAATATAGTCTATAAATTAATGTTCAAATTTTCAAGTAAATATATTTACGATTGTACAGCTCTAGTAAATGATATCTTAGACATGAAATTATCTTCGCCAGAATGTTTTTATTCTTTTTAGATGTAATCACTCAGTTATCAAACTTATATGAATCGTATATTAATAAAAAGAAGTCAATTACATAAAATCTAATTATTGTATCATAACTACTTAAGTTATTATACTTTTTGATGTACTTATAGTTGTCATGTGTATTTTCAACGTCCAAGTAGTATCGGCAATCGATCGAGCCAGTATATTTTTTTGACAATTTAATAAATATATGATTTTTACCTAAGTAATATAGCATTGCGGTGTTGATAAGTTATTTCATTGGAACACTGAACTTGAAATAAAATTGATTTAGCTATTGAGTGTACATTTAATTAATAAAAGACCTTTCTTCCGGACAAATGTCTAGTACTCTACGCAGTGAGTTTAAAAAACCTACTTGATAGATAATACAACATACGATATTAACTTTCTAGTTGGAAGACTACTTTGTTTTGACAAGTAATTTTGTGAAAACTTGTTCTGGAAATAATTTCCAATTAGTTGCTTTATTATGTAATTACTGATGTTTGTCTTTAGGGTGATAAGTAACAGCTGATGTTATTTCTTTATACCACCCAGGAAGTGGAAGAACTATTGTTTTTTAATAGATGAACTGAAATAGTTAAATGTCAACATATGTTTGTATGAGTTGGTGAAACAGATTAATAATGGTGTAGTTCAACATTTTAAGTCAATGGCCTTTACGCAAACAAATAAAGGGCCAACTAACTAACTTATAATTAATTTTATAAAACCGTAAGCCGTGAGAAAAGGATATAAATTAAAAAATTACTATGAATCATCCATCAGATAGTGCATAATTAAGAGTTAGTTTTTATTATGACTAGTTGTCATTTGGGAAATCAATCAAAGTCTGTTTGGTTAAATACTTCCTAAAATTGTGCGTATTCTACTTTAGATTGGATCGAACTCAGAGACTTCAGTTGGTGTGATCGGTTATTGATCAAAAATACAGAAATCCGGATTTTAGCTTCATTTGATTTAATAAATAGAGTGTTGTATAGATTGCTGAGTTTTGAGAAAAGTTATCAATTAATCCTGGTTTTCAGTGGCCAATCCACGATGTGAAACTTCAAATTTAACAATCTTCTTTAAACCTCATAGTAATAACCATGATAACACTTACTACTTAACTCCACAATGAGCTCTTTTAGGGTTACTGCCAGTCTCAAGCTTGGACAAAGCAGAAGGGTTGGTCACACGGTTAGCGACTTAGCAAAAAAGAACCTTGCTAAAATAAACACAAAAAGTTGCTAACTACTGACAGTCTCCGGAGTTCGAGTAAGAAGCTGTGACCATTCGATTTAAGTTATGTCGCATGTGAGAGAAATGCCATTAGTGAGAATGGATAACGGTTATATAATATTATGTTTTCACATAATCTAGAAATGTAAACTAATGGACGTCAACTTAGATGTTTTACGGTTGAGGGCTTATAACAAGAAATAAAGGTCTTGGGTTATATTGCTGTCGTGGTCATAGATGCACAATACTGAAAAGTCCTATATTAGGACGCAAAGTCTTTTTAATGCTTCTTGTTTTTGAAAAGGTATTTTAAACAAAGTCAACCAGTTATGCAAAAATTCAAATCCATTCAATGTGTGATATTACTTAATTTATCCTTCCAGTTTTAATTAAGTTTTCAATAGTTCTTCATCATGAAAGTTACTTCAAAATTCATTCCATTGAATGATAAACAAATGAAAGGCTAGAAATGTGGACCTAATAAAGAGCCTTCGACCATTCTATTATTATCATGCTGAAAAGTCAAGTTGTATTTGTTAACTTTACTTCCTTCTTTAGATTTAGGTTTGTAAAGTTCAGCTGATCATAGCAAAAGTGATTACTACACATTTTGTATACACAAAAAGTAAATACACATTCAATCTAGTGGTTTGGTTGAAAAGAGAACCCTTTTGGTGAATTTTAATTTGTCAAAATTCATATCAGGATCAACCAACTCAAATCAAGAGTTTACATTAGGCAGTACAATAGTCAAAAATATATTTTATTAAAAAAACATTAGAAGAAAGTTGTTCTCAATTAGCTCATCGTTAAAGTAATATTGTTAATAGTGGCTATTACAGCGGTGAGCATTAGTCTTACCAATAGGTTATGCATTTCAGCAACTTAATTAAGAATGAATTAAAAATTTGTTTTTGCCAGTTGTGTGGTATAGCATCTGTTTCCATATGTTTTGGCGCTAAAACACTTATCGTTTCTTATCAATGATATGGAAGTTAAGAAAATATACACTTAGTATCGCACTCTGAAGTTGATCTTTTAAATCCTAAAATTCGATCAGATTTTTACCAGATTTTCATAAATTTTCTAGATTGACTCCAGACCACGTTATTTTGACGTAAATATAGACCAACAAACCGTAAAGAAGTCCTATAGTGCTACCATATCATAATTGGTATGAATTTCAGACTACATAACTTCCCATCAGTAGATTTCACGGTCGTTTAACTAAAAGTCGTCACATTGAACTTTTTATTTCAAAAAAGAGATTTTTCCAAGTTTATATTCTCAAGTCAGCGACAGGGATCGATAAAACTTATTAACAGTCATATTCTTACTGAGAGGACTTACGAACAACTGCATATTTATCATAATTCTAATAAAGAGTATATTTTATACATTAAATGTTATAGGAACCTTTAATTGGTTGTAATATTTGCTTGAATCCGACTTCAGTAGATTGAAAATAACCTAGATTGTTTATACGAATATTCGTCAAGATTAGAACGAATAGTTTGACAATAATTGGGCGCCGAGTATAGAGAATTCATTATATGTGAAAAAATTATATTTGAAATAATCTCAGCGATTGAAATTTAAATAATTCCAACGTTTCGTCCAGCTAACTTGTCTGGACTTCTTCAGGGAAATAATCAAAATCAAAATCATCAAAGAAATATATAGTGTTTTTGCAATCATATCAAAATCTCTACTACTTTTTAATCCAATCATATTTGGATGTTGAAGTTTTTGTACAACAGGATAATATGAGTCAGTTGAATGAGAATCAAGTGAAAAGTTCAACGATGTGAATTAAAGGAGACTGCATAAATTGTGTGTATGTATGTATGTGTAAGATGAGTTATTAATGATGAATGATATTCAGTGTTGAAATGTTTCTATGTGAAGTAAAATAGGAATAAACGTGCATAATGAAGGTTGAAAAGAAGGTTGAATAAGAACAGCCTAAACATAAAGGATGGTATTCAGCTAGCTAGCACTTGGCAAATATTCATCAACGAGTAATTTGACCTTTTTCTTTTATTCAACCTGTTTACTTCACATGAATCGTTATTATGACTGAAATCAATATGAGTTATGTTTAACATTACAATTTTTGTACTTGATGATTCTCATTTTATTTGCAACTTCGATGATTCAGAAAGGAGAAAAACTTTTCAACCTTCATTTTGCACTTTTATTCCTATTTTACTTCACATAGAAACATTTCAACACTGAATATCATTCATCATTAATAACTCATCTTACACATACATACATACACACAATTTATGCAGTCTCCTTTAATTCACATCGTTGAACTTTTCACTTGATTCTCATTCAACTGACTCATATTATCCTGTTGTACAAAAACTTCGACATCCAAATATGATTGGATTAAAAAGTAGTAGAGATTTTGATATGATTGTAAAAACACTATATATTTCTTTGATGATTTTGATTTTGATTATTTCCCTGAAGAAGTCCAGACAAGTTAGCTGGACGAAACGTTGGAATTATTTAAATTTCAATCGCTGAGACTATTTCAAATATAATTTTTTCACATATAATGAGTAACCTAGATTGTCATTACCAATCATTTGTTCTTTATCACTTTAGTAACAGTTAATTATTTTTGTTCAGGCTAGATATTCTGGAGCGGGTTTAAATCCTGCACGTTGTTTGGGTACAGCTGTCGTTGCAAACGACTTCACTGACTTGTGGGTAAGACGTTAACAATTTTTGAGCCTTTACAATATGGATATATAATACACCATGGAAACTTATGGTTCTTAACAATTTTTTAACCACGTGATTTACTAATTATAAATTTGTATATTTAACTTTACATTCTAAATGTGGACAACATATGATTTGTGGTGGGATAGTTTTATACATTTATGAGAAATATATTAAATGTTTTGTTTAGCAATTGCTAACCTTTGGTGTCATTGATGGGAATGTATATCTCTAAGTAACATACGTTGATTATTGTGCAATTTAACCAATAATTTTATAGTTGAAATCACTAGTCAATTGAAGCTAGACCACCATGGAAAACCTGGAAGCACTGAACGGCCGTTTCGTCCTATTGTGGAACTCCTAAGCAGTGCGCATCCATGATCCCTCCTAGAGAGATTCGAACCCAGGTTCTATAAAATTACTGAAATCTCCACAAAACCCCTTCTGTTAACCAATAAGCTAAATATATGTAATATAGATTAAGTGAAATTATTATCGTATAATAATGAAATCTGAAAATTAATGACTATCTATTATAGAGAACTATAAGTAATGATTGCTAAAGAGAACTAGATTATGACAAAATCATATATATTTACTGCAATCTGATTTCAGTTGATATAGTAACTAAGTTTAGTAAGAACAGGGTACTAATTAACTTTGAATTAAATATATATGTTATCCCCGAACTTACCAAAAAAGGTGAACTGATTCATACAAATGACCATACAGATTAAGGGGTTTTTTCCCATGAAATTTATGCTACTGTTATGATATGTAAATTTAAGAGAGAGTTTTTACTCACAATGAATTATAATGAAATGAATACTAGAACACTTATTCATTTCACTTTATTTTTTTCTTTGCATATCATTCTGAAATAGGTTTATCTTGTCGGTCCATTATGTGGTTCCTTAATTGCTGTAATTCTTTATGAAGTAGTCTTATCACATGGTGTTTCATTAGATCGATTAAAAGCTTGGTTGACTAATCCAGATTTCGATCGCAATGTGGACTATACTTCTAGAAATGAAGTATTTAGTGTAAGTTCAATAAAAATCAAGTTTAAAATATCTTTTTTTCAAGACTCAAAATATTTATCATGATTAAAAAAGTAGACCAAATCTTACAGGAGTTTGAGTATTCTATTATGTTTGATCAGTGATCAATCAATATATTGGTACCTCTGTACAAATTACGATGTCGTGAATGTCACTGTCACGCCTATTTAAAAGGTTAATTCTAGGAAAATATTTACGACCGATGTCCCTCCTGATAATCAGTGAAACCATTAATATAGGTACATAGAATGTTAGAGAAAATGGGAGAAATTTGAAAGGACAATTAAATAGCTTTGCAAATGTGCAGATACAACATGGTGGTTCTCAGAATATGTGAAACGTATTGAACAAAAGCTCGACAGAGAAGTTTAGATTCGAGAGAGATGCTGTTATGCTATGGTCATAAAAAAGAAACTACTTTGCACACACAAGAATTTGGATTGATACTGTCCAGAAGAGCACGAATCGCACTTATACGATGGAAATCATATGGATCCAGGATCATCGAAGCATTTCTCAAAAGAAAGGAGTGAATCACAATGAATTTCGTCCAGTGCTATGCACCCAACAATGATACCAACGACGACAAAGATAGAAAAAGTAAGGGCAGAATTCCTACAATTGAATAACATAAGGAACTCAAAACAATTGTCAGTCAACATCAAAGTCAGAATCTTCAATACAAACTTAAAGACAGCCCTACTGTTTTGAGCTGAAACGTGGAAATCTACTAAAACCATCATCAAAAGAGTTCGAGTATTTATAATCCATGTTCCACACAACATACTCAATGTCCGTCAGCCAGATAATATCAGCAACAACTAACTGTGAGAGAGAACAAATCAGCTTCCATTCAGAAAGGAAATTCGAAAGGACTCTGCAGGTGGGTTGAAAATCATCATACTGCATCACTACGCAATCCATAACTTGGAATCCTGAACGGAAGAAAAAAGAGGATGACCAGATAACATAATGAGTCTGGAATCGGAAGCTGACATCGAAAGAATGAATTGCAACTGGATACAGTCAGTCAGTCACCTACAACGTAGGACCAGTCAAATATATGCGTCGTTTCAAGTTGCCATACCCTATTAGCTAAACAAGATGAACAAAAAATCCATAGAAGTAGTTACTTCAGCTGTAGTAAGTGTAAAGTGAACTTTGCATAAGGTTTTCTCAATTTCTTGAAAAAGCTAAATACTCACATGTAGTACTCGTAGTAGGGGATTTTAATACGCAGGTAAGTGGCTTAAACTAAACGGAAAGACATTTAGGCGAGTATTTTATTGTTTCAGCACAGTAAACAGATAATGGTGACCTTCTGCTGCAACTTTCAGTCAGCTACAATGTAGGACCAGGCACATATATGCATCGGCCCAAGTTGCCACAACTCATTAGCACAACAAGATGAACACCGTATTCGGAGAAGTAGTCACTTCAATGGCAGTAATAAGTGAACACAAAGATTGTTTATAAGGATATAATACAGGAAGAAAGAATTAGTTCGTAGAAAGAAAGGTATAAAGCAATTTTAATCTCAAGGTTTAAGGAAAGACAAAGAATGTATACACCCACGCCATTATGATCAATTCTGAGCCATATCACCAAGAATCACCAACCATTGGTTACGATAGTCACGCGGACCCCAACCAAGTAGTCTGCATCTACCAAAATGCCTCAGACTAAAAGCTAGTGACTTCAAGAACTGATGTCACGCTATGGTTTAACCGCCCCTAACTTTCTTTCAACCATCCCCAATAATCTTCAGCGTTGCGCGTCGTGGTAATCGGTGTTCAGTCATACGTACCACGTGGCCCAAGCATCTCAGCTGATGAAGATTCACAACCTCATCAACTGATTCACCATCATTCCCTAATACCCTGCATCTAACCTCACTGTTACTTACTCGGTGATCTCATCAGATGCGAGCAATATTTCTAAGACATCTTTGATCAAATACTAGTAACTTACGAGTATCTTCTACCCTGAATGGCCACGTTTCGCAGCCATAAAGTAGAACAGAGCGAAATGCTGCACAGTATACTCGTCCTTTAATTGATAGACGGATATCTCGTCTTCGCCATAGGTGACGTAAGTTGGCAAAAGCCAAACGAGCTTTTTGAATCCGTGCTGAGATTTCGTCAGACACCAACCCATTAGGGCTGATCAGACTTCCAAGACAATCGAAGTTGTTGACGCGTTCGATTGCTTCACTCCCTATCCTTAGTTCAGGTGTTGATGCAGGCCAGTGTTGGAGTAAAAATTTACATTTAGAGGGGGAGAAATGCATTCCAAACATCCTTGCATTGTTACTCAGTGCGAACAGAAGATTCTGCATTTTATCAGCGTGTACACCAAACAGGACTACTTCATCTGCGTATTCTAAGTCGACAAGTAGACCTCCTGGTAGAAGATCAATTCCTGAAAATTCAATCGATGAGAGTGTTATTTCCAGCAATAGGTCTATAATGAAGTTAAATAAGAATGGGGATAGTGGACAGCCTTGCCGGACACCTTTTGAGGTTGTAAAATCAGATGACAGTTGGCCATAAGCTCTCACTCGACTGATAGTGTTCGGGTAAAGAGCCTTCACAAGGTTTATGTACTTCTGAGGTGTACCATTCAATGACAAACATTGCCACAGAGCCTCTCGGTCTACAGAGTCAAATGCTGCCTTTAAGTCAAGAAAAACTATCATTAACGGGCGCTGATAAGCATGTCTGTGCTCTAAATCCTGACGAATAGGGAATATGTGGTCAATGCAGCCACGACCAGGTCTTGAGCCAGCTTGATTTTTTCGTGTTTGGAGTTCACGAGTCTTTGTTAGGCGTCCGAAAATTTTTGAGACTAGTATTTTAGATAGTATATTAATTAAACTAATCCCCCCATTGGTTATTAAAAGATGATTTTGATCCTTTCTTATATAATAGGACAATCAGTGATTAAGATCAGTCACATAGGATTATGTCCAGTCCCCAGAATTTAGCTAAAATTTTAGTCAACCTAATAGGTAAAATTGGACCACCATCCTTAAAGACCACTAGAAAACTCTGGAAATAACTGGGAAGGGACAACCAGGGAAGGGTTGATTGGCAAGCCCTGTTTGGCGGCCTATGTTCTTTTACGAGGAGTAACAGGAGCAAGTATATATTTGTCTGGAGGTTAAGCCCTCACCGCGATACAGAATATTTGGATTCGACCGATGACGTTATCTTGAGCATGTACTTACTTACTTACTTACGTCTGTTACTCCTCGTGGAGGAGCACAGACCACACACACACGAGCATGTACTTTTTAGTTATTGAGGAATTTCTTCAAAGCTATTCATGAACGTTATATATCGATCGTCCTGGTAACCGTTATTATCGTAATTACTAACGGTGTATAATTTTAGCATACAATATGAAATTGTTGTAACAGTTTATTTCAGCACAACACAAACCAAACGATTGACGAGCGCACTATGTGAAAAATCAGTTTACGAGATTATTAAGTAACGCGAATGAGAATGAAATAATGGATTTTAACAAGTACATATATATAGGCATGAGAATGAAATATCAGTCGGTTTCAGTAACTGACATTCAAGTGAGTAAGTGAAGTAGGTACGAGAGCTGTAACATGTGATCACTCATACGCGTTCAAGTAAGCATGGAAATACAAAACATTGAGATACAGGAAAGTTATTACTGTCACAAAGAACACCATCTGTCAGTTGCATCAATTCATAAAATAGTTTAATCATAGAAAAATATACAAAGCCGAGCGGTGAGGATAAAATGTAGATCTCTTCCAAGATAAAACAGATGTCCAGCACTTGAAGATTTTCAGTGGTTGTCTTACGAACATTGGTCAGTGATGTTGTGTAGATAATTAAAATAGACTTATTTTGTAATTAGTTTTCTCCATTATTTGCATTTTTCATCAGTTCTCATAAATTGCACATTTACCATTATTGACTGTAAAATTGTTGTTCAAAAAACATGACCTTTGATCTTCCGTTCCGTTTTCAACCCCCCCTCTTAGCTTGGCACATTGATTCTTGTTCAGAAATATTCTGCTGCACATATATGCTTCTTTTTTCACTTATCCGCTGTTACAGAACTATAATTATAATGCACATTAATAATCCGAATTGAGACAAAGCACATTGAATTTTTTGAAATTATTTCATACAGTCGAAACTGAGTTAGTTATCGATTGAGTAAGCTACGTTGAGCTTCATTGACGTAGTTTGTTGCATTATGTTCGTCATCAGGCTCATCATTTCAGTGGTTCCGTATCTGAATCTTGGTCAGAAGGCTGCGTTTCAATCACGTCGGGCTCACCAGATAATAATGATGAACTAAAATATGTCAATTCTAAAAATAATGACAGTTATTTCGAAAGAAAATTATTGGGTTAATATACCAAATATAAATTATGCACACAAGAAAAATAAACTAGACGTTACTCAGACTGTCAGGAATATGCTTGGTTGAGTTTCTTTTGGTCTTTTAATCCACAATTATAGGTAGTTATTAATTCCACCAATGATTGCTATAATTCGAGATGTGCGTCCAGATAAAGCATGTAATGAGGTTATCAGTGTGATCTATAAACACAGCAAATAATTTAGAGTTCTGCTATCGTAACAGCGGATAATTGAAAAAAAATCATATATGTGCAGCAGAATATTTGTGAACAAGAATCAATGTGTCGTGCTATGGGGGAGGGGGTTGAAAACGGAACGGAAGATCAAAGTTCATGTTTTTGAACAACAATTTCACAGTCAATAATGGTAAATGTGCAATTTATGAGAATTAATGAAAAAATGCAAATAATGAAGAAAAGTAATGACGAAATAATTCTACTTTAACGATTCCCAAAACATAAACTGTTAAAAGTTCGAGTTATCAAGTTAATTTCTCCTCCCGATTAAAGATTTAGTTACTTTGAGCATTTAAATTTAATTTGATCTAGAAAAACTAATCTTTTAGGCTCTCAAGATGACTTGCTGTAAATTATACATAATGTCACAAAAGATCTATCGTTTAATTAGCAGTAGATGTCCGTTCAAAAGAAACTGTTAGTTAGTGGGTTTAAAAAATCACGTAAATTCAAGGATACTCGATGTTTGTTTTCCCCACTTAAAGATACCCCACAAGTGAGCCACTTTAATCTGTCCAATGGTCGAACCTTAAATAGGAAAATTATGGAGAATAAAAAATAAAGATGTACTGGCTGTCGTTTTTGAAGGATGGTTAACTCATGATACTACTTAAATCATAACTGAGGTTACTAACTGTTTATAGTCAGCTGTCACATACATAAGTGTATTTTGAGTTGTTTTCATAATAATGACTCAAGTATCAATGTTTATTATGTCAACAGTAAGTTTCTGATGTAGTATAGATAATTTAAAAATGAATTTTTGATTGCTTTTTTTCAGGATTAAGAATGAATGTAAAATCGTATCATCCACTGGCCAACTATAAAGATATTTGTAAATAATAATAGAAGCGATTGTCATGTAAACACTTTCACAAACTAAATAAAGTAGTCATATTCTACGTTCAAAAATGTTACACGTGCACAGGTATTAGTTAATTTAAAATAAAAGAGATAAATAAACGTAAATATTATCATTTTTGTCCATTTTATTGATAAATACTTAGTGTTTGTTAAATCCGTTCGTCAAGTGATAACATATTGTTGGTGTCATCAAAGAAATTAAGTTTCCGGCATAAGTTACAGGATTGTTAACTGGTGCCGGAAATAAAGAAACCATGATCCTGTTCTACTATTGAGTATTTACAGGAGCAAAATCATTTGTTTCTCTGATTGTTAAGGTGGATAATTTTAAGATCCTCCTTAATTTAGTAAGACTCCAGTCACTAATTGCTTGCTCCCGAATACTATTGGTTATTGCGCTTGAAGTAACAATTTGGACCATTACGTTTCATGTTAAATTACTTTGCATAAAGCCTTGATGCAAACCCTATCTGTAATAGGGTATTTAACGCGTTATTGATCAAAGGTTTTATCAGGGTAATTATATGATTCAGCAAAGTCGTAGTGGCCTATATAGACTCCTCATAATGCCGACGTAAATATATACATGATATTCAAATTAGTCATTGTTAAATATTCACTTTAAAACCTGAGTGTATACGTACGTATCTGTTTGTCTACAAGCTAATAAGCCGCCTATGTGCTTGCCTTCGTTTAATTTGCTCTTTATATTATGCGAAAGATCGATAACGCTTGACTGGCATTTATGAGATAACATTATGATTTTCTGTTCATTTTTATTGTCTGCCTACTTGCACATGAATGTCTACAGTAAAATTCTCCCATTATATTTCATATTTGGCTTTTCTTACCAGTGTTGAACATTAGGGTTGGCCTAAGTATGATGTGTGAAATGAAACTGAAAATTATATTTCATGGGTCACTCATCATCGTCATTATTGGAGTCAACTTAAGCTATTTAATAGCACATCTAGAAGACTGGCCAGGGTTAAAGTAGAATTTAGTCATTTCTGATGCATTAATAGGACTCATCTAGAGATGTGTGGAAGAAGGCACAAATATGTTGTAAATATGTCAAAAAACGCGTCTTCAGTGGAGGATTAGGCGTCAGTAGAAATTTCTAGGACGTCCTTGGTATAAGGTCGGCCAAAGTGTAGTGTTGTGTCATAATTACAACCCATCCAAACATTTGTTGACGTTAGCTATTGCGTTTGTAGACAGTGTAACTGTTATCACAGGAGATAATCCTATCTGTCTGACTTTCTTCGGGAAACTCCTGTCACTTGAGTTGGAAGGTGAGTATTAACACTGATTTTTAGCGTTCAATAAGATTATGATATCTGGCATTTTCTAGTATTTTTCCGTTCAGTTAGTAGGCGAATATTGCATATATGAGTGCAGTTTTCACTGGAATTTTCATTTTAACCGTTTAAAGCTATCCACGTGTGTCTTTTGTAATCACAACACTGCATCCCAATTTGTCAGATAAAAAACAAATAAAATAAAAAATGGTGTTGTAAATGGAACCCTAAATAAAATTTATGCTCTTATATGAAGTATTCCCTCACCAAATGAACGGGAAATTGGTAGATATTGCCCAGATATTAGACACTGAGAAGCGGATGAGGTACAAATTCACGGACGATTCCTATCCTGGATTCAAAAAAGAATATCGTAATTGTTTAGCTGTTATACTCACATCCATTTATTACTACTTTACTTATTTTTGCAGCACTTGGTTCAGAATCCAAAAACGGTACTGTCGAGTTTGCCCACTACTTTCTAACTTGAACATTAGTCTTATGCACCGGTAGTCGATTCCATTATAGGAGGTCGAGGTTGATGCCGGTGATCTTGATTATATGTATATGACCTAGTATATATTTCGTGCCTTAAGGTAACTATCGCGCTATTGATAGAAGAAACCAGAGAAGTAGTGAATAGGTCTTTATTTCGATCTTCGCGCAGTCACAGTGGAGCGTGGGTTTATCTGTTCAGACAAACAAAGGCTCTCAACATTCAATATAAGATAATAGGGAATATAACGCTTACAAAAAGTAAGGAAGTGAATGAATACCTGAACAATACTGTTTTAGCATATGCATGGTTGTTTGGGGTCAACTCTTAACCAACCAACCTCAGCTGTTACATATACTCTGTCGACTTAACGCATTTAGAGCAATTATGTTGTAGGATCCTCCATAGGAGTTTCACGCGATTGTTCAGGATATAATTAACTAAGTCATAGATGATAAATTACAAAGGGAAGTTATGAAATGCCTCAATAAGTTACAGTGGCTTATTTAGTGATCAATCTAAAGAAACTACCTGCGGATGTATTAAAAATCCCGTATATATCAAACAGAACAGGTCGATGAAAGGGATAGCGAAGCTCTGTTCAGCTGCTTATAGACAGAATCTACAAGTAAAGAGTGGAGTACTTGTGAGCTGGTGATTCAAATTATCTTCTTTCGCTTTCAAAGACTTCACTGGGACTGAAAATACGGTGGATATTCGGTATCTGAAATCTCTGTGATATGTCGCATATAGGTTGTCTGGCGTAATTTCCCGATGTCCACGTTTTAGGGTTTCCTGCTGATATATAAAAGTCTGATAAACCTGCACGGAACATAAGTTACTTTTTTTGTTTCATTAGAATAGGATATGTTCTAAGCTAAAAGTAAAGCTGTATGCTTTCAGGTTGAGGAATTATTGTTTTTTTGATTTCTTCAAATGTCTGGGTAATACTTTTGGTTGATCAGTCCACATCATTCTATATTATACTTGATAATGTTTAGCAGACTGCCCAATGTCCAGTGGTCAGCAAAGGAAACTTCAGCTTAAAATATAGCTTATCTAGAATCCAGACGTATTTCACAGAATTTACAATTTGGACTTCACTTCGAACACATTCATTCTCTATGGTCTGGTTATGCTAAATAAGCCAGATATTTTTAAATTTTGAACCGGATAGTGTGTAATCAAGAGTCACTCTCGGAAACTTAAAGATAAATTTATATCAGACAGACAGCGTAATTCTACTGAACGAACAAACTAATCTAAGCAGCCAGCAGTGTAAGAATATACCATGAGATTGACAAACTGTGCAATCTGTCCAAACGTTCGTGTAGGAACCCAAGCATATGTGAAATAGGACTCTGCTATAAACATTTCAAAAGTACATAATTTACCGAAAGTCAACAGCCTATTAACGTGTTCAAAGAAATGCACAACCAGGGTACCACACATTCTATGTAATTCTAGTTGTCTTCAGAATAATAGTATATGATTTCCTGGTAACATTGGAAGTTGTCGGAAACAAGTTGGTGCAAAGTAACTAAATATTAAAGAAGGGAAACGTTATGGTCGGCAAATACCTTCAATGTGGTTTCTGAGCCTTTGAAACTCAAACGTTAGTCCTGGTATTTCAAAACCATGTTGCATGTGGCATAAAACTCATTCGGCTGACTTTATAGTTGTCCGCTTCTGGAACCTTGAAAAAAAGAAAATTTCTTCCGGAATCGACTAAGTTCATTACAAATTGTTCATGTAATGGACAGTGGTAGGATTTATGAAACATCTCTGGTGAGTGACATAAGAAACATAGAGAAGTCTATTTAGGTACTTGTATGCCCTTTGTCGTCATGTACTAAAGTACCTGACTGGGAATACTGATGTATCACCACTGTCGCCTATCGGTTTCTCATGCCTATTTTTCAATATTCTATTATATATGCAAAAGAATCGCTAAGTTGATTCAAGGAACATCTATATATACTGAATCTTTGTACTATTCTTCCTTTCTAATATTTAAGTTTTCTGTTATCTGTCTTGCTAACACCTATTTTCTCTTTATTTTTTAAATGACAAATTAAAATTCCCCATTCTTTTGAACATATCTATCTACGATACTCATAACACTGAATTATTTAAGCTCCATTAACATCAGAAGTAAGAGCAGCTTGCGTAACTCATGCTTTCACTATCTTGTTTGAAAGAATCGGAATAATTTGTCATAATGTTTAGTTGAAACGAACATAAAATGTCGTCGTTCTCGACTAGTTTCTCCCTTAACACATGTCGCGTCAGGATACAGCGTTTTAGTGGCAAACAAGTCCTTGAAATAAATGGTATAGCAGATTATCAGCATGGATAGCGACCTCATTCGTTTTATTGGACACGGTCCAAGCTGAGGGCCTTTGGTCAACTGTCTGGGTCGGAACACTTCTGACCTGCTCCACAACTGTAGACCTGCCATGATGTGACTACCTAATCTATCAGTCCTTTCGTGGAAATCACATCATTATCTTTACTGACCCTTTCCTGCTATGATCTTCTGTAGAATAGATTTGGGCTGGAGATAGAATAATACATTTATTGTGTAAAGCAGGAGTTTAAATAGAGTGGCCATCCATGCATTACTGGGCCATGACGTCTCGATTAAGTGTTCTCGTGTTCACCACTTCTGTTATCAAACGTTCGGCTTCAAGAATCGCTTGGTTAAGACCCAATACGACTAAACTGTCACGTAATGTACACTATTGATTTAGTTAGATAGTCGTTTTAATAGCGCAATCACAAATAGTGGATCTACTCAAAAACCCCATCTGTTGTGAATGTTGAAATTTGATATCTTTGTAATCAGGATTAAAGCAGACGTAATATGTATGTGTGCATTCATATATGCTTCTTGGTTTAAAATTGTTTCACCAAATATGATTCACTTGTCCATACATCATAATCTCGTCAAGAACTATTTCGTTATCCTTTAAGAAGAAGGCATCGCAATATGCTGGTGACAGTACTGAAACGTTTTGAATTTTGTGTGATAGAAGTACATGTTAACTAGTATTTCCCATAACTGTCTAATTCAAACCCTACTAGCTACATATAGACACGTACTCAAGGGAGAAAAAACTTTATCAGAATGGTTCAAAGTAATGCATTTACAATTGAGATTATCAAGGAACAATGTACAAAGAAATCCTTGTAGTATATACATATATATCACAGATTGTTTAACCTGTATTTTGCAGATCGGCAAGTTCGTAGAGTTAGTCTTCACACTAAGTAATGTCAGCAGAAATAGATATCAATTAAGCCACTGAAAAAGAACATTTAACTGTATTTTTATTCTGAACAGTGCAACATTGAAGTTGCCAAGATTGCACAACATGTATGCATAAAGTTTCCACAAGACTCACTCGTTAATAACAGAACGTGATTGCTTCAATTTCAAGTTCTGGAAATAGTGTTCCTAGATAACGTGAACAAATCATTAATCAAGATTAAAAATAAAGGTAGACAGTTATGATAACAAACATTATTATTGTAGTTGTTTATTTGGAGGTTCAGGGTTTTGTCGAAATAAACAGGAATGGCGTGAATTTCTAGCTAACGTGTAAATGTCTCAGGTGGATGAATAATTCGGTTTAGGTTCAGAAGCTTTTCAGTGACCCTTCAGTGTAGTCTTAAAACGTAGGTGATGAAAATAGCATGGGTGTCAAGGATTATAATGTCAGCAATTCAATTACACCAAACATAGTAATGTTGGACCAAGATGTGGATTATTAGATGAAATATAGTTTCTGAAAATTTACTGATGCTACACAGCGTTTATATATGTTTAAAAAAAACAAAACTGTTCAAGTAACTCTGAAGTTATGAACCCGGATCGCAACCTAACTACCAAACAAAAGGATTGAGACCATAACATACCCGAAAACCCAGGAAAAAATACCTTTCACAGTGGTTCTGTCGTAATCATAAAATTAAGAGACACCTCTGACTTTCCTTTCAGTCTGCAAGTCAAAGAGAACACGCTGCTCCAAGAAGGAATAAGTAGGGAGCTCAAACTTCCCATGGTGGAGCCACAGACGGTTACCTGACTTACCCGGGGCAAAAGTACCAAGCATTAAAGTCCTCCAAATCTACTTTATGTGATGCAGAGGATATATGAATATTACGTGATATATCATTGTTGGGATGACCCTGCATTTTTCTCGCAAGCGACATGACAAGCTCATGAGTCATCAAGGAGCACTTCAACCAATCAGCGGTTAATTAGAAGTTGTGTGAAGTTATGTTACTACAATGACGAGAATGAAAAAGTCACATGTGGGGATCCTGATTGGCTGACTAATATACTGCTACTATGTTTAGAAGTATTCTAGAATTTTCGGTAAAACTCAAGGACTCTTAAATTGCTATAAAATCCCTATATTTTCTGTACATAAATGAATACTGCAGTAAAGTGCTTACCACACAATTTGTGCCTTTTCTCTGGTCTTCAAGTCGCGGAGTAGTTCTAGCTCGAGGGTACGGAACTAGCTTAGGGAAGCGAAACAACGTTCAAAATTGGTCAGACGTAACACCATATTCCGAGTAAGATTTCATCAGAGACATGCTCAAGAAATCTCAAGAAATCTTCTTTCTCGAAAGAAATATCATTGTGCAAGGTGTCCAAAAATTACGGACTCTGATTCTGCAGACTATTATATTTTAGAGTAGAAACTTATAAAATAGTAATCGAATCTCAAGCACACATTGACTTAACAAACGGTGCGATCGGCCAAGAAGGACGAGGATTTCAGACCACAGCTAATGGAGATAACCTTTCCTATCATCCCGAACGGTGGATAACACTCAAATCATTTCGTGTTAACCGACTCTGGTTGCTTAATGAAATCCATATACATCACATGATGCAACATTTGAGCACAAAAGACAGTTGGAACGGACTATCACACTCGTGGAGTGTCAAGAACAAATGAAAAGGTAGAAGAGACATAGACTACCACCTCTGGAAACGTTTGGGATATAGGTGTTCGTTTCATTTACATCAGGCTCATTCAGATGAACAGGACAAGGAAGCTCACACGTTTCAAATCGAAAGCATGAACTGTCTATGGACGAATGCCGCTGGTTAGCCGGATAAGGTTGATGAAATTTGCAAACTAAGTAATGCTAATAATACTCAACGGATAGGGACATCTGAATAATGGGTATCTTACATTACGGATGAGACGCCTTTGTTTCGCAACGACTGAGTGTGAACAAAGTAATCCTATACCCACATCTTGCTTGGTGTCATCTCAAGTGTACACCCAAGAGATTTTCAGTCTTATGCATCTGTATGGCGCTTAGTAGTGTAGTCTATCGTATGAATTGCAGAAGATGTTGACGAGTTTTTCAGGTACACGATAGTGTCAAAAAAGGTTCCATAAGTTTCTCCTATCCACACGGTCTAATGCTTCCTTACAATCAAGTAAGTTGGTGTTAAGTAATGGGTTCCATTCAGTTGGTCATTCAATGATGATCCATAGTTTTCTAATTTGCTCAGATCTCCTTTCTTTGGTATCTTGATGAGGTATTCACCTTTCTAGTCCGTCCGTTCCTCTTCTCCCTACCAAATCTCACTGAATAGAACGTGAAGAATCTTTAAAGTCATTTTTAAATCTGACTCCAGTGCTTCAGCTGGTATATTGTCAGGTGCTGCTGCTTTCCTACTCCTGATTTGTCTGATAGCCACCCTGATTTATTCGACCGTTGGTTAAGTGAAAAACATAGGAATACTTTTTTGTGATGCTTTGGTGTCCGGTGGATTCAATGGAGCTGGTCTATTTATGAATTTCTAATAGTGTCCTACTCACCATTCCCGTTCTTCATGAATCTCCGTGACTGACTTGCCTTCTTGGTCATTGACCGGTCTCTTTGGTTTATCATACTTCCTTATCAGTTTCTTCGTCGTGTCATATAATTGTTTCATACTTCCTTCTCTTGCAGCTTTTTCCACTTTCCTTTCTCGGTCTCACACATATTTCTGCCTGTCAGTTCTAATGATACTCCTCATTCGCTTCTTTGCTTCCATGTATTCAGCTTGTGCCTTGACTTTCTAACTAACTGCTTGGCTGTTGTTAGTTGCTGTCTTGTTGTTCTTCCCCTCTTGAATCATGTCCAGGGGTTCGATGGAGATCCATTCGTTATGATGATGCTTGTTGCGGTCCGGCTCCTCTTGGTACGCGGAAGTTAGTTCTTCTTTGGTCCATTTTCAGTTGCTCTCCAAAGTAGTTTCATCATCTATGAGTAGATCTCGTAAAGCTTGGAACCTGTTGTTGAGAGCTATCTTGATTTTGTTGATTTTTTCAGTATCTCAGAAGCAGTATCTGACCATTGTAATGTTGTTCCTCTAGTTTTCCAGTTCTTCTCTAGCTCCAGTATCATGGCACACAAGGAAGTGGGATTAAAATTGATTTATATCTTTCTTACTACAAACTAATTCTTTCCTTCTGTACTATATCCTTAAATACATACTTAAATACCCACTTAAGCCTAATTCGAATACAAACGTAGTGGTTATTCCCAGAAACTGGAATGACAATGTAGCAAAACGAACCGTATACATACCTTTTGGCCTTTACAAGTAGTCAAATTCTGGAGTTCTCTTCCGGGTGAGCCCGTTCAATCGACTTTACATGAATTCTTTTAAAAGGGAACTCAACATGTTTTAAAGGACGAAGGACAGTGTTTTATTATTATTTACTGATGCTTTTTCTCTTTTATAGTCAAATATACCCAGGTTCCTACCTTGAGGCATTGTCGATCCACCATTACTAGATCTGAAGGGCTGCTTAGCGAAAGCCTTTTCCATCTCGTGCAGAGCTACTTGACCCTTATGAAAACTGTATTGTAATTTGAAAACTATGAGTCTAATTTCGGTTGTGTGCGTTACCAGCGATACTGTTTTATGATCTAAGCTATTTTGCCTATAATATTATCTCCCAGATATATAGCTTAGTGTTGCATATGCATATTACAGATCGTGTTTATATGCATCTATCCTGTATACTCTTAATTTGTATTTGGCTTTTATTCAAAATCACTTCTTCAATATGTACACACACTAACTCCCACACTGACTGAAGTTTTAAGGATGTGTGAAGGGATATTTGTTTATACCAAAGTCATTTTCAAGTTTGAAATGAGTTGATAGAGCCAGCATTTCGTTTTAAATTACGTTCATATCGTTATTGTGCGGTGTTTAGACTGTTTAATGTCGGTCAAGCCGTTTCTGGTGGACTATCGGCTTTTCTGGAAATTATTTTTGTGTTTCAAGGCTTAATAGCCCACCTCGTGGATGCGAACTCATAGAAGAACCGGTTACTACGGGTCTATGCTCCCGATAACCCAGTTTCCTGACTTTGGGTAATATTAGGGGTCTGACCAGTCATATGAAACTTGAGGGGATTTAGGGGAAAAACTGTCGACCAATATATATGGTGGGGATATCTCCACGGTACTGCTTCAGCGTTTTAAGACGTAATTACATATATATATATATATATATTGATGATCAAGTTCAGTACATTTCGGATTCTTAGCAGCTAAACAAGCTGCACAGCGATATGCCGGAGAAGTTTATTTTCAAAGTCTACTGAATCAGGACCTATCACATTATTTGACTAAGTCTATAGTAGGTTGTGATTCCTATAAAGAACTCATTACTTGCAGAGACTCAAAGTTTTTGACTACTAGGAGCAACAATATAGTCATAGCTAACGGTCAGCCTGTGTTCATCACACAAATTGTCGTGGGTGGGAGGATTGGGTTTTGGGCTTTTATTAACCCTTCTAATATCTCTACTGACCCGTTTCCCTCCATTATTATAGGTATATTTAAGTGCTCTGTAGTTAGCCACGAATATACATAGATTACCATTACTGGTATACCTCGTAAGTGTATCTCCATCCTAATGCTTATTATTATGAGCTTATTATCCCCGTTTTACCTACATTTTCGTAGGTAGACAACATTTTTCTAAGCCCATCGCACATAGAATTATTTTATTTATTTAAACACATAAATATTGGTACAAGGAAGCACCAAATAAATATGTGCCTCACAAATCTCATTCGATTTGTGTGAGGGCTGAGATACTGCCCAGGTGCCCAGACTGAAGCAGGTGGTTTTCTTAGGGGGCCACACCCCGAGCCCTTGACCTAAAGATCTGATCCACAAGGCAGTGGAGCATCGTAAGGAGATGCAGTCCCATGGTAGCCGGTGACCAACAGTTGGTTCATACGCCATTCGTTCCTTCAGGATACTGGAGCCCATATGCACCATTGGTTTAGAATCAGGGTTTTCCAACTCCCTTAGGTGGACTCGCCTTGTCCACCAACCCGGTTAAAGCTCCGGACATTCGCTTTTCGTCCTCTCACTTTTGTGAACGACACCCCCGCCACGAGAAGGCAGTGAGTTGGACTTCCCTGGCAGAGGCTATATATTCGCGTGGCCATGTAAGAGCATTTCGAGAGGGAGAGTGGACTCTCCCCACTCTCGGTCGTAACGTATTAACACGTTAGTTTTTATCCATAAATCCGATGTACATATAGGTATGGCCACGCACATCGGTCACACAAGTTCTTAGGCATGCATCCCATAGTATACATATAGGTATATTCACCTTCCTGGGAACGTAGTTCGTACTGCTCCCCAATCGTATTTGCCGCAACTGACTGTCTCTTACGCATTACATGCATACCACTGGTACAGAGACTTTCGCCTGTGCACGCATAAGCATAGAAACTGTAAGGGAGGGTTGATGGTCACCTCTCCTTCGTATTCGCTACCACACCTTTTTGTTTTGTCTTCGACCTGTTGGTTTAGGCCGCTTATTTTTACTAACCACAAGGTAGGCATTTCAGCTTACGTTTGCTTTCTGGGTCCCAGGGCGTACCTACTTACACAACTATACAAGCTTTGACCCATGTAACTCATATATGAGCATAAACATCGGGCTGGATTACATCAGCAACAGTTTACTATGGAAGAGGACAAACCAGCTTCCGATTGAAGGAAAAATTAAAAGACACTTGAAATGGATGGGACATACATTGCGGAAATTACCAGACTGCATCAGGAGGCAAGCTATAACTTGGAATCCTGAAGGAAAACGAAAATGAGAAAGGCCGAAGAACATACTACATCGGGAATTGGAAGCAGACATCGATGAATGGCGACTGGAAAGGACTGTCCAGGACAGGGTTGGATGGAGAGTGTTGGTGGGTGGCCCATGATCCTCGGCGTAGGGTAACGGATGAAAGTAAGTACATCGGACAGCCTGCAAGATTCGACATCTTTGAGGTTGGGACCCCGACAGTGCTGTAAAGAGGCCCTGGGTCGGATTTTACTGAGAAAATTTCCCTTCTTATCGAGGAACTTCCTGAAAATGTTTCATTAAAGAAATCTTCGTCAATTAAAATCCTCATTCCTAGCTTTGGATGCAATTCCGAAACTTACTGGTTGGCTTTCTGAGGACATTCTGTGGTCCAATTATGTATCAGTACCTCAGTTGGCGTTTTCGACTTGCCTAGTTACTTCATATCTCTAATTGAGACCAAGCCTTTCTTTTAGTTGTAAACAACTTGTGATGAATAGTGTAGTTCTGGGAGAAAATGAATTCCTAAGAATAGCGAGTGTAAAATAATGTGAACAGTGTTATTGTCACCTATTCTGAGTCCTATCATCCATACAGCTGTTGTTTGCTTTTTAACAAGATATTTGTGCACAATCCAGTAGTTCTTAGTCTGCAAAGTCATTCAATGTGACGCATCTGTAAGCTTACTTGAATGTTGTTACAAATATTATTAGTTAAGTAGTACATCACTTAGCTAATCTATCAGTGTTACTCCCATCATATTTGGTTTTAGCTGGTGTTTTATGGAATATCCTAATCTACTCTATCATTTTTTATTCAACTGTTTTCAAAATTACTCAACAGTCCTTCGTTATAATTTTCATAGTATTTTTGTGTATTGAGTGAGTTTTAGGCAGCAGAAATCACTTTTCTCTTCCAAAAATCGTTTCAGCATTTTTACAAGGTTTTGAGCTAGTATTAGCATTTTTTTGGACGCATAAAGGAAAGGGTTTTTAACTATCTTTGATGTCTATACTTTTGTTTGTTTCGTGTAGCTTGCAGACAAGCCATGGAGTGCACCTCAGAACCAGATAAAGAACCAGAAAAAAAGTTAGATGAAGTATGCCAAAAGATGGATAAACTGGCAGAATTAAATGGGGATTCATCTGTAAAATCAGCAACGAAAAAGAAAAAGAAACATAAAAAGAAGACTGGAAAATGCACAAGTATATATAACGTATTGTTAATCAATTCCCTCTTGAAGATGGTGACGATGAGACCGTGATGAAGGAAAATGAGACGGGAGACGCCTCAGTTAACTGTCGTGAAAACTTGTCCTCTACTGTGAAAACATCAAACAAAAAATCTAAATCGGAGAACTCAGGTGTCACACGTCAGACGGATCCTCCTTCTATTCCTGTTTGTCAGTTGTATCCCAAAGGAGACTACCCAGTTGGTGAGATTATTAATTATGAGCCCGACACTGATTGGTTAGTTTATATGTTGAGTTTTTTCTTCATATTTTAAAGTCTGTTTATATTTTATCTGTAAATGCATGATATATATATATTTTTTTCAGTACGACTTCAGTATTCTCCTGAAGTAGATAGTTACCGAACGTCTCATGAGTGTCATATCTTTGATCTAATGTGTTGACCATTTCCAGTATATTTCTAAAGGTTTGCGTTTTTGATCTAGTTCACCAATATTCATTCTCCCTGTCCTAGTAAATTAACCTCTTAGTAGCTCAACTACGTTTTTCGAACATTTCATGTAGCTTAGGAAGTGATCATGCTCGGAAGGTACAGAGATAAATATGGTATATTATAAAGGAGAAATGTGTGGTCGATCGTACTTTTTGTTGCTTAAATTATTGTGGACTGATGGAATGATGAATGGTCACAAATATAGAAGTATTCAGATCGAATCGGCCGATCATAGACAATAAACTCATAGTAGGTGGCGTCGTAATTGAACGGGTTTAATAATCTTCAGGTCCGGTTAGTTGTTATTCGACGAAATATTAAGGTGGTTTAAGAAAGCTCGTCTGACTTTTGTCAGCTTTCCTTTTCTCCAATAAAAAGATTAGTCTACTGTACAGCGGTTCTCTGTTTTGCTTTATGAGTGTAAACTGTGATGCCCAGAAGCAGAGGACATTCGTAAGTTGTTATTTTTGGGTCATAGCTGTCTTTGAAGTGTTACTTATGTATCATTTAAAAATGGAATGAGGAGTACTAGGGTTAATTGAATTTTCTCCATAGACTAAAATTAATTAGTACTTAATGCTTCTTGTAGTCGTACAGCTATCAACCGCACAACGTCAGAAGAATGCAAAGCTCGTGATAATGCTCATGTAGAGATCTATCAACAGTTTCGTGAAGGTGCGGAAGTTCATAGACAAACAAGAAACTATATTAAGAAATGGATACGTCCGGGTATTCGTCTCATTGATATGTGCGAAGAACTTGAACGCACTAGCCGTGCACTCATTTTAGAACGCGGATTGAATGCAGGCTTAGCTTTTCCTACGGGTTGTTCAATTAATCATTGTGCAGCTCATTACACTCCCAATGGGGGTGATAATACAGTTCTAAATTATGACGATGTATGCAAAATTGATTTTGGAGTACATGTAGATGGTAAGTCAACATTGTCTTTATTAATAAGTAGTTAAAGTAAACTAAACAAGTTTTATCAATATACGGTTGTGGAGATTGTTGACCTTTGATTGAGTTCATGATCTCAATCTAAACAAGTTTTACTTTTAATATGGGCAGTAGTTTTTTCATTTGATGAAATTTAAGTCTTTATCAGCTCGATTTTGCATATGTGCACAACAAATTCTCTACTCTTAATTCAGTGTTGTCGTTCCCAAGCCTTACGAGATATTACTTAGTCAATGTAGTCCAAGGTAATCACCTTGCTTGTATAAGCTTAATTTTTTGTAATCTATCGCGATTTTCTGCTTGTATGAATATTTGGTTATTGGTTTTGGAAGGAAATATTGCTTCCTATTGATATGAAGTTTTTTATTATTTATTTATTTAAACACATATATATTGGTACAAAAGGGCACCAGATACGTATGCGCCACACAAAATAATGAAAGTAGGAAGAGAAGGGATGAAAAGGTAAGGCGGGCTGAAATCTACAACCAGAAGACTCTTTCAGTTAAGAAAGTTAGAACCACTCTTTATGTAGAAAGTAAAAGAAGGTTGCAGCAGGATCACCACTAGCTTCTATTCTGAGCCATATCCGATAACGTCTCTAGCCACTGTGTTGCACCATCTCTCGGACCCCAGCCAGGGAGTCGTGAAGGACCAACAGAAGCTAGCCCCTTGCAGTTTTCTTTCATGCCACGACACCATGTCATACACTGACCTCCTCTCCGCTTTTTCCAACCAGTCCCAGGGTCGGCAAATAATGCACGACGTGGAAGTCTCTGGGACGACATTCGTAAAACATGTCCAAGCCACCGAAGTCGGTGTTTCAAGATGGTGTTACCAATTGAATTATCGTCTCTGCGCCCGAACACACGATGCCGAACCTCTGCATTACTAATATGGTGTTGCCACTGAATGTCAGCAATCCTTCGGAGACGACGACGATCGAACAGAGAGAGACGTCTAACATCCTCAATTCGGAGAGGCCAGGTTTCACAAGCACAGAGCAAAACTGCTCTTACCGACGCGTTGTAGATCCGACCTTTTACAGCCAGACTAACATCACGAAGGCGCCAAAGATGGCCCAGATTGGCATAAGCCGCTCTGGCTTTCCTTATATGTGCATCAACCTCATCACTCATGCCACCACCAGCACTTATATAGCTACCTAGATACACGAACTTCTGAACTACTTCAATCTGCTCACTATCTAGGGTGAGTACAGGATGAGAATCCTGCCAGTCTTGTAGGAGTACTTTGCACTTGGAGGGTGCAAAGCACATGCCATACCTGCGGACACTGATTGCCAACTGATTAAGTGCGGATTGCATGCCTTGGACATTATCGCACAGTAAAACAATATCATCCGCATACTCGAGCTCGAGAAGTCGTTCTTCAGGCAACATATCCACACCGCCATTACTTACATCCATCAGAGCTGTTTCCAGGATGTCGTCGATGGCAAAGTTGAAGAGGAATGGTGAGATCGGACAACCCTGCCTAACCCCACTGCTCGAATGGAACAATGGAGAAAGGTGGTTGTATGCCCTTACTCTGCCTGCGATGTTCGTATACAGGGCCTTTAAGATGTTAATGAACTTCTCAGGCACACCCTTCTTCAATAGACAATCCCAGAGAACAGTCCTGTCCAACGAATCGAAGGCAGCCCTGATATCAAGAAACACTACGATTGTTGGTCTGCGATAAGTATGACGGTGTTCTAACATTTGGCGGGGGTGAAGATGTGGTCAATGCACCCTCGACCAGAACGAAAACCAGCCTGCTCCTCGCGAGTCAATCGTTCTCGGGTTTTAAACAACCTACGAAGAATGACAGAAGCCAATAGTTTGGACGCAATCGGAAGAAGACTTATCCCCCGATAGTTGTTACAGGAACCCCTTTTAAAAGAACCCTTTTTAAAGATAGGGACGACTATTGACTCATTCCATGATGTTGGAACACTTTCTTGCTCCCAAACCTTTGCAAACAACACCGTCAGTTCCTTAGCTAGAAAGTCACCACCATCTTTAAAAAGAGCCGGAGGTAAGTCATCTGGGCCAGGTGATTTGTAGCGCTTCAAGAGTTGGAGTTCCTTGCGGACTTCCGCCTCGTTTGGTGGATCAGTCGTTACCGGCCATGGGGGGCAGGACAAACTGGTTGATGTTGCGGGAGCAGCAGGCCAGTTGAACTGCCCTTCAAAAAATTCCACCCATCGTCCAAGACGTCGAGAGATGTTAGTGATTGGCATCCCATCATCCTCGTATATTGTTTCACTCACACCAGACTTCTTGCTGCCAGTAGCTCGAATGAGTTGGAAGAGCTTCCGGCAGTTACCAGAGCGGCTTATGCCAATCTGGGCCATCTTTGGCGCCTTCGTGATGTTAGTCTGGCTGTAAAAGGTCGGATCTACAACGCGTCGGTAAGAGCAGTTTTGCTCTGTGCTTGTGAAACCTGGCCTCTCCGAATTGAGGATGTTAGACGTCTCTCTCTGTTCGATCGTCGTCGTCTCCGAAGGATTGCTGACATTCAGTGGCAACACCATATTAGTAATGCAGAGGTTCGGCATCGTGTGTTCGGGCGCAGAGACGATAATTCAATTGGTAACACCATCTTGAAACACCGACTTCGGTGGCTTGGACATGTTTTACGAATGTCGTCCCAGAGACTTCCACGTCGTGCATTATTTGCCGACCCTGGGACTGGTTGGAAAAAGCGGAGAGGAGGTCAGTGTATGACATGGTGTCGTGGCATGAAAGAAAACTGCAAGGGGCTAGCTTCTGTTGGTCCTTCACGACTCCCTGGCTGGGGTCCGAGAGATGGTGCAACACAGTGGCTAGAGACGTTATCGGATATGGCTCAGAATAGAAGCTAGTGGTGATCCTGCTGCAACCTTCTTTTACTTTCTACATAAAGAGTGGTTCTAACTTTCTTAACTGAAAGAGTCTTCTGGTTGTAGATTTCAGCCCGCCTTACCTTTTCATCCCTTCTCTTCCTACTTTCATTATTTTGTGTGGCGCATACGTATCTGGTGCCCTTTTGTACCAATATATATGTGTTTAAATAAATAAATAATAAATAAGTAACCAGATGCAGCTGCTGCTTTCATCTCATTAGCACGCTCCGACCACCAGGCTTCTCGGTTCTTACGAAAGCTTTGCCCAATTTTATTACGTAACAGCCTTCGTTTGTGGTCATACTCATGGTCACCCGGAGTAGACCGACGGGCTTCGACCAGTTGTAAGGAGCCAGAAGAAACCCAGTGCTTGTAAGCGGGACGTTTCGCGAAGCTGCAAGCGGCTTTACTTGCCATTTTCATGGCGTCGTGAAGATGCAACCAATGCTCATCTATACTTTTCGGTGGGATGGTATCTAGCCTAGAGGCTAGCTCTGCTCGATACTTATCTGCAACAGATGTTGCAGCCAGTTTACTAACATCTATCCGTTGATGGCGGTCAATCCTTCGGCCACTGAAAAGTAAGGTGAGATTGGCGCAGACCAGGGCATGATCAGACTCCAGATAGGTACTCCGAAAGGAGCGGCAGTCTTGTACACAACCACGCCAGAGGTAGCTGATCGCGATGTGATCAATCTGAGTCCAGGCTTGGGATGCAGAGGGAGGACGCCAGGTGGCACACCGGCGATGACTGTGCCGGAAGTTAGTGCTGGTCAGAAACAGGTTGTGGTCTGTGCACAGTTGTAGCAAACGGTCCCCGTTATCTGTCCTGCGACCAACAAGTCCCTATTGACCGCCTAAACGACTCTCTTTTGTGCCTAGACGCCCGGCTTAAGCATTCAAGTCTCCGGCTAATACTACAATATCTGTCGAACGCGCTTTCTGGAGAAGAACTGTTAACTGGTGGTAAAACTCATCCTTGATTGCATCCGGGCTGCGATCTGTCGGGGCATAGGCGGAGATGACGAAAATACACCGTTTCTCACGCCGGTTTCTTCTCACTTTGATGGAACCTTCTAATCTAACAGCACATAACCGACTGTTAATGGGGATCCAGTCGATTAGTGCTGCCTCAGCCCTAGCGCTTAGTGCAACACCAACGCCTGCAAGACCAGACGAAGATACCACAGAGTCCCCGGATAAGCGCACGTGAAACAAGCTTTTCGAAGCGACAGATGGAGAGCGGATTTGTAGTACTTCACTAGAGTCTTGAATACGGGTCTCGGATAGACAACAAACACCAACATTAAGACTTTCTAAACACATAGCCAGCCCCATCTGTTGTCCGATCTGCATTAGTGTGTGAACGTTGAAGAAAGCCAGCTTGAACGGCGTACGTGATTTCAGAAAAACTGCTTCAGTATTCGTAATCGGTGGAAGCATTCACTTTCAACCAGACAGTGACTGGAGATCGTTTAGATAGGACAGAGTTTCCACCATGGGCGAGCTACTGCATAAGTTGGAAAGGAAGGCTACACAATTTGGAATAAAGGGAGTAAAAAAGCGACATAAATAATAATAATAATAATAATAATAATAATAATAATAATAATAATAATAATGGTAATAATAATAGTGTAAATTGTCTTGATTCTAGTATGAGCGAGAATAGTATCGTCAATAGAATTCATCATTTCATTTATTTGTGTGTGGGCTGTGATACTGCTCGGGTGCCCAAACCGAAGCAGGTGGTTTTCTTAGGGGGCCACACCCCGAGCCCTTGACCTAAAGATCTGATCCACAAGGCAGTGGAGCATCGTAAGGAGATGCAGTCCCATGGTAGCCGGTGACCAACAGTTGGTTCATACGCCATTCGTTCCTTCAGGATACTGGAGCCCATATGCACCATTGGTTTAGAATCAGGGTTTTCCAACTCCCTTAGGTGGACTCGCCTTGTCCACCAACCCGGTTAAAGCTCCGGACATTCGCTTTTCGTCCTCTCACTTTTGTGAACGACACCCCCGCCACGAGAAGGCAGTGAGTTGGACTTCCCTGGCAGAGGCTATATATTCGCGTGGCCATGTAAGAGCATTTCGAGAGGGAGAGTGGACTCTCCTCACTCTTGGCCGTACCAGTGCATTTGGGGGGTTGGTTCTAAAATCATGAGTCAATATGTTTTTTATCCATGAAAGCATAATTAAACAAATTTCTTGCCGAAGTAAGACTGTCCTTTTGTTCATTTTTTCTGGCTTTCAACTATTGATCGTGCGAATTCTTTTACACCTTATAAGTCGACATACTACATATTATTAAAAGGACACAGTTGAATCAATGGCTTAAATGACTTTGCTCCCAACTACCGGATAGTAGGACCTAACTCTTCCTCAATTTTTATGGTTTAAATCATACAATTCTTATCACTAGTCTTCACGCAAATTTTGACTGGAAAATAAGTATATGGATGTGTAATTGATATATGAAATATTTGACTGAACTTCTTGACTTAGTACACATATAGTTTATTTATCTAAATCGGTAGTCCAGTAAATTGTATTATTGCGATAGTCATGTACAGTAAAATCTCAACATTTTTCTTCGAACAAATCAAGTTGAGGGAATAAATATTTTTATCTGTTGTATAATTCATAACTGTAGTAGCTTATAATATTTTTGGTTTAATTTCAGGTCGTATTATTGATTGTGCTTTCACACTTCACTTTAATCCTAAGTTTGATACTTTGGTAGAGGCTGTTAAGGATGCAACTAATACCGGTATTAAGGTATGTTTCTGTATTGTAATATGTCCTATCAAATTTATCCATATGTATGTATAATTGGCATCTAAAGGCATTTAGCCAATCATCTTATGGTAGCAGTCTGAAAGTTAAGTTGTTTTGCAATAAATAACGTGCTGGACTTCCAGTAACTAAATTAGGAATAAATCTCCTGCACATTGCACCAAAAAGATGGGGCATCTCTCATTTTGTTGGTTTGACTCAGAGCTTGTCACACTTTCTACTTTTTAAGTTTCCTCAAAATTACATTCTGTTATGTAGTATGTCAAAAAGTAGAATATGGGTGGAACAAAGCAAAGTTTGCGTTTTGGTGAGTGAATTTTTCTTCATAGATTATTCTAATGAGTTGAAATTGTGCTAAATTATTACTGCTATGATCAGTAGAATTGTAATCTATGTTTAAGGAACTCAAGTGATTGGATTAATACAAATATGCGCATTCTTCATCTCTCTGGTACTGTTGAGTATATTATTGCTGTTTCGGCAATCAAGCAAGATAAAAAAGGCGAGTAAGCGTTTTCAAGGGTAAGATTATTGTAGCCTTCGTGTTTTGTGACACATTTAAAACATGAGTTATTTGGATATACCATTGGTTTGTGTTTATTGTTTTTATAAACTTAAATACCGATTAACTTATGTTTATGAATTCCTCATCTTGTGCAATCTTAGGCAGCTGGCATTGACGTACGTTTGTGTGATGTTGGGGCAGCCATTCAGGAGACTATGGAGTCCTATGAAGTAGAATTAGACGGAAACACTTACCAGGGTAACTCGCGTACTATCATGATTTTTATAAGTTATTCTTTTTAAAAAGTAATTCCAATTTCCATAATTTTTACTGATTCAATTACTTTTTTTACGAATAATATACTAAATAAAGATAAAGCATGCACTTTTTTAGTTCTCTTGCATAATAATAAATATATTTTTCTTATATTCCAATTAGTAGAAAAGTTGTATTTCTGACCTTTCGTGACTTAACGTAAGTCACTTCTTTAGGGTAAATAGATGTCGGCTATTTATTTACTCTGAAGTGGTTCCTTGCGTAAAGATGAATAGAATATCTTTTAATTTTTCCTATCATATGACACTTTTTAAGACACTAAGCTGTTTGGTTTATCTCCTCATTCACAGTTATGACGATCAGTTGTTTATATAGATGATTTTTCTTATTATAGAAGTAACCGTAAACATTTCATTTTATTAGATTGACTGTATTTGCATGAGTCCACAAAACAATAATCAGCAACGAGAGATGTTGAAAAAAAGCAAACAAGTCAATCCAAATAAATAATTTGAATATATGAATTCCTGTAGTTACCTTTGTTAAATAACCTGGTTTAGATACCATGAAACCATTCTAATTCAATGTCGTAGACTCTCGTTTAATTTTAAAATTAGAATTACAAGTCTATCGTTTTCCTTCATAGTCTTCATTCTTTAAGCAAGTGGTTTCTTGGGAAACTAGTATTTTTTTTCCTTTTCAATGATGACTCATCTATATATAACTTTTCAACGATATATTACTTACTTTTCAAACGTTAGTTGTTTCATTATTTTACCACTTCATTTTTCTAACATCGACGATTATGTTTATCGGATAATTTATTGAAAGTGACGTATTGTAGAAGACTCTTCTATGAACATTATAAGTTTTATAATTGAGTAAATAACGGTACACTTTCCTTTCTGGTTTTAAGTTTGAACTCAATTCCACCGTTTTGTCAGCCAATTAGTATCAATAGTCCTTACTTAAATGTGACTAAAAACTGAATGCACAAATTAGGCATCCGATAAGTTGACTATGAATAATCTAGTCAGATGAGTTATTTGAAACATTCTTACATGTTCTTTACTCATTAGTATGTTTAAACTTAAGTCATCTTTGCAACATGATTCTTAGCTATTTTTCTCGTTTGTCCTAAATTTATCTTGAGAAGGATCTGCTTGTGTGAGTATTGCGTGAGTATGACCACAAACGAAGGCTGTTGCGTAATAAAATTGGGCAAAGCTTGCGTAATAAAAAACGAAAAGCCTGGTGGTCGGAGCGTGCTAATGAGATGAAAGCAGCAGCTGCATCTGGTAACTGCCGGAAGCTCTTCCAACTCATTCGAGCTACTGGCAGCAAGAAGTCTGGTGTGAGTGAAACAATCTACGAGGATGATGGGATGCCAATCACTAACATCTCTCGACGTCTTGGACGATGGGTGGATTTTTTTGAAGGGTAGTTCAACTGGCCTGTTGCTCCGGCAACAACAACCAGTTTGCCCTGCCCCCCATGGCCGGTAACGACTGATCCACCAAACGAGGCGGAAGTCCGCAAGGAACTCCAACTCTTGAAGCGCTACAAATCACCTGGCCCAGATGACTTACCTCCGGCTCTTTTTAAAGATGGTGGTGACTTTCTAGCTAAGGAACTGACGGTGTTGTTTGCAAAGGTTTCGGGGCAAGAAAGTGTTGTCGTTCCTTTTCTTTTTTTCCTTCTTTTATATATACATATCTCCCTTCTCCTCCCATCCTCGTTATTTTGTGTGGCGCATATGTATCCGGTGCCATTTGTACCAATATATATGTGATTAAATAAATAAATAAGTTAATATAAATTCGCCCAAATATTACGTATTGCGATTGGACTACACGAATTTCTACCGATTGACCAAATTCAGATATCCTAGTTCGACCCCAATACTGTTCCCCAACTCCTATAAATCAGAACACAGCCGTTAAATAAGAATTGTTTATGGGGTCAGCAGCAGAGCAAAAATGGTTTGCAGACAAAGCATATTTATAGTTACGATGACTATTAACAGTAACCAATGGAAAGGAAGGACACGTAAAGGTTATAATTAGGACAACTCAAAATTGACCAATAGGGAAACGACACATGAAAGTCATAGTTAGGACAACTGTAAATAATGGCCAATAGGAAATAACATGCGAATTATGTAAAGAGTCTGAAAACATACCACTTTACATTCGAGATAATTTTTGGGATATTCTTGTGAATATCCTAACATAAGTAAAATGCCATAAGTTTCTTATTTATTTTTTCCCCAATCTAATTGGTTGTTGTTTATAGTTTTATTATGTTAGTTGTTTGTTTATGCTATTCTTTTTTCTACATGCAATTATACTAACATATGATAATTAGTATAATAAATCACACTATTATATGTAATATTGATTCAGTGAAATCTGTACGTAATTTGAATGGTCATTCTTTGGGGCCATACCAAATTCATGCGGGAAAAACTGTGCCAATCGTACGTGGAGGAGAGCAAACTCGTATGGAGGTATGTCCATTGATTATTTGCGTAATTCTTACGTTATTTCGTTCTCAAAATAAAATATTAGTGTAATATGCCTTTTTTGTTACATTTTTTTAAGGAAAATGAATATTATGCAATCGAAACGTTTGGTAGTACAGGAAAAGGTTATGTTATTGATGGAGATGAAGTTTCGCACTATATGAAGAATTTCGACGTTGGACATGTTCCTCTAAGGTATTTTTTAAACTCTGTACTAATTCACTAAACCGCATTTTTTCTAATTGTACGGTTCTTAGTTTATCAGGTTTTTTGTCGATCTAACGCTGTTATTAACTCAGTTTGAAAGAAATCGATTACTTTCTGACAACATAAAATAATACATGAAAGGTTTTACATTAACTGTTAGTTCCACTTCCATCTCTTTGTGTCTTCACGTCAATATTTTCACCGTATCGATGGCTTTGTAATTCATCTTGTCTTATTTTTCCCTTCCTACGATTATCTCGCCAGTTATATTCTGTTAACTTCAGTGACTCAAAGCTGTATCTCTTAGGTTTATATTCAAATGTAGTTCTACGAAGTATCGAGTTTGTATAACTTCATATCTACCGGTATAAAATATACTTAGGGTTCTAAGCAGATAAGCAAGAGCAAAATTTATTTGTTAGTACGATTATTCAGTCTTGAATTCTTTATCTTCATATTTCAAGGTGTGAAATGTTATCCTATTTAGAACAGCTAAAACAGATGCTTATTTCTCTTGTTTTTGATTTACTATTCATTCATATCGTAGACTATTTTCTATCCCATAACCCGTTTTACTTTCCCCTCTCAGCCATAATAGAACATGTTTACTATCTATAACCGAATCTTCCAAGCATAAAAATCATTTGAAATAAAAAGTGTAGTTAAACTCCATAACCGTAGTACATTTACTGATCCTTTTTAAAGTGGTATGCTCTACGTTCAGAAACTGAAGTAAACAGTTGTTCTTTTGTTTCAAATCTTTGAAGTTTATAACACTTCTAAATTTCATTTTTTTTATTGTGCAGGTTGGCCAGATCGAAACAACTGTTGAATGTAATAGATCGTAATTTCAGTACTCTTGCATTTTGTCGCCGTTGGTTAGACCGTTTAGGTGAGACAAAATATCTTATGGCCCTAAAGAACCTATGTGACGTGGGAATAGTAAATCCATATCCCCCTCTGTGTGACCAACGTGGCTGCTATACTGCTCAATGGGAGCACACGATTTTGCTAAGACCAACATGTAAAGAAGTTGTTTCTCGTGGAGAGGATTACTAAGTGACTTCCAAGTTTTCCATTCAGGATCCACTGTAGACGTTATAGAATGTTTCGTTATTATGCTAATATTTGAAAGATTTATTTTTGTTTGAACATGTATCCAGGATTCAGTTTGACGGAGTGTTCCACTATATGTTTCAGTCATTATTGTTTTAATTGACTTTCCAGCTCTAACAATCCTTCTTAAGGCTCTCTGCTTATCAATCTTTATTTTGACCTCAATATCTGTGCGTTTATATCTATATTGTGAACTTTCACGTTTTTATAGTAACAACCAGGTTTTGTAAATGAAGTCAGTAATATGTGAATTCTAGTTTTCTATATATTTATTTCCTCTATATTGCGACACGAATTTAATATGTAGGTCATTTTAGTGTAGAGGATATAAAATGAGAGTGGATATTGCTAGACACACACCTGTTAGATGTGACATGTTTTTTATTGGGTCTTTTAGCAGTCTGTCTATTTGTAATTGTGTGTAATTTTCCGCTTGGTCAAATTATAAATTCATACGTAATTAGATTATCACTATTACGTTTGCTTGTTCCGCAATATTCGTCCAGTAGACCTCTTATAGTGCTACCTACTTTCAGAGAAGAGTTACTCTTCCATTTCTAGCAGTGTAGTAAGAGACATTTCTTAAAATCCCTACTTGGTTTTCAGCAGAATGTATTTGTTTCTAAAACGGCATTTGTAAACTATGGTGAGTAGAATTTAGTATGCCAATTCATGCGAAAAATTCCGCTTTGGAAATTGGTGATTTTCGAATAGATAAGTTTGCACAATAAATAAATGACGATAAAATATCTTGATTACACAACCATTTGATTGTATGTCTCCTACATCGTTTGAGTCTTTAAAATCTAGAAATACTAAATTCAAATTAATGTTGAGCACGAAATTACATTATCTCCAATACAAATGGCAATTTATGAACTCGCCATGATCACCTATTACTTTCGCAGGATTTGATGGTTCTGTAGCGGTAAATAAATCCCCAAAATCAATAGCTCTGTAAGTGTTCGACATTGGGTGCTGACTACATTAGATTCAGTGGACTCATTTAGCTGGAGGCGCTCGGTCATGCATCCGCACCAGCTCACAAGTGGGAACGCCATACTCAAATCCTACTGCGATCGCTAGCTACTTAAGATCAGTCACTTCTCGATACCACCCACAATCAGACGGGTTGGTGGAACGCTTTCACCGACAACAAAGCTTCACTATCAGCTGCCAACGTTTCATAGTGAACCGACGCTCTTCCACTCGTTTTACTAGGTATTCGCAATGCAGTGCAAGCTGACTTTGGGTACACTGCAGCACAACTCGCTTATGGAACGACACTCCGACGTCCAGGAGAATTCGTGGATCCTTCATCTTCTCCAATTAACATGGATCTTACTCCTACAAACGCAATGCGTTCAGTTAAACTGATATTTTCGTTCATCCTGACTTCGTACGTCAAGACTCACATCGACGACCCATCGAAGCAGCATACGAATGACCCTTCAAAGTTCTTCAGAGCGAACCTAAGTACTATACATTCGATAAATACGGAACTAATGATGACATCAGCATCGATCGCATGAAAGCAGCATATTTAGAAGGAAATTCTATCCACGTCGATTTTCATTCTGTACAATCGAATGACATGACTTCTACACTTATAATACCTCATCCGACAGTCAACGCGCACGTTGATGCTTCGGCAGTATCTGAAAATAAGCCTAAAACAACGCGTTATGGAAGAATAGTAAGATTTCCAGAACATTTAAATGACTATTGTACATATGACACTAGTTACCATTTTTCCTTATCGCGATTTTCCCAAGTATTTTATAAAATAAAATGTTTAATATGTTTATACTTATGTATTTATTCAATAAAAGAACAAACAAAATTTGTTTGCGTATATGTGTATAATAATTATTTTTTCTTTATGGAAAACCCAAAAAGTACAGCTCTTTAAAAGTCGTTTTTACGCTATCGCATGTGTGTGACATTACTTATCTTTCGTTCTACCTCTTTGTGTCTTTTCGCGCGTACGAGTGTATTTTGACATGCACTTACATATTTTTTTCTTTTCTAGGACGGCTGGAAAAGACGATAAAAAGAACTATGTAGTTTACGAGGAACAAAATTTTTGATCGTACTTTTTCCTTATTACTTTGTTGTACTTCATGGCCCCTTATAATGAGGAAAGACAACCAGATTCTGCTCGAATTCGCAAGCTATCAGTAAAGTGTTTGTGAACGACAAACTCGTTGGCTTTAAACTTCTGACCTCGTCTTAGGGCAATCACTACCTCACTATACGTGAGTGATCTATAGAGATAAATCCTCAAACTCAATAACTGATTCACTTGACTTTCTCGGACACACTATTGACGCTCAACGTATTCTCCCTCGATAAGGCAAACTCGCGGCCATCCTGGGTCACACAGAGCCGACCGTAGAAATATGCGACTGCACAAACTAGGCACTGCAACTTTCACCGCTCGTTTTGACAATGAATATCTTCGTAGCAGTGGAATCCAGGACGCGCGTTTCTTCCTATTTGGGACTCGTGAGCTGGATGTACCTGCATCTCAAGGCTATATCGATTAAAAACGCACAGTATGCACATATGCCAATTTGAGACTGACCAGTTGCAGTCCTAACACATCAATGGGAAGATTCAAACAAACAATACTAAGTGAATTTAAACTTCACCCCATGGCACAAGCAAATGGCTATGAGGACTCAGTGGCCGAGTGGATAACACGATGGCGTTTGAAGCAAGGTTACTGGGTTCAAGTCTCAGAGTGAACATCAACTCTGAGATTCAGGTACATCCAGCTGACGAGTCCCAAATAGAACGAAACGCGCGTCCTGGATTCCAATGCTAGCCACTATCCATCTTTGTTTATCATGTTAGGTTGAATATTTCGGCTTTATGAAAGAAGGTCGAACCTGTACCTTCTCGTTGTCTTACTTCACTAGTAAGTATCCCGCGATTTCGAACGACCGTTATCACATAAGTTGTCAGGTTGGTAGAACGATTACACCAACAGTTGAAAGCTCCACTCCTAGCCACAGACGTGTCGCAGTAGACTCAATCTTCCACACTGGTTTTCTCAGCGCAGTGATGTCTGACGTCAAGTGAGCTGCAGCACTATCCGTTTACGGAACGACACTTCAACTCCGAGGAGGTTTTGTGGGTTTTTACTTTCTTCAATGAATAAGAATCCAAACTCTTGCATGAACAGGCTCACAAACTCCGTGCATTCATTTGAACAACTTTCATTTTACCGCAGTCTACTGGTGTTTCAGTTCCACCTGCCTTATAACATGGTACACTGATATAACGGGTGTCTCCAAATGTTTTTCCTACATGAATACCACGATAATAAGATTAGTCACTTTATAGCAGATACAGGACTCATGACCCAGAATAGAGATCCAGAAAAAAACTAGATAATTTATTCAACACAGTTACAAGCAGTCACACACGGTGAGTGCGGATAGGAAATCAACGAGAGAAAAGAGGATCATGTAAATTGTCGCAATGCTCAGCATTTGTTTGTTCATGACCAGTGCTCAGTCATAGATTACTTTCAGTACCACATATCATACACACGTTTATCTACATGATTCATTGCGAATACTCCTCGAAACGAGGTACAAAGGCACTTCAAAGCACTTAATTGCAAACCGAAGTACTTCATAGTCAACAAAAATGAAACAAAAGATGACGTGAGCAGTGGTCGTATAAAAGCGGCTTATTTAAAAGAAAACATTGATCATGTTGATCCTTCTCCTGTACAATCTAACAATACAGGCTTTTCAGTGAAGGTGCCATCACTTATACTCAATGGTAGCGGTAGTTGTGTAGACTGATAACTAGACCGAAGCCAAATACTCTGGTAGACACCAAGGTTTCCAGGACATATAAAGGTTCACTATATGCACTTTACTGGAAAACGTTTCGCTTTATCTCATTTTTTTGCGTACCACAAGTATTTGGTTTTACACTCTTTTTTGTATTGCTGTCTCCAAATAATTTGTTCGAACATGCCTGCATGTGAATGTATAGTGTATTCCCTCTTAAAAAATCCGGACGAAATGTTAAACGAGAAAATTGATGTCATTTTATTGTATATATGAGTATGTAGATGCCTTTTCATGCATTATGCTTCTTTACTCAAATGTGATTGGTTTTTGAAATGCATTTATATTTTCCATTTTTTTATCAGGAAGACAGGAAATGGATGAAAAGCAAACGAAGCATACAGTTATTCGTATTTTTATGTGTACGTTTGTGATTGCCATATTGATCCACAAACTATCTTCTTTTAAGTAAAGATGACCGCATGATGATAGACATGGAAAACTATCAGTAGTGTGTTTACTAACGTCAAGCTTGTCAGGTTCTAACTTCTTGCTTACAAAGTAATAATAATAATACTACCACAGAATATGGGAATAGTGAGCTAAAGTGGTGTAGCTTTAAATAAATCCCCAAAATCGATAGCTCTGTAAGTATTCAACATTGGATGCTGACCACATTACTTTTAGTGGACTTGTTTAGCTGAAGAAGCTCGTTCATGCATCCATACCAGAAAACGTTACATAATGGCGTGGGAAACATCTCCTACGATCATTAGCCAGATTGGATTAGTCACTTCTCGATATATTGATAACCCATCAATTATACCTTACAACATCCTCGCCTCTGACTTTTGACTTACTTGGGTGGGTGCGATTCGATTACGGAAGGTGTTACTGGTAAAGAGCTGCCGAACTACAATACTGGTGGTATCTTTAGTTCTAAATAAGTCCTCCAAGTAAACAACTCTGTTTTTATGTTGGTTTGTTCTCTGAGCTGGATGGTTTGGTCGTGGAGCTTTCATCGTCCTTCTGAACGACATCATCAGCACAAACTTCGGGTAGAAGTGAAGTGTTTGAATTTCTCCACATGTGATTCACAGCTTGTCCTCTGCACCTCGATGTTGATTGGTTCTTATTGACCTTAAATCTGTCATTTTTATTTCTTTGTTTTGATTGTCTCTCCTATTGTTTTGATTTTTGTTCCTATGTTCCTGCATAATTTTCTTGATTGGTTGATAGATTGGATTGATTTCAATATGTTTGTTTATTGCAGATTTTGGACAGAGGCAATTCCAAAAATACCAGAGAATTTTTAGAAGCTTGGCACTCAGGTCAATCTGCAATAAACAAACATATTGAAATCAATCCAATCTATCAACCAATCAAGAAAATTATGCAGGAACATAGGAACGAAAATCAAAACAATAGGAGAGACAATCAAAACAAAGAAATAAAAATGACAGATTTAAGGTCAATAAGAACCAATCAACATCGAGGTGCAGAGGACAAGCTGTGAATCACATGTGGAGAAATTCAAACACTTCACTTCTACCCGAAGTTTGTGCTGATGATGTCGTTCAGAAGGACGATGAAAGCTCCACGACCAAACCATCCAGCTCAGAGAACAAACCAACATAAAAATCACCCACCTGAGCTACAAATCTTCTCCACCATCTCAAACAACTCTGTAGGTCTTCAACATTAATTACCACTTCGATTTTTTACTGGACACAACCAACCTGATCGGATGCGACCACTCATCGGTACCAGACCACGAGTATGTATTTAATGTCACTCATTTCTTGCAACTATTATCCATTTCAAGTTAAACATTTATCAGCGGACAGATAAATTTACAAATAAATCATTGTAATCTTCCATTGTTGGCTTCAAATATGACTAGGTTGTTATCCATCGATTAAAAAGGTGTTTAGGGTATCGGCGTTTTCAAGCTCTAAACATCTGCGGGATTATTAAGTTTCATACGAACTTTCATACGCTCAGCTCCTAAGCTGAAGAAAACAGAGATCCGCGTCTTTTATGAATGAACGCTCTTCGAACAGATGTGTTATATCCCGAAGAGAATTATGAGTGATAACTCTTGAGAACTATTTATAGACCAATATGGTACGCATATTTTGTATTGTGTAATCACTAAGTACTTAACTATTTATTTTTATGTCGCTTTCATTATGGGCATTATTTGACCCATAAACTATCACTTAACGAATTGTCATTCCTGAGTTATCCTCAATCCATTAATTACTGTTACCCTATTCTCGGCCGCATTTAGCTGAATCTTGTAGAAATTTTATTTTCCCATCTTATGATATGATGCGGTATGTATGTTTAATATTTAAATACAGTATATTTGAAAAAAAGATTCATATTTCAGAGGCTGTCATTGGTATTGTGTACTTTACTGAATGGGCTAGGCAGACAAGTTATCTAGACTGCACTCACAGGTTTCGTGTGTCGTTGGTCTTATCGATAGACCAATGTTCTCCAATAGGCAGGTAAAAAATAATAGCGACTGATCAAGCACGCTATATAACAAGAAGATTGTTCTATTTATTTCCGCAAGCATTTTAATCATTAGAATTTCGATGAAATTACCTCGTTTTACATTTTCCTGATAAGCAGAGTTACTAGATAATTTTTCTTCATACGAATAGCTGAAATTCTATTTTTGGACTACCGAAAACATGATACGAGCGACAAGTAATCAAGTAAATAACACTAGCTTGTCTAAACGATTCAATGTTGAGTGCCAACCTTGTGGATGACCTCACGACAACACGACCGTCGGTAATTTGAATTTTCCAACCTGGTTTATAGAAATGTTCATAGGAAATAAGGTGTTAGCTCAAAGTATTTTGTCTGTTTTAAAGTGCCTTTTTGTTCTGGGCAGTTTACTCTCTACTGACATTGCAATGCCAGTACTGTTTTTGGATATTTATAGTAATTCACATATCACAATCTCGCACTATTCAAGAAGTTTTACGTTATTCATGATAGTTTATTTTTCATACTACATATTAGGCGTTTTTATAGCAAATTGTATAGATGAGATTTAATCTTTGGCATGCATTCTTTTAAAATGAATGTTTGAAGTATACTGTTCCTATAGGGATAGTTTCCTGGTTGTTCTTTAAGATCTACTTGAGATTTACAAATACGATTTAACTTCCAGATGTATGGTAGCTAAAGCCAGTAAATGGGAGAAATCGGGCAGATACCTATTTTTTCGGCGTTTTTGTGAAACCTAGATAAACCATATATTCCTTTTTTGAGCAGACACATAATTCTTTGGAAAGTTCATTTATCTCAAAATACTTCTAATCGGCCATCTTTTGTATAGATGTCATGAGAAAAGCCCATTTGAATCTAAAGTTGTCACGGATGTACACAGCATAATAACCCTATTTACCAACACCTCCATTAAGAGAGCCTCAAATCACTCAAATCAGAATTCGTAGATAAAAGGATGCGGAGATTTAAATTTTGAAATGAGTCTATGCGTCAAGGTGCATTTTATTTAGGTTGACTATTTGTTTTAAGAGATGTGCGGCACGCGTACTAAAACGTTATCTGAAGCTGATGATTGACCGAACTCATTCAGCTGGGTGCGTGTCCAGTAAAACAAGTGAGGTCGACATAAATGTTGAAGACCCACAAATATCCATTTAAAAAATTTTTCGGCCATCAAAATCCCCAGTTCATAAATATCAAATGAGTGGTGTTAACGTCAGAATCATTATATTACTCCTCCAAACTTAATATTTTCATATTATAATAGCATATATAATTCGCATATATATCTATGTACAAAATGGAGTGAATCGTCAGTATTTCAAGATGGGCAATATCCATATTGTAACATTTACCATAAAAATAATAATACAGCAATATGATGAACGGGAATATACAACCATAAGACTATCTAAAAAAGATCCGTTATCCAAAATGTATGTGATAAACGATTTTGGTTTTACAGAATTTATTGGCAGTTGAAAATCTGGAAAACACAGTTTCTATACAAATCACATAGCACATAATAAAAAAAGACTAAAATAGAAGGAAAAAATAGTGAAAAACTAGTTCCAGCAGTCTGATTTTCTCCCATTCCAGTCTACAATCGAAAATCATGTACGTTGCTGCATAGCTTCTGTTAGTTTAGATATGTGCAGTAATGTAACATAACGATCGTATTAGTTATATCACGTATAGCACGTTTAAGTAGATATGATGAACTTATCCAATAGCTTGTTACTTTCAATAAATTGGGTCTGTAGATTAACTAATACGTATTCAAAATACACAGGTTTTGACGTAAACAGTTTATGTAATATTTGATTTACTTGAAACCGTCTGGTCGTATCTCCACTTAGACACCTACAAATTATTGTTTAAGTTCCATCTTATGTGCTATGGTTTTTACTTTAGTGGCTAAAAAAAACATAATCAGCGCATTCCTTCATTACCTGTTATTTACTTTGATAAGTGTAATTATTGTTGCTTATGCAAAGTACCAATCGATTAAATGTGAACCAAGTGGAGAATCGAAGCAGATTCCCACTATATAGTGCCAAATGTAGTATATACTACATTTTGCACTGGTCCTATTTTTTCAGTACCTGAGTCTGCGGTGGATGTATCTTTCCACCTATCTATCTTGATGTAATTTTGTTTATTTATGTCTTGTTTTTCAGTTGTTCCGATCGGTTCACCTTGTTACCTCATACCTATATATGTATATATATTGTGCAATTTTTCACTCGAATTGAATGTCGATCATGGATTGTATAAATTCGGTAGATTCCTCATCTCCAGTAGTACAAAAGTCTGCGAATGACTTGAGGGAATATAAAGTGATGCGTTTATGCAATAGGATGAAAGTGCTTCTTATAAGTGATCCCGAAACAGATAAATCTGCAGTGTGTTTATCTGTGAACATTGGTATGTTGATGAATGTTGTTACAGTGTTATAACTTTAGGTTCGCTGTCGGATCCGAAAGAACTGCCTGGTCTCGCACACTTTTGCGAGCATATGTTGTTTCTTGGTACGAAGTCATTTCCGACAGAAAATACCTATTTGAAGTACATAACCGATCATGGTGGTCACTGTAATGCTTTCACGAGTCCAGATAAAACTTCTTATGTGTTTGATGTTGCACCTGAAAGTTTGATAGGAGCATTGGATATTTTCTCACAATTTTTCGTGTGCCCTCTTTTCACAGATTCTGCAACAGAACGTGAGGTTAGTTTTAATATGGTTACCGAGCATGGCAAGTGTTTGTTTGTAGTGAATGGGAAGTTGTTTCAATACTGCAACAATGATTTCTGTTTCAATGCACACGCTTTTTTTCAGAGAAATATATGCTGCAAGTGAGAGCATTTATCAGTTGTTGCATTAATTAGGTGCGAAATTCTGAAAACTCAGGTGTTTCTAAATATCATATCACGATCACTGGTATGCTATGTTTTGAGTTTTACGTTTGAGCTCAGAATTTATGAACACCACCCCATAATTTTACTGTGAACAATGACTTTATATGACTTTGATATATATTACGGAAATGTTTCATCTGCATTTCACTTGTCGAATCAGAAGGATTGTGGCGGTTATAGAACGTTTTGTGGGGTGATACATTGAATGTATTAAAACTGGTTTCACAAGACTTTGTTTATCGAATATTGCTATCTACTATGTGTGCACAGCATGGTGTTATAGGTTGTCTTATTTCTTACGAATAAGCGTTGATTATTGAGTATATCTTTCTTAGATCGAGAATGATATTATGTGTAGAGTATTGTAATCTGCAGCATGTGTAGTTGATGTGCCTCTTCCATTATGTTTAGAATTGTATTGGGAATGCAGTAGTCCAATATCTGCTTTTGCTTTACTGCAGAAGAGCTGCAATCATAGTTACTGACAAGCTAAATGGGGAAATAAAAGGTAGTCTCATAAAAAAGCTTCGTATTGTTTTTATGAAAGGTAAACTAGGGTACACTTGTCATGGCGTAAGGGATATTTAGAGAAGTAAGATTAACATGTTGAAAGGTAAGTAACTATCGAAAGAGTAGCCATGGTTATAATGGATTATCAGGTTACAGTTTCGAAACCCCGTTTATTCACTTGATTTTAGGCAGCTTGGTAGTACTTCTCTCTCGCGGACACTGGTTGTTTATTGTAATGTGGATAAAATGCAACGTTGTTCTAAATAGGATTATACTTTATGACGAAGGTGAAGTCATTCGACATTATGAAGAATTATTTTTGTAATTATTTCATCCTTTAATGTAAAATGTAATAGTTGGATGCTTTCTACTGCTTACGATTTTGTGGTTGTGCGTGTAATTTTATTTTAACAAAAACACTTGTGGAGAAGCACCTATGCATGCCGATTAAAGTCACCGTTTTAGTACATAAGTGATGTCAATCAGAATATAAAGCTTACGACTACGAATAACGGTTTCAAGAGTGTATTGAAGCTAGAAAGGGAATAGGGTATAAGAGAAAAAGCAAAATGTGATTTAACTTTGAGGATCTAAAGATGGAAATCCATTTCAGTTGTAGTCAATTTTTAAGCACATTGTGAAACTGACCACTGATGATTTTATTTGCACATGTTGGTTGATTAATGACTGTTTAAAAATTGGTTTTGAAAGGGACTTGTTAGCCATTTTGGTGCACGGGCGGGATCAGATTTTGAATTTTGTAATAAAGTGAGGAAATTTCTTAGGCTTTTTCAGTGTGGTCGTATCACTTTTCCCAGTTAACAGATGAAGATCGTTAAAATATATACTCCGTGACCTGACATCGTCATCATTATATATTTGTTAATAGAAGGGACTTGATTGTATTTTCTTACCCTCCTGTTAACTTGACAATAAGGTTTTCTAGATCAAAGTGTTATGCTACGTAGTTTCAGGATTCCTGTTTGTTTTCTGTGGTTATCACTATGGAGTTGATTAGATAATTTATTTAACACGAAGTAATACTCGTTGGGTCAGTGAATTATACTTGTTTAGTAGTATTGGTAGCGAATGACGGCATCACAGATAACTTACCATGATATTTTTACTGTTTGGACTACCACTAACAAGCCAAGTTTTAATTTTAGGTGAGTGCTGTACAGTCGGAACATGAAAAGGATAGTAGTAATGATACTAGACGTCTTTTTCAGCTAGAGCGAAACTTATCGAAAGGTGGTCATGATTATACGAAATTCTTCTCCGGTAATCGATACTCATTATTTGAGTCCAGTTGTGCAAAATCAGTGAATACACGTGAAAAGTTGTTGCAGTTCTATTCGACATGGTATTCGTCAAATCTGATGAGTCTAGTTATTCTTGGAAGAGGTACATAACATGTAATATTGTTGAATTGAGATTGATTGATGGAATTGTTAACCTTTGAGACCTACATTTCTTTTAAAATATCGATGTGACTAAACCATTTTATACTATTTGAACATATTTTGATATTTAGTTTGTTGAGATTCTGAGTTTGTATCGATATTCGTTAATTTGAATGCATGATCTGGCACTCAAACTTTGAGTAAGTCAAGCTTAGATATTGGTTGTTCATACTTCAGATCCTTGACGTCATGTGTTCTGATTTATTTAGACTACTAGATACGTTTACTTGGAAGTCAAGAATTATAGCGACTCATCATAGGACTACTTTGTCTTGAATAGTTGATTATTATGTTTAATAACATGTGATGTGGTAATGGACTGTGGGTTTAATTCAACTTGAGGAAAATCGATTGATCAGCATTCGTGACCTTCTTCGTACTACAGGTAGGTAAATGACTGAATTTGAAGTAGGTAAGTATACAGAAGAGTAAGAAAATGTTATTATGATAACTTTGATCTATTTTGTTTACCAAATGAGATAGAACGTTTGTGATTATCATGGCTAGTCCCCACTGTTCATCTATCTCATCAAAAATTGAACAAAATCGTTTCACTTATATTGTGATCTGTTGATTACAGTCAAGGAAACGTGGTAGTGATGATTTCAATTAAGGGGACTCTATTACCTACAATTATGAGTTGGCGATAAGATGTAATTTTTTTCAAGTTGTTCGTACAGATAAGGATAGTTAGCATGTCAATGTATGTAGGGTAGAGAACATTTGGAGAGCAGGTTATTCAGTTGATAAGAACCATTCATACTTTTCATCACAATACTAAGCATGATTCGCTTCCACCAGACGAGACTGGAAACGTCATCAGACTAGTTGTTTTTGACATGATGCCTCCTGATTGATCATTGGGTAACTATATCAGACTAATATTCATTGTGTTGTTCTGTCCATATATTAGTTATGGAATTGTTCTTACGTGTCAGCCTGTTTGATGCAGTGGCCATGAAGATCAACGTATTACCAAGAGATTTTCAAACTGCTCAAGCATCAGATTGTTTTTAACAACCATTGTGTCTGGATTATTTTGTCTTTGGTTACTAACCATAATTCATGGAAAGTACTATATAGGTGAGGAAAAAAAACCTATGTAGAACAAAGTTAGCTAACAAAAAGGATGAGAAAGTGTCACAATGCCACATTTTGTTACTCATATCTAACTTCTGAATCAGATATTTCCGACTTGTGTGAGATGCAAGTATGGCGACTACAAAATTGTGTTGGATTAATATTTCGTTCATATCACTTTAAAGTGAATATTTCTTGGTGTCTGTATTTGTTACACATGATGTTCTATTGAACGTTTGTCCTGAAGTGTAAGGGTATGGAGGATTTTGCGGTTCATTTTTTACGATGATTCTGTTGATTGATATCGTCTACTCATTCCTGTGAAAATGCTTTCAACGAATTATGTTTGTTTTATATGCCTTTGTTTTGAGTCGTTAAGTGGATTTCGGATAATCATCCTTACATTTGTTTACACGACACATGCGATTTCTATTTTGTCGTTTGATTGAAATTAAATTTAAATACTAGATGTGATTAGTATTTATGTTTTCTTTATGTCTGTGATTGTTTCTGATGAAATCTTTTCAGAATCTATAAATGACCTACAGAAGCTTGCAGAAGATAATTTTTCGGAAGTTATTGATCGTAATGTCGTGCAACCGTCATGGAACGATACTCCATGGCCTGATATATGTCTCAAGGTAACAGTTTCATTTGACTTTTATTATATTTAATATGTTTTCCGAGTAAAATATGCATATTTGATATTGTTTACTGCGTATGTATTTAAGTCAATCAGATAATTAGTTGATTCCAAAAGGTGTTTAAGTTCATATTCCTGATTGTCATTAATTATGCCATTTGGATGTGGCTTTTTTCATAGTTAAAGACTTACTTACTTACTTACTTACGCCTGTTACTCCTAATGGAGCATAGGCCGCCGACCAGATTTCTCCAACACACTCTGTCCTGGGCCTTCTTTTCTACTTCTATCCCGTTCTTGTTGATTCTTCTCATGTCTGTTTCTATTTCTCGACGTAATGTGTTCTTTAGTCTTTGGTACTGGTTTCGAGTCCCTGAGTGAACATCGACTCTGAGATTCAGGTACATCCAGCTGACGAGTCCCAAATAGAACGAAACGCGCGTCCTGGATTCCACTGCTAGCCACTATCCATCTTTGCTTACCATGCTTGTGAATTAAGGCTACATCGAGGCAATACGCGCAGTATGCACATATGTCAATTAGAGACTGATCAGTTGCAGTCCTAAACATCAATGAGAAGATTCAAACAAACAATACTAAATGAATTTAGTTCTCGGTATGTTAGCTCCGTAATATTAGCCCATGAAATCATTGAATTTCCGTATAAGCCATGCTGATAGATCTAGAATTCCTATTTGAGAACGGTATGATAACTGTGACCAGTCGTTGGGAACGTAATGTAACATATCCGTATTATATTGACTATCTCCTCAGGCACGCCGTAGTGTCGAAGAATAAGCCTCCATAGTGTCTTCCTGTCCACGCTATCAAATGCCTTCTCGTAGTCAATGAAGTTGATGTAGAGTGATGAGTTCCATTCGATTGATTGTTCCACAATGATACGTAGAGTTTCGATTTGATCTGTGCACGATCTATCCTTACGAAATCCAGCTTGTTGATCTCGAAGTTGGGCGTCCACGGAGTCTTTCGTTCTGTTCAACAATACTCTGTTGAAGACTTTTCCTGGTATTGAGAGAAGAGTGATGCCCCTGTAGTTATCACACTTGCTGAGATCGCCTTTCTTCGGTATCTTGATCAAAAGTTCTTTTTTCCAGTCTTTTGGTACTTGTTCTTTATCCCAAATCTTACTGAAAAGGATGCGTAGTATCTTGGCAGTTTCTGCTACATTTGCCTTCAGTGCCTCTGCCGGGATGTTGTCTGGTCCCGCTGCTTTGCCGCTCTTGTGATGTTGTCCGCGCCGTTGTCCAGTGCTTCTTAAGTTTTAATTTCATCTTACTTACTTACTTACTTTCGCCTGTTACTCCCAATGGAGCATAGGCCGCCGACCAGCTTTCTCCAACCCACTCTGTCCTGGGCCTTCTTTTCTAGTTCTTTCCAGTTCTTGTTCATTCTTCTCATGTCTGTCTCTATTTCTCGGCGTAATGTGTTCTTTGGTCTTCCTCTTCTCCTTCGACCTTCAGGATTCCATGTGAGGGCTTGTCTTGTGACACAATTGGGTGATTTCCTCAAAGTGTGCCCAATCCACTTCCAGCGCTTCCTCCTGATTTCTTCCTCCGCTGGAATCTGGTTTGTTCTCTCCCACAGTAACTTGTTGCTGATAGTGTCTGGCCATCGGATCCGAAGTATCTTGCGTAGACAGCTGTTAATAAACACTTGTATCTTCTGGATAATGGCTTTCGTAGTTCTCCACGTCTCTGCCCCATACAGAAGAACTGTCTTGACATTTGTATTGAAAATTCTAACCTTGGTGTTGGTTGACAATTGTTTTGAGCTCCAGATGTTTTTCAGCTGTAGGTATGCTGCTCTTGCTTTGCCGATCCTCGCCCTCACATCTGCATCTGATCCACCGTGTTCATCAATGATGCTGCCCAGATATGTAAAGATTTCCACATCCTCCAAAGCTTCTCCGTCAAGTGTAATTGGATTGGTGCATATTGTATTATATCGGAGAGTCTTGCTTTTCCCTTTGTTTATATTGAGACCTACTGCTGCTGAGGCTGCTGCTACACTGGTCGTTTTCTCCTGCATTTGTTGTTGCGTTTGTGATAGAAGAGCCAGATCATCCGCGAAGTCTAAATCGTCAAGCTGCATCCTGCCTGTCCACTGTATCCCGTTCATTCCTCCAGATGTTGACGTCTTCATAATCCAGTCGATCACCAGGAGAAAGAGAAAGGGTGAGAGTAGGCAACCTTGCCTAACACCGGTCTTTACCTCGAACGAGTCGGTGAGTTGTCCTCCGTGGACGATTTGGCAGTTTAGTCCATCATAGGAGTTCCGTATGATATTTACTATCTTCTCAGGCACACCGTAGTGTCGAAGAAGCTTCCATAGTGTCGTCCTGTCCACGCTATCAAATGCCTTCTCGTAGTCGATGAAGTTGATGTACAGTGATGAATTCCATTCGATTGATTGTTCCACAATGATACGTAGAGTTGCGATTTGATCTGTGCACCATCTATCCTTACGAAATCCAGCTTGTTGATCTCGAAGTTGAGCGTCCACGGAATCCTTCATCCTGTTTAACAATACTCTGTTGAAGACTTTTCCTGGTATTGAGAGGAGAGTGATGCCTCTGTAGTTGTCGCACTTGCTCAGATCGCCTTTCTTTGGTATCTTGATGAGAAGTCCTTCTTTCCAGTCTGTTGGTACATGTTCTTCGTCCCAAATCTTACCGAAGAGGATGTGGAGTATCTTGGCAGTTGCTGTTACATTTGCTTTCAGTGCCTCTGCCGGGATGTTGTCTGGTCCCGCTGCTTTGCCACTCTTGATTTGTCTAATGGCCATGCTGATCTCTTCAATTGTTGGTGGGCCAATATCGATTGGGAGGTCTGTGGGTGCTGCTTCGATGTTGGGTGGGTTCAGTGGAGCTGGTCGATTCAAGAGTTCTTTGAAGTGTTCTACCCACCTGTTTCGTTGTTCTTCAATATCGTTGATTACTTTGCCTTCCTTGTTTTTCACTGGTCTTTCTGGTTGACGGTAATTTCCAGCAAGTTTCTTTGTTGTATCATACAGTTGTCTCATGTTTCCCTCTCTTGCAGCCTTTTCCGCTGTCATCGCTAAATCTTCCACATATTTACGTCGGTCGGTCCTGATGCTCCTCTTCACTTGCTTGTTTGCCTCTGTGTATTCGGCTTGTGCCTTGGCTTTTTCTGCTCTTGTTCGGCTGATATTGATTGCTACCTTCTTGTTCCTCCTTGCTTCAATTTTATCCAGTGTACCAACAGTGATCCATTCCTTGTGATGGTGCTTCTTTTGGCCCAGAACCTCCTGACATGTTGAAACGATTGCCTCCTTGATACCTTTCCAGCTGCTCTCTATGGTGGTTCCCTCTTCATTGAGTAGGTTATGAAAGGCCTGGAACCTGTTGCTGAGGGCTATGTTAAATTCGTTGAGTTTGTCAGCATCTCGAAGAAAGGCCGTGTTGAACTTTTGTGATGTTGTCCGCACCGTTGTCCAGTGCTTCTTGAGTTTTAGTTTCATCTTGGCGACCAGCAAATGGTGATCGGATGCTATATCAGCTCCTCTTCTGGTTCTCACATCCTCCATCGTCCTCCTGAACTTTTTGTTGATGCAGACATGGTCGATTTGATTCTGTGTAGTGTGATCCGGTGAAATCCAAGTGGCTTTGTGTATGTTTTTGTGTGGGAATATGGTGCCACCTATGACCAGTTTATTGAAGGCACATAGGTTTGCAAATCTCTCACCGTTTTCGTTCCTTTCTCCCAGTCCATGTTGTCCCATGACGTCTTCGTATCCAGTGTTGTCCTTTCCAACCTTGGCATTGAAATCTCCCATTAGAATGGTCAGGTCCTTGGTTGGGCACTTCTCGAAGATTGACTGCAGCCTATCGTAGAATTGGTTTTTAGCGTCTTCATCGTAGTCGTTGGTCGGCGCATAGCATTGGATGATGTTCATTGTAATGCCCTCTCTCTTTGTTCTGAAGGAGGCTTTGATGATCCTTGGTCCATGAGATTCCCATCCTATAAGTGCATTTTGTGCTTTTCTAGACAGCATCAGTGCCACTCCTTGTGTATGTGGGGCATTTTCTTCTTCATGACCGGAGTATAACAGAAGTTCCCCTGAAGACAGTCGTTGTTGTCCAACCTGCGTCCAATGTGTTTCACTGATTCCAAGCACTTCCAGGTTGTATTTCCTCATTTCCGCAGAAATTTGGAAGACTCTGCCGGTCTCCCACATTGTCCGGACATTCCATGTACCTATAAAAAAAATTGTCGCTCTGGTTGTAAGAAGGTGCATCGGCCTCATGACTTCCGAAGGAACTCGGCTTTCATCATGAGACGTCATTTTTCCTTCTACTCCCAGGGCAGAGTTTGAATGGTTTGAATGAATTTTTCTGGTTAGCGTTTTTTTAGCGAGTTGATTTTCTACGGGATGGGGTCGCTAACCCCATGCCCAACCCTCCTCCTTTACCCGGGCTTGGGACCGGCAGTAGCCCCTGGAGGAGCTACAGGCGGAGTTTTTAATTTCATCTTGGCGACCAGCAAATGATGATCGGATGCTATATCAGTTCCTCTTCTGGTTCTCACATCCTCCATCGTCCTCCTGAATTTTTGTTGATGCAGATATGGTAGGTTTGATTCTGTGTAGTGTGATCCGGTGAAATCCAAGTGACTTTGTGTATGTTTTTGTGTGGGAATATGGTGCCACCTATGACCAGTTTATTGAAGGCACATAGGTTTGCAAATCTCTCACCATTTTCGTTCCTTTCTCCCAGTCCATGTTGTTCCATGATATCTTCGTATCCAGTGTTGTCCATTCCAACCTTAGCATTGAGATCTCCCATCAGAATGGTCAGGTCCTTGGTTGGGCACTTCTCGAAGATCGACTGCAGCCTATCGTAGAATTGGTCTTTAGCGTCTTCATCGTAGTCATTGGTAGGCGCATAGCATTGGATGACGTTCATTGTAATGCTCTCTTTTTTTGTTTTGAAGGAGGCTTTGTTGATCCTTGGTCCATGAGATTCACATCTAATAAGTGCATTTTGTGCTTTTCTGGACAGCATCAATTAAACTCGTTGTGTATGTGGGGCATTTTCGTCTTCATGACCGGAGTATAACAGAAGTTCTCCTGAAGCTAGTCGTTGTTGTCCAACCTGCGTCCAATGTGTTTCACTGATTCCAAGCACTTTCAGGTTGTATTTCCACATTTCCGCAGCAATTTGGAAGACTTCCGGTCTCCCACATTATTCGGACATTCCATGTACCTTTAAAAATTGTCGCTCTGGTTGTAAGAAGGTGCATCGGCCTCATGACTTCCGAAGGAACTCAGCTTTCATCATGAGACGTCATAATTATTCCTTCTACTCCCAGGGCAGAGTTTGAAAGGTTTGAATGATTTTTTCTGGTTAGCGTTTTTAAGCGAGTTGATTTTCTACGGGATGGGGTCGCTAACCCCATGCCCAACCCTCCTCCTTTACCCGGTCTTGGGACCGGCAGTAACCCCCAGAGGAGCTACAGGTGGAGTTATAGTTAGAGAGTAGGATACTATAAACTAGGTGTTGGATCATTAGAAAGAACCATGCAACTTTAATTATGTGTAACAAGTCGTGTGGTAATCTAAAGAACGATGATAAACAATTTTGTGAAGATAGTTATTCGGTGAGCAGTGTGACTGTTGATTGCCTATAGTATGATGAATATTGATGTGTGGGCGAGAATGATAATGATTGGTCGTCTCGATGAGTCAGACATTAGACAGGATGACAGGTGTTGTGTGTTATATATATATTCCCCTGTCCTTATTATGTATTGACTGTTCCTTGTTGATGGACACTTATTGATTGACTGTTCTTTGTGTCGGATTTTCGTGTGGAAATATATTGACGTTATAGTCAGGCTAATCTTGTGTTCTTGATCTGAGTTTTGTTGATGTCCTGTAGAATAGACACTGGGTGGGAATCTAGTGTAGATATTCGTCTAAGATAAATTAACGTCCCACATACGTGTAAGAAGTAAAAGGACTGTTATAACAAGAACCCCTACTGTTATAACCAGCATCCTCTCCTTTACGTTTATAACAATTAGCGACGGCATACATACGTTTATAACAAATATATAGAATGTGTAGACGGATAAATTGAAGAAGGTGTAGCAGAGAATAATGGCTTAGTAATAATGGTGCGTAGGGTGATAGGATGTGGTAAATAGTAACATGAATATTGCCTGTTGTCTATTGTTGAAGGCATGCCGAAAATGGATTTAATGGTTTGTGTAACTGTGTTCCTTTCTAAGACTCTTGTTTTACCTGGGACTCAAACGTGTGGAAATAACAGTTGATATTTATTGAGCATTATAGTTTCCTAGTTGGTAATATTTAATAACGCTGATGTGAATTTTGTTTTTGTCAATGTGAGCACATTGATTGTTATTAGTTTTTTGGTTATTGATAAGTTTCTAGTTTGTAGAATGTCTCGTGTGAATGTAAACCTTTTGTGATGTCAAACTTGTATGAGAGGCTTCATTGTTGTCAGAAGCGTCCGTACAGTCCAATACTGCTAGACATTTCCATTGATTAGTAAGTATAAAATGATTGAGTAATGCCAATCACATTTGAGTTATTGTCCTGTTCAGAAATAAAGTTGTACATTTTGAATAAAAGAATTAGAATTTGTGTGTTAGAATATGGATTGCTAAATTATCCACCTGGGTAGTTGGTGTTGTACTGTCACTGAGATTGTAATCTGTGAATAAGACCAATAATTTATTTTTCTTGAAGTATGTAATGTTCATCAAAATGTTAATGATTTTTAATCTCTTAAATTAGAGTTTTAAGGTAGAATAAATGTACAATTTGATTTTGATTTTATCACAGAAAATGGTATATGTCGTCCCACTGAACGATATTCATCAAATGAATATAATGTGGCCTATTCCTGACTATATTCCAGACTATACAGCTCAAGTAAATTATTGTTTTGAACTGGATTGATCAGTTATACACAAATGCAGATTCATTGTTCGTTGTATTTTTTCACCATATTGTTTCCAAATGTTGACGTGTGTGGATCCGTTTTTACGTTTGCTTATAATGGGGAATGATTTGCAACAATAGTTTAAACATTTGTATTTTCTACTGATAAATGTTTTTGATGTGGTAGAAGATGTGCGTTAAGTGCTGAACTAAGTGGTGTTCAGAATTTTGTAGTTGTAGCTGAATAGATTTTTCATTTATTGCCATTACCATTTATAACCATGACCCCGTATATTGGGACGTTGTTTTAATGTCTGCCATTCTGCTTAGTCCAGTTTTAGATTTATTCTTTACATAGTGTGTGCTAAACATTTTTATGTGTTCATAGTATTGCTTAATTAACCTGAATCTATTTTCTATTTTAGAGGTTTTGTCCTCAATTTGTAGGGGACATTATACGTGTTTTTAGATTATAACTATCGTAAGCGTCTGTGACATATGCAATTCGTGTTATTTAAGAATAGGTATCTGATTGTTCGCTTTATTTTCAGTTTCATGACCGTACCTCTTTTTACTATAATAATAGATGATCACTAAGTGTTTTATTGAATATATGTTTTATTTTTGGAAAAGATTTGTGTTTTGAGTAATCCTTTTGACACCATATCTCGTTATTGCTTGTGTTTATAATTGTTATTACATATTATTATCGTCAAATACACTGACAGTACGCCTATGCCTAAAAATTCTAGTTAAAATTTATTCATGAATATCAGTAACTTGGAAACACTAATCCTAAGGAACAGTTTTGCTCAACCTAAATGTTGTACATATTCAAGATAACGAGAGTAAAGATTTGAGCACAATAGTATGAATTCGTTTTATTCCGCTGAATTCTCATCAGCTGCTTAAAATCTGTAATATTTAAAAATGGGTTCAAAATACATGTATGATAGAGTTTAGTTGAAAGTCGCTATAATCACATATCGGTATAATATAGGAAAGGTGTAAATAAATTCAATAGACTTAACAAAATATAGTAAGTTTATATCTTATTTCATAGATCATTCTATAACGTTGATAGCGATAAAATCCCAAAGGGTTAGAGACAAGTGGTCGTCAATGAGAGCCAAACGAAGTAAAATGAATTCTGGCTATTCTGCTCAAATCTTTATGTTTACTCCCTTCAAGGTTACAAGAGGAACAATATGTAATACAGACGTAATCGTTTATCATCATGAAGGTCGTTTTCCTAATTAATTGATATGAGGTAGATAATGACGGTATATGAAGTTGTTTTCATGCGTTGTTTTGATACATCTTTCTAATATAGTAAGTATCAGTCTATGATGAAACTTTTCTGTTAAATTTATGTGCTTACCACAAACATATTATTTTATTATTTAAATATGATTTTCATCACATACTTAGCTGTGGTGTAGAGAATAAGGCTTTTGACTTTCAGCCATTAAGTTCCGTGTTCGAGGCCTGTCTCACTCACTTTGGTTGGGGCAACCGGCTTGTAATATCAGCCCTCACACACAGAGTGTGGTTCATATTCCAAGCACCTACAGAATGCGTTAATTTGTAATTAAATATACTGACGTCTTATTTCTAACCACTGCGAACCAAAAAGGACTGAACACGCATTACATCCTAGCTCTTTACTTCTTGATAGTTTGCACTTACAGTAAAATACAGAATGTAATCTAACTCTTGTCTGATGGTGATTGCTCTGCTTTCAGGTTATTGTGTTGGTACTCATTGATTCACACTTCCGATTTACTACATTTCACATGCTTTCATTATTATCGACTGGAAGATTTAATGATAAGTCATAGCCAGTGGGATGTAATTTTATTGGTCTATATCGTAAATTGAAGTAAGTGAAAAATGTAGAACACTGAGTCTTGTCCCGATGATTTGAAATATATCATTGTCTACTAGAGACTTGAAAATTTTCGGCATAATTTCGTATGCAGTCATTCTAGGTTACTGCTAAATAGACATAAATTGGGACTTAATAGCTTCTTGATGTCTCTTGGTTTTAAATAGCTTCTCACCTGATATCAGCCGTAGATAAGGCCTATCCTCAGATGAAATAGGTTTTTGAAATTTTTTAATCTTCATTTCAATTACTTGAGTGATTTTTCAACTCACATGTTTACAGGCCACTAGTTATGTGACTTATTTACTTGGTCATGAAAATCGTGGAAGTTTACTGAGTTTATTCAAAAATGCAGGCTGGGCCAATCAACTAACATGTGATGTTAGTAGACAAGAATTTGGGATTTGTTATCTGAATGTGTTCGTTCATTTAACTTTGAAAGGACTTGGTGAGTTAATTGTTGGTTAGATTTCTTATTTCCTAACGTTATTGCTCATAACTGTATATGGTTTAGACAAATTATATGTCTAAATATCTAGTTAATTTCTTGAAACTTTATTTTTTGTAGAGAAAATCAATGAAATTATAACAAATATATATCAATACATTAACATGCTTCGCTCTGATGAACCAAAAAGTTGGATATTTGATGAAATACAGGTAGGGTTTTGATTTTTCTTCGACCATTTCGAACTTTGACTAGACAATGTGAGAGTTTGATGAAAATTAACAGTTGTGTTGTATCTGTGGATTATGTCCAACAACACAAACATTTATGCGCATCGGTTTAAGTTTACACACATGACACGTTAAGAGGCTGCGAGTACAACTCAACATTCCGAATTCAATAGGGTAAACGAAACCAATTTTATCTCCTTCCATTTCCTGCCCTAACGACTTCAGATTAAAGACACCAGTTTTTCAAAATGAAGCTTTTTGACGATGAGCCATCAAAATCCATCGAAAACGCATTAAGTTTATCGATTATATATCAATAAAAAAGTTTTTAGAATATTGAAAATCAGTACTTATCATTGGCACAAATCGTCGAGAAAATATATTGAAATTCCCTGAACAAAGTTCTCACTTAGTAAATTACAACGGTATTTCAACCTAATCGATGTGAATTTGCTTCTCAGAAGTTGTAATTTTAGACTGCAGATCTCTTGAATAACATCAATATAATGATGAATTAATAGAAAATTGAAAGTAAAGAAACAATTTAGTGGTGAATCTAATGCCATAAATAGGGCGAAAATTAAAACTATAGTTTAAAAAGGCCAAATGGGTATTTCTTTTTGTATTTAGAGAATAGATAAATCAGTTTTTAACTATGTTTAAATGTAAGTTAACCTATCCAGTGGATTATTTTTATATACATTGTTTACTTGTAGACTTTATGGGAACTAGGCTTTCGATTTAAAGATAAAGAGACACTTTACGAATACGTGATTAGGTTATCCCTCAATTTGTTGGTGAGTACTACTGAAAACAAATACTTTTTATTTTAAAGCTTTTGATTACCCTTAAAAACAGTGTAACACCTCCAATAACCTATTTTCTAATCCTTCATATAAATCAACTTTCGACATTATCATACCGAGTTTTAAGATCAGTTTATAGAAAAATAGTATGACTGACATATACATAATTGTTCCTTAATTTTCTACTTTTTTCTTCTAGACTTATAACATGCAAGATGTCCTAACTAGTCCTCTTTTAGCAACTGTCTACGATCCTAATTTAATTAAGAAACTTTTGACTTCTCTTAATCCCGATAACAGTCGGTATGTTTTACTGATTATTTTGTAAAGTTTTAATTCACAGCGCCACGTTAATTTATAATATTTACAGATTTGAAAATGTAGTTTTGAATTTTTTGTTATGTTATGGAAGTGTAGCTTTCTCATTGTAATGTAACGCTTTTGTTCCATAACTAACATCAACTGGTTTCGTTTAATTCAGTTATTAACAGTCATTTGGTACCTTATATTTTATTACAGTGAATAATTCTCAGCACAAATTTTCATTAGTGTAACATGTTCATCGTTAATATCCACTTAACGTTTTAAAACTTGCAGTTTTTCTGCAAAATGTTTTCAGTAAGGAGATTGTGTAAGTTTGTCGAGCGATAGCTCGGATTGATTGGAGTTAGATGTGTACGCCATTTGATTTTTTCTAGTGGTCTAGAGATTGAGCGTTCATGGGCGAGATCGGTCTTCAGTACAATCATTGGTTATTAGGTCACGGATACACTCTTCTGAGGAGTCCCATCCAAGGACCAAACGGCCATCCAGCGGTTTTGGTTTTTGAGCGTTCGTTTAATTTAGATTAGTTCATGTTATCAAAAAACGCTTTACAACCACGTGAATCGCCGTTTACATGTATTTGATTGACTTCATTAATATGACATTTTTCGTCGCCTAATAAAATTTTTCATGTTTGGTTTCCTTTCGTAAACATTTTTCGTCTCTCCAAAAATTTACAAGACGGATAGACTTGAACTTTACACTAATCATCTTCGTGATAGGTTGTTACCTGTATATATAATACCGTTTGCTTACATATTTTTTTGTTAGTTAGAGTAAATTAAAGGTCGAAAACACTTATTGTAGTATTTGTAAATTTAAGAAATATGTTAAATCACGTGATAAAAAGCCGGGCTTAAATTCACAACAAAATATATAGCTCCAAAGTTTGTAAAGGTGCCGTATGCTCACTGAACTCGTTACAAGTGTAAAAATATTTTGACTAATTGCTGTAAAAATATTTACTTACTTACTTTTCTTATCACTCGTGGAGGAGCATAGACCGCCCACCAGAATTCTTCAGCCAACTCTGTCTTCATCTCACCTTTTCAGTTGTTTCCGATTGCCATTCATTCTTTTGATTTCTGCTTCCCATTCCCGACGCAACGTATTCTTCATTCTTCTTTTTTTCTGTTTTCTGTCAGGATTCCAGGTTAGCGCTTGCTTCGTGATGCATTTTGATGATTTCCATAATGTATTTCATACCCACCTCCAGAGTCTTTAGTAATTTCTTTTTCAGATGGAAGCCAACTTGTTCTCTCTCAAAGTAGGTTGTTGCTGGTGTTATCTGGACAACAGATATTGAGTATGTTGCGTAGAAAATTGATTATAAATACTTGAACTCTTTGTATGATGGTTGTAGTAGTTCTCCACGTTTCAGCTCCGTACAGTAGGGCTGGCTTGATGTTCGTATTGAAGATTCTGACTTTGATGTTTTCCGACAGTTGTTTTGAGTTCCATATGTTCTTCAACTGTAGGAATACTGTCCTTTGCCAGTCCTTGTCTTCATATCTGCACCAGATCCTCATTGTTCATCGATGACTCAGATCTCCTTTTTTGGTATCTTGATGAGGTATCCTTTCCAGTCCGTTAGCAATTGTTCTTCCTACCAAATCTTCTTGAATAAAAGGTGAAGCACGTTTGTATTTGCTTCTATGTCTGACTTCAGTGCTTCACCTAGTAAATTGTCAGATGCTGCTGCTTTCCTATGAAGTCATCTAGTTGCATTCAAGCTATCCATTGTATTTCATGCTTTCGCTGAGATGTGAAGGTCTCCGTAATCCAATCAACCACCAGAAGATAAAGAAAGGGGGAGAGGAAGCAACATCCTTTTTAGTCTCCGGTCCTCACTTGGAACGCATCTTTCAGCTGTCCTCCATGCACCACTTTGCACTGTAGTCCGTCGTTTGAATTCCGGATGATGTTGACGATTTTCTCAGGTACACCATTGTATCGAAGAAGATTCCATAAGGTTATCCTATTCACACTGTCAAATACTTTGTTATAGTCAATGAAGATAACGTTTAGTGATGAGTCCTATTCGATTGATTGTTTGGCAATTGTCTGCGGTGTCGCAATCTGGTCTGCCTATGACCAATACTTACAGAATTCAGTCTATTGATCTTGAAGCTGTGCGTGTACTGAATCTTTCATTCTCTTTAACAACACTGCTACAAACGTTTTTTAATACTAATAGTAGTGTGATGTCTCTATAGTTCTCACACTTTCTGAGATCTTTCTCTAGTATTTTGTCGAGGTATCGTTCTTCACAGTCTGTTGGCACTTGTTCCTGCTCCCAAATCTTTTTGAATAGAAGGTGAAGCATGTTTGCAGTCACTTCAATGTCTGATTTCAGTGCTTCAGCTGATATGTTGTCATGTCCTGCTGCTTCCTCACTCTTGATTTGTCTGATGGACATCTTGATTTCTTTGATATCTATAGGAATGTCTGTATGTGCTGCTTCGATGTCAAAAGATTCAGTGGAGCTGGTCTTTTCAAGTGTTCCTCGAATTGTTCCAACTATCTGTTCCTCTGTCCTTGATTTCCAGTGATTGTCTTGTCTTCTTTGTCCTTGACTGGTCTATCTGGTTTACTACATTTTCCTACCAGTTCCTTAGTTGTGCTTGTTTGCTTCTGTGTATTCAGCTTGTGCCTTCACTTTCTCTGTTCTTGTTCGATTGTCGTTAATTTCTCTTCTCTTCTCTTGTTCTCTCTTTCTATAATCCTGGTCAGGGTTTTGCTGGGGGTGCTTTCTTTATGATGATGCTTCTTGATGTCCAGCTCCTCCTGTTAAGTTGAAGTTAGTGCTTTTCTAATTCCTTTCCAATCGTTCACTACACTAGTTTCTTCTTTGAACAGATCTTATAAGGCTTGGAACCTGTTCCTAAGAGCCATAATAAATTGATTGAGTTTGTCAGTATGTCGAAGGAAGACTATATTAAACGTTTATAATTCTGTTTTTCCAGGTGTTCATTGCATCTTTAGCTTCATTTTCATCTTGGCAACCACTAGACAACCACTTGACAAAATTTGTTGTTATTCTCTCCTTCGTTTTTATGAAGGATGCTTTTATAATTCTGGACCCATGAATTTTCCATTTTATAAGTGCCTTACGTGCTTCTCTGAACAGTACTGATGAAATCTTTGTGTGTGCAAAGCATTTTCATCTTCGTGACCAGAGTACAGCAGCACCTCTCCCGAATCCAAACTTTTCTGTCCAGCTTGTGTTCAATAAGTCTCACTCATTCTGCGAACTGCTAAGTTGTATTTGTTCAATTCTGCAGCTATTTTACTGCTCCTATCGATCTCCCGCATTGTCCGAACATTCCATGTACCTATAAAAAATTTTGCACTAGTTGTTAGAAGGGTCATTGGCCTCGTGGTTTTCGAAGAATCTTGGGTTTCGCCTCGAGGCGTCATAATTCTTCTGAGTGAATATCCTTCAACTCGGTGGCAGATTTTGAATTATTTAAATTTTTTCCGATCACGGTTTTTTGCTTTCTACACGATAGATTGCTAAAACCGTTCCCAACCCTCCTCCTTTACGCAGATTTGAGACCGACAGTTGCCCTAGAAGGGCTGCAAGCGAAATTTTTCTCTACGCCGATAACCTTAAAATTGTTTGCCATTGTTCGCATAATGTAGATACTTCAGTAAAATATATTGAAGGAGAAATTGGTCAAATGCAAATCTGGTGCCAGTTTCGGAAAACAGAGTTGGGAATTAATTTCTTTTTTAGTTCTACACAGTTTCATAACGTTGTTATTTTCACTTTAAATATTCATTGATCACCTATTCTTGATTCAGTACGAGATTTATGCGAAAAGCGAACCTCAGATTTTGTCGATCTGAATATGTCAACATTCTAAATTATAAAGAGAAAAGACTCATGGGCTTTGTTATTAAGAACTTGGTAGCTTGAATATACGTTTAGGAAGATTCAAATTTAAAATGTTTGGTTGCGATTTGTCTTTTAGAAAGTAGATCATAGGAGTAAAATGGAGATATTTTATTAATAAAAGTGATATTATTTTGCTGACAAAATAAAGTATATTTCTTCACTCTTTTAATATTGTGTTAACTTTGTTTTACAGCATCTTTGTACTTAGTAAAACGTTTATAGACAAATGTGTCGAGGAAGAACCCTGGTATCACACTAAATACCTTGCTATTAATATTCCTGAAAGTACCTTATCAGTAAGTGAATGTTCATAGCAAATATTGTAATCGAAAATCCTTATCTAATTAAATATCGTTGTTTAAATTGTGCTAGTTGATACGAAGCTGTTGGTTCTTATTTAAAACTGATAAGTATGTATACGTGCATCTCAATTTTCTGACAGTTTTTTTCGGTTAAAGCTAGTACTGTGTTTGATTGTTTAAAATTCTGTAGTCATTCGAATTCTGAGTTACAATATCCATTGGTTGTTCAGCAAGAAGTGGTTAAAAAACCTTGGTCACGCGGTCGCGTACCTTAGCATAAGATGCTGTCTAGCATATAAGTGTGATAGAAGAAGTCTGGATATGATCAAACCAACATATGGTATCATTTCATAAAACCACGAAATGTTATTTAGATTAGCATTCTCATCGTATCTTATATTCGTTGACACTAGAATAAGTGTATCAAAATTGCTTAAAGTGGCACAGTTACGCCCATTTTAATCTTGTTTGATTCATAGGTTTATTGTTAGTTCAGATTTCATCAGTTCTAATCGAAATACATTTATTATTTACTATTCCTGCTTGAGTTCTTTACTCCTCGTTAATGTTTTTTCGCCCAATATGTTGGTATAAAATAATTGGTCGTGATGACAGTGGTTTTTTATCAACCAAACAACAACGGCGGTTAATCTAAACAAGTCCACATTCATCCAGACAATTTAGTTCTCATCTCCGACAGAATCTTACTTTTTGTAAGGTCTTTTCTTTACTCTCCTCAATTTTCGAAGTTTTTTGGAGATAAATCGGTCAGATTTCGTCAAGACTTTTTTACTGGGACACCAAACATTAAAAAAGTTATCGTAACAAGTGAAAATATAAGTGGACTCCAAAATCTCGTACATGTTGGTAAATTGGATTATGTTTATTCATATATGTCGAACTATATTTCAAATTAAAACAATTAATACAATCATTCGAGAATCTGAAACCTCATTTTTTGGCCTTTTGATCGGATATCTATTTCAAAGAACGATTAAATATGCTATAAACATATTTCTTCCATTTAACTCTGTATATTACCTAGGGTAACTTCTTTCATAACTCCGCCTGTAGCTCCTCTGGGGTTACTGCCGGTCCCAAGCCCGTGTAAATGAGGAGGGTTGCGCATGTGGTTAGCGACGCCATTCCGTAGAAAATCAACTCGCTAAAAAAACGCTAACCAGAAAAAATCATTCAAACCATTCAAACTCTGCCCTGGGAGTAGGAGGAATAATTATGACGTCTCATGATGAAAGCTGAGTTCCTTCGGAAGTCATGAGGTCGATGCACCTTATAACCAGAGCGACAATTTTTAAAGGTACATGGAATGTCCGAACCATGTGAGAGACCGGAAGAGTATTCCAAATTGCTGCGGAAATGAGAAAATACAGGAGAGCATTACAATGAACGTCATCCAATGTTATGTGCCGACCAATGACTACGATGAAAACGCTAAAGACCAATTCTACGATAGGCTGCAGTCGATCTTCGAGAAGTGCCCAACCAAGGACCTGACCATTCTGATGGGAGATCTCAATGCTAAGGTTGGAATGGACAACACTGGATACGAAGATATCATGGAACAACATGGACTGGGAGAAAGGAACGAAAATGGTGAGAGATTTGCAAACCTATGTGCCTTCAATAAACTGGTCATAGGTGGCACCATATTCCCACACAAAAACATACACAAAGTCACTTGGATTTCACCGGATCACACTACACAGAATCAAACCTACCATATCTGCATCAACAAAAATTCAGGAGGACGATGGAGGATGTGAGAACCAGAAGAGGAACTGATATAGCATCCGATCATCATTTGCTGGTCGCCAAGATGAAATTAAAACTTAAGAAGCACTGGACAACGGCGCGGACAACATCACAAAAGTTTAATACGGCCTTTCTTCGAGATGCTGACAAACTCAACAAATTCAACATAGCCCTCAGCAACAGGTTCCAGGCCTTTCATGATCTACTCAATAGAGAGGGAACGACCATGGAGAGCAACTGGAAAGGGATATAAGAGGCAATCACTTCAACATGTCAAGAGGTTCTGGGCCAAAAGAAGCGCCATCACAAGGAATGGATCACTGTTCGTACACTGGATAAAATTGAAAAAAGGAGGAACAGGAAGTCAGCAATCAATGCCAACCGAACAAGAGAAAAAAGGCCGAGTCACAAACCAAATACACAGAAGTAAACAAGCAAGTGAAGAGGAGCATCAGAACCGACAAACGTAAATATGTGGAAGATTTAGCAATGACAGCGGGAAAGGCTGCAAGACAGGGAAACATGAGACAATTGTATGATACAACAAAGAAACTTGCTGGAAATTACCGTAAGTCAGAAAGACCAGTGAAGAGCAAGGAAGGCAAAGTAATCACCGACATTGAAAAACAACGAAACAGGTGGGTAGAAGACTTCAAAGAACTCTTGAATCGACCAGCTCCAGTGCACCCACCCAACATCGAAGCAGCACCCACAGACCTCCCAATCGATGTTGGCCCACCAACAATTGAAGAGATCAGCATGGCCATTAGACAAATCAAGAGCGGCAAAGCAGCGGGACCAGACAACATCCCGGCAGAGGCACTGAAGGCAAATGTAGCAGAAACTGCCAAGATACTACGCATCCTTTTCAGTAAGATTTGGAATGAAGAACAAGTACCAAAAGACTGGAAAAAAGAACTTTTGATCAAGATACCGAAGAAAGGCGATCTCAGCAAGTGTGATAACTACAGGGGCATCACTTTTCTCTCAATACCAGGAAAAGTCTTCAGCAGAGTATTGTTAAACAGGATGAAGGATTCTGTGGACGCCCAACTTCAAGATCAACAGGCTGGATTTCGAACGGATAGATCGTAAACAGACCAAATCACAACTCTACGTATCATTGTGGAACAATCAATCGAATGGAACTCATCACTCTACATTAAGTTCATTGACTACGAGAAGGCATTTGATAGCGTGGACAGGAAGACACTATGGAGGCTTATTCTTCGACACTACGGCGTGCCTGAGGAGATAGTCAATATAATACGGAACTCCTATGATGGACTAAACTGCCAAATCGTCCATGAAGGACAGCTCACCGACTCATTCGAGGTATAGACCGGTGTTAGACAAGGTTGCTTACTCTCACCCTTTCTCTTTCTCCTGGTGATTGACTGGATCATGAAGACGTCAAAATCTGAAAAAAAGCGCGGGATACAATGGATAGCTAGGATGTAGCTGGACGATTTAGACTTCGCGGATGATCTGGCTTTCTATCACAACGGCAACAACAAATGCAGGAGAAAACGATCAGTGTGGTAGCAGCCTCAGCAGCAGTAGGTCTCAATATAAACAAAGGTAAAAGCATGACTCTCCGTGTTATATCCCCTGATGAATTATGAATGGTAACTCTAGGGACTATTTATCGACCAATGTATTATGCCTATTTCCTATTGTACAATTGTTACTTAACTAAACTATTCATATTCGTGTTTCTCTTATCATTAGTTTTATTTTGATCTTTGATTTATTATCGTACGATTCTTGAGTTATAATCAGTTTATTGATTATTTTGGTTTGTATAAAAACTCAGTATGTTTGTAAATAATGATTCATATTGCCGAGGTTGTTATTTGTGTTCTGGACTTAACTGACTGGGCTAGGCATATAGAAAGGACCGGTTAGCAATCAAGACTGCTCGTACGATTTCAAGTGTCATTTGCGTCCGGTCAATAAATTCGCTCCTTCTCTAATTGCACGTATATATATTACAAGTTCATACGTTATAACACTCCGATGCGATACAATATGTACCAATCAAATTACACTTGACGGAGAAGCTTTGGAGGATGTGGAAACCTTTACATATCTGGGCAGCATCGTCGATGAACACGTTGGATCAGATGCAGATGTGAAGACGTGGATCGGCAAAGCAAGAGCAGCATATTTACAACTGAAGAACATCTGGAACTCAAAACAATTGTCAACCAACACCAAGGTTAGAATTTTCAACACAAATGTCAAGACAGTTCTTCTGTATGGGGCGGAGTCGTGAAGAAATACGAAAGCCATCATCCAGAAGTTAGGGATGTTTTTTAACAGTTGTCTACGCAAGATACTTCGGATCCGATGGCCAGACACTATCAGCAATAAGTTACTGTGGGAGGCAAGAAACCAGATTCCAACGGAGGAAGAAATCAGAAAGAAGCGCTGGAAGTGGATAGGACACACCTTGAGGAAATCACCTAATTGCGTCACAAGACAAGCATTCACATGGAATCCTGAAGGTCAACGGAGAAGAGGAAGACCAAAGGACACATTACGTCGAGAAATAGAAACAGACATGAGAAGAATGAACAAGAACTGGATAGAATTATAAAAGAAGGCCCAGGACTGAGTGTGTTGGAGAAATCTGGTCGGCGGCCTATGCTCCATTGGGAGTAACAGGCGTAAGTAAGTAAATAAGTAACTTCTTTTATGTGACAGCGTGACTATGAAGCGAAATACGGGTTGCGTTAGATGAATTTACTTCAAGCGCTCGTTTATGCATACAGACAGTCAGGAAAAGAAGCGTGAAAGCAAAGCAGAGAAGACGAGCAAGCCAACTTGTTTTCATTAAGTGTGACTCAATATCTATAGCCAGACAAAACTAAGCTACAAACGTGTGATGAAAAATGTAAGCAATACACACACGCTCATATAAGAACAAGGTCAAAATGTGGCTCGAGAAGATTAAAGAAATCGGTCTCTACGAAAGAAAGAATAACCCAAGTTGGCTTCATATGGCACTATGCACTATAACCTACACGATTTGACTGATATCAAAAAATAACAGCATAACCGCACTTTTTCGATTACTGGGGCGATTCTGACAATAATTCTTGGATCAATGTTGTTATACCATATTATTTAGTACGTCGTGGGACTGAAATTAAGAAGTTGCGATTATACCACAATAAAAATCCGTGTTCAGCCATAATCGAAATTACTGATAATTCACTTTTCTAATGAGAGGTTTGTAGTTATTTAGGTCCAGTAGCCCTCTAATTTATTATTACTACATTTCAATGTTGTTTTTAAAAGATAAGGGTTTCGCTTCTTTTTCCTAATCCTTGTTTAATGTGTTATTAGGCGTACGTCAATTTATTAGTCTTCATCGTTATAGTGTACTGTGTCCGGTACTGATACTGATACACAAGCCTCTTCAACCAAGAATGAAAAGAAAGCTTGTATTGTGTGGCCGATTTGGCTTGGGTGTATGTGTATATATTCTCTAGGATATATAGTCATTTCTTGGCTAGTCATGTGTACATTTACCCGATTTCTGATTGACTTATTACATTACTTATACAAGACGTTTATCTAACAACCAAGTAAATAAACTTTCTTATACCCACTGAATTACGCTACACCACTTCTTTAATTTCACGTTGTGAAAATTAAAAGATATCGATATGAACTGTCTATATATTTATGTGTTTACTGCAGCACTTCTCTCTCTCTCTGTTTGTTTAGTTTTTTTATTTCTAATAATTTGCTTCTTTGAGATAGGCATGGCGAAATAGTTCTTCTAATCCTGAATTAAGATTCCCTGTGCCGAATCCATCCATTCCCACTGAATTTGATTTGGTGCAAAACAAATACCCTACAAATGTTGAAATACCGAAATTATTAATCGAAACAGAGATGTCTCGTATTTGGTACTTTCAAGATACAGAATTCAATCTTCCTAAAGGTTTTATCAAATTTCATATTATCAGGTTCGTTTTTCTCTCTCATTTATATTTATAAACAGTAGTGATTACTATGTTGAGTAAGTGGATGTTATTTCTGTTTGCTTATTGTAACTTTTTCACGACTAAATTTTTGTTATTTCTCTGCTTACTCTAACAGTCTTCACTCTTTTTATCGTATTTAATGTCACATATCTTACTATTATTCAAAGTAGTAACTGACGTCATAAACCATAGTTTCAGTCAATTAATACAAATATAAACATTTACAATATTCATTTTATTTATTTAATTTATTTAAATACATAAATATTGGTACAAGGAAGTACCAGATACATATGCGCCGCATAAATCTCATTCGATTTGTGTGAGGGCTGTGATACTGCCCAGTTGCCCAAACTGAAGCAAGTGGTTTTCTTAGGGGCCACACTCGGAGCCTTTGACCTAAAGATCTGATCCACAAGGCAATGGAGCATAGTGAGGAGATGCAGTCCCATGGTAGCCGGTGAGCAACAATTGATTCATACGCCATTTGTTCCCTCAGGATAATGGAGTCCATGTGCACCATGGATCGAAATCAGGGTCCGCCAACCCGGTCAAAGTGCTGGACATTCGCTTTTCGTCCTCTCAATTCCGTAAACAACACCGTGGCCACGAGAAGGCAGTGAGTAGGACATCCTTGGTAGAGGCTTTATAGGCGTGGTCATGTGAGAGCATTTCGAGAGGGAGAGCGAACTCTCCCCACTCTCGGCCGTACCAGGGCATTTGGGGGCAATATTCATACATTAATATTATTTATAACTTATAACATAGTAGTACTCATAAATATTTTATAAGTAATTATTTTCTTTTCTATTTTTAATCATAGTTTGTCAACATTTTGTAGTCCTTTACATGAAACACTTTGTGCGTTTTATGTAAGCTTGTTTTTGGATCAGATTTATGAACTTAATTACTCTAATATGCTTGCTGATATAACAGTTAATGTGGGATATACTAATAGAGGTATCACGGTAGGTTACATTAAGATTAAAATTAATATGCTCTATTATGAATAATCATTGTATACATGTGTCGATGTATTTTTTGGTTTATAATATTCCTATGAATAAATATTTGTAGAAACAAATTTCATCATTGAATTTAGTCATGACCCCTTGTTATAAACACTGAATGTTATTGTTTATTTGCCTCACACCCTGACACGGTTTAGCTCCACTGATAACGGCGCACTTTTAAGGAGGCGGTACTGAGGTGAAACGGTCATCCAGTGCTTTCAGGATTTTAGTGGTGATCTAACTTAGATTGGTTTATGATTTAGGTGAAATTCAACAATCTCCACATCTCCATACTGACTAGAATTTATTCAGTGTGTTGTGCCATTTAATCCGGGCTCTAGATGTACATTCGTTAGTTCGAATTTCTATTTTTATTTTCTGAGATTTATACGTGAAAATTGTTGTTCACAAGGGTAGGTTGACTCAAAAAAAATTCAGATTTTACTTGTCAACATTTTCAGATCGTATAAATGGTTCTTTGTCACTGATAAATGGAATTCAATCAATATTGGATATTTTTTGAAGCATCTATTTGAACTGTTATCAGTTTGCATGTTTATTGTTTCATGTTTATCTAGCTCAGTATTTTAAAGAAATGGAACAATTACTATATTAATCTGTAAACAGTGAAAACATTGTGAGTTAGGTGCTTAAAATCAGTAACTGTTTTCCTGAACAGATTCCACTAGGACCGTTTGTATGCTAAACCTAGGGAAATAAGCATAGTTAACTTCTTCAGGTTGCTAGGATAACGAAATACGTTTCATTTCTAATACCGTATTCTGAAATCTCACATTTATTGCTGTTTAGCTAAGAGAATTTCAAATTAAGTAATCTCTCATCTCTTTTGCTCAGATTTACAGTTAATCTCATGGGCTATAGTTTGGCTTGGTTATTCAAATATTTTAGTTTTATACCACAACTGGAGATATTTATTAAGTTAAATTCACCAATTATATTAAAATGCATTTTCTAGAATATTTTCACTCCTTAATGATTATCTATTTTTAATTTCTAGCTTTTATTTTCAGGATTTACCTATAAATTGAAAAGTGTTGTCGAGGAAATAGTAGCACAACTTGTCGATTATTGTGAACCAAAAACTGATCGTTTCGAATTCATCCGTGAGAAAATTTCTCAAAATATTACCAATTTTTCGGTGAAACCTTCTCATTATCAGGCCTGTACATATTTAACAAATATTACTTTACATCATTCTTGGATTAATGATGATTTTATTCAAGCTCTACAAGGTAAATACTTGTTCCTGCCTTTTGAGTAATTTTTGATTCAAATCAACCGCGGACAATGCAATTCATAGTACTAACGTTCAACTACCCAAATTACTACATTTCATGTTGGTGTAAAACTCCGCCTGTAGCTCCTCTGGGGGTTACTGCCGGTCCCAAGACCGGGTAAAGGAGGAGGGTTGGGCATGGGGTTAGCGACCCCATCCCGTAGAAAATCAACTCGCTAAAAAAACGCTAACCAGAAAAAATCATTCAAACCTTTCAAACTCTGCCCTGGGAGTAGAAGGAATAATTATGACGTCTCATGATGAAAGCCGAGTTTATTCAGAAGTCATGAGGCCGATGCACCTTCTTACAACCAGAGCGAAAATTTTTATAATTACATGGAATGTCCGAACAATGTGGGAGACCGGAAGAGTCTTCCAAATTGCTGCAGAAATGAGAAAATACAACCTGGAGGTTCTTGGAATCAGCGAAACACATTGGACGCAGGTTGGACAACAACGACTGTCTTCAGGAGAACTTCTGTTATACTCCGGTCATGAAGAAGAAAATGCCCCACATACACAAGGAGTTGAATTGATGCTGTCCAGAAAAGCACAAAATGCACTTATTGGATGGGAATCTCATGGACCAAGGATCATCAAAGCCTCCTTCAGAACAAAGAGAGAGGGCATTACAATGAACGTCATCCAATGTTATGCGCCTACCAATGACTACGATGAAAACGCTAAAGACCAATTCTACGATAGGCTGCAGTCGATCTTCGAGAAGTGCCCAACCAAGGACCTGACCATTCTGATGGGAGATCTCAATGCTAAGGTTGGAATGGACAACACTGGATACGAAGATATCATGGAACAACATGGACTGGGAGAAAGGAACGAAAATGGTGAGAGATTTGCAAACCTATGTGCCTTCAATAAACTGGTCATAGGTGGCACCATATTCCCACACAAAAACATACACAAAGTCACTTGGATTTCACCGGATCACACTACACAGAATCAAACCTACCATATCTGCATCAACAAAAATTCAGGAGGACGATGGAGGATGTGAGAACCAGAAGAGGAACTGATATAGCATCCGATCATCATTTGCTGGTCGCCAAGATGAAATTAAAACTTAAGAAGCACTGGACAATTGGGCGGACAACATCACAAAAGTTTAATACGGCCTTTCTTCGAGATGCTGACAAACTCAACAAATTCAACATAGCCCTCAGCAACAGGTTCCAGGCCTTTCATGATCTACTCAATAGAGAGGGAACGACCATGGAGAGCAACTGGAAAGGGATATAAGAGGCAATCACTTCAACATGTCAAGAGGTTCTGGGCCAAAAGAAGCGCCATCACAAGGAATGGATCACTGTTCGTACACTGGATAAAATTGAAAAAAGGAGGAACAGGAAGTCAGCAATCAATGCCAACCGAACAAGAGAAAAAAGGCCGAGTCACAAACCAAATACACAGAAGTAAACAAGCAAGTGAAGAGGAGCATCAGGACCGACCGACGTAAATATGTGGAAGATTTAGCAATGACAGCGGGAAAGGCTGCAAGACAGGGAAACATGAGACAATTGTATGATACAACAAAGAAACTTGCTGGAAATTACCGTAAGTCAGAAAGACCAGTGAAGAGCAAGGAAGGCAAAGTAATCACCGACATTGAAAAACAACGAAACAGGTTCATTGACTACGAGAAGGCATTTGATAGCGTGGACAGGACGACACTATGGAAGCTTCTTCGACACTACGGCGTGCCTGAGGAGATAGTCAATATCATACGGAACTCCTATGATGGACTAAACTGCCAAATCGTCCATGAAGGACAGCTCACCGACTCATTCGAGGTATAGACCGGTGTTAGGCAAGGTTGCTTTCTCTCACCGTTTCTCTTTCTTCTGGTGATCGACTGGATCATGAAGACGTCAACACCTGGAGGAAAGCACGGGATACAATGGACAGGCAGGATGCAGTTTGACGATTTATACTTTGCAGATGATCTGGCTCTTCTATCACAAACGCAACAACAATTGCAGGAGAAAGCGACCAGTGTAGCAGCAGTAGGTCTCAATATAAACAAAGGGAAAGGCAAGACTCTGCGATACAATACAATATGCACCAATCAAATTACACTTTTCGGAGAAGCTTTGGAGGATGTGTAAAGCTTTACATATCTGGGCAAAGCAAGAGCAGCATACCTACAACTGAAAAGCATCTGGAGTTCAAAACAATTGTCAACCAACACCAAGGTTAGAATTTTCAATACAAATGTCAAGACAGTTCTACTGTATGGGGCGGAGACGTGGAGAACTACGAAAGCCATTATCCAGAAGATACAAGTGTTCATCAACAGCTGTCTACGCAAAATACTTCGGATCCGATGGCCAGACACTATCAGCAATAAGTTACTGTGGGAGGCAAGAAACCAGATTCCAACGGAGGAAGAAATCAGAAAGAAGCGCTGGAAGTGGATAGGACACACCTTGAGGAAATCACCTAATTGCGTCACAAGACAAGCATTCACATGGAATCCTGAAGGTCAACGGAGAAGAGGAAGACCAAAGGACACATTACGTCGAGAAATAGAAACAGACATGAGAAGAATGAACAAGAACTGGATAGAACTAGAAAAGGAAGCCCAGGACAGAGTGGGTTGGAGAAAGCTGGTCGGCGGCCTATGCTCCATTGGGAGTAACAGGCGTAAGTAAGTAATGTTGGTGTAACGTATGTAGGTAAACACAAAAAAGCAGGAGCTTTACGATAATCTTAATGCTTGTTTCAATTGAACGTGATGAATTTGATTTCATATAGTACTAATTTTGTTAAGAAAACTGTTGATTTGTTGGTTTTCTGGACTTAAAAATACTAAAAGCTCCCTTTTTTGTTAACTAGGAATGTCTCGTAAAAAGATCTTACCGAGTTATTTTATCGCTATAAATAATAACAACCTTTCCTGTGTACGTCATCCACTAACCCTCCCAAATTACTATACTTTAAACTATCCACCATTTAAGAAATCTCAAAGAAACGTTTTAACCAACAATAGGCGCATCCACAGACATCGAACCGTCTTTGTACAGCTTATCAAAATTAGATAAATCTTTTGTTCCCATTAGATAAACTTGAACTTAATCTTCTGGTTTAGAAACTTGGCTGGCAGTCAGAAAAAATGTTGTGGTTGATTTACTTAATAATATCAAACAATTTATTTGTAGCATTATAATGAATAAAAAATTGATCTGAAATTCATCACTTATCCAACCGATTTTGCAATTTTACGTAGTTTTCTGCTCCTGACCTTTACATTGTTTACTACGTCGTTCCATGATACAAAGCAGTTCTTTAAAGACCCCTATGCTCAAATTATAGTAGTTTATGAACTTTCTGTCCTTTTAAATTCCGTGTTTCGTAGTCACAAAGTAAAACGTAACGAACTGCTGTACAATATATTCGTCCTGTGTTAAGTTGATGGACGTTTCGCCTGCACTATAGGTAAGATATATTGGCGAAAACCGTGCAAGCCTTTTAAATCCATGACAAGATTTACTTAGACACTAACCCACTGAGGTTGATTAGACTTCTAAGATAATTAAACAAGTAAACGCATTTAATTACTCCATCTTTTTTCATGAGTTGTATCGATCAGTCATCAAACAATATTTTGTATTTAGACGAGGAGATGCACTCAGAAAACATGCTTATATTGTTTTCCAAGACGATCACAAGACTGAAACTGATTATCATCCTTGTAGAACAAGTCTATGTCATTTGTGTCTTCTAGGTCAATAATTAAACGTGTTCGACCTATGCCTGAAAATCTGGATAAAGGCGCTAATTCCTAGAAAAGTCTTATAACATAATAAAATAAAAAGAGGGATGCGAATTACTGTGGTGTATGAACACGATAACGTGATCCAGACATCTTACTTACCTATGCTCACATCGCAGCCACATGAAATTTCGGGCTCACGTGTAGGCAATGTGCTTTCGCATGAGAATCGGGTGACCACTCCAGTTACCGATTTCATTTTTCAGCTAATACTATTCTCTGTAATATAAATCGCTATATTCAAAGAGGGAACTCTTGAAGTATGTCTAATTTCAATATCTCTAACTTCTGCACAGTAAGTTGTGAAAGATATTTGACTTGAGCTCTATCCAGTTGTGTAGATGAATTACGCTCAAAGAAGAGTGATTAACTATAGTTGAGAGATGTCTGCTGTATAATGGTTTTCCCGAAAGTTTTCCCGGAACTCAAAATAAAGCATACTCAAATACAGAAAAACTCTATTTTTGTATGCCTTGCTTTGAAAATGGATTAAATTGTTGGTGCAATTGCTTTTATTCTGTACCACATTGGAAAGAACTATGGAGAGCAACTGAAAAGAGATATCAGAGGCAATCACTTCAACATGTCAAGAGGTTCTGGGCCAAAAGAAACGCCATCACAAGGAATGGATCACTGTTCGTACACTGGATAAAATTGAAAAAAGGAGGAACAGGAAGTCAGCAATCAATGCCAACCGAACAAGAGAAAAAAGGCCAAGTCACAAACCAAATACACAGAAGTAAACAAGCAAGTGAAGAGGAGCATCAGAACCGACAAACGTAAATATGTGGAAGATTTAGCAATGACAGCGGGAAAGGCTGCAAGACAGGGAAACATGAGACAATTGTATGATACAACAAAGAAACTTGCTGGAAATTACCGTAAGTCAGAAAGACCAGTGAAGAGCAAGGAAGGCAAAGTAATCACCGACATTGAAAAACAACGAAACAGGTGGGTAGAAGACTTCAAAGAACTCTTGAATCGACCAGCTCCAGTGCACCCACCCAACATCGAAGCAGCACCCACAGACCTCCTAATCGATGTTGGCCCACCAACAATTGAAGAGATCAGCATGGCCATTAGACAAATCAAGAGTGACAAAGCAGCGGGACCAGACAACATCCCGGCAGAGGCACTGAAGGCAAATGTAGCAGAAACTGCCAAGATACTACGCATCCTTTTCAGTAAGATTTGGGATAAAGAACAAGTACCAAAAGACTGGAAAAAAGAACTTTTGATCAAGCTACCGAAGAAAGGCGATCTCAGCAAGTGTGATAACTACAGGGGCATCACTTTTCTCTCAATACCAGGAAAAGTCTTCAGCAGAGTATTGTTAAACAGGATGAAGGATTCTGTGGACGCCCAACTTCAAGATCAATAGGCTGGATTTCGAACGGATAGATCGTAAACAGACCAAATCACAACTCTACGTATCATTGTGGAACAATCAATCGAATGGAACTCATCACTCTACATTAAGTTCATTGACTACGAGAAGGCATTTGATAGCGTGGACAGGAAGACACTATGGAGGCTTATTCTTCGACACTACGGCGTGCCTGAGGAGATAGTCAATATAATACGGAACTCCTATGATGGACTAAACTGCCAAATCATCCATGAAGGACAGCTCACCGACTCATTCGAGGTATAGACCGGTGTTAGACAAGGTTGCTTACTCTCACCGTTTCTCTTTCTTCTGGTGATCGACTGGATCATGAAGACGTCAACACCTGGAGGAAAGCACGGGATACAATGGACAGGCAGGATGCAGTTTGACGATTTATACTTTGCAGATGATCTGGCTCTTCTATCACAACGGCAACAACAAATGCAGGAGAAAACGACCAGTGTGGCAGCAGTAGGTCTCAATATAAACAAAGGGAAAGGCAAGATTCTCCGATACCATATAGCATGCACCAATCGAATTACACTTGACGGAGCTTTGGAGGATGTGGAAATCTTAACATATCTGGGCAGCAACATCGATGAACATGGTGGATCAGATGCAGATGTGTGGGCGCGGATCGGCAAAGCAAGAGCAGCATATTTACAGCTGAAGAACATCTGGAACTCAAAACAATTGCCAACCAACATTAAGATCAGAATTTTCAATACAAATATGAAAACAGTTCTACTGTATGGGGCGGAGACGTGAAGAAATACGAAAGCCATCATCCAGAAGTTAGGGATGTTTTTTAACAGTTATCTACGCAAAATACTTCGGATCCGATGGCCAGGCACTAGCATCAACAACATGTTGTGGGAGAGAACAAACCAGGTTCGAGCGGAGGAAGAAATCAGAAGGAAATGCTTGAAGTGGATAGGACACACATTGAGTAAAGCAGCCAACTGCATCACAAGACCACTCCTCACATGGAATCGTTACAACATCAACCTATATATGCTTGTTAATATTAATTCTAATCCATCATTAAAGAATAATTACTGCCATACTATTTGTTACTCGTGATTAGCTGAAATGTGTCAGATCAATTTTCTTATAAATATTATTAAAAAAGTGATTTTCTGTTGGATTACATAATAATCAGTGTTTGCTAAATAAAAGCATGTATGTTGTGTGCACAAATACTCAAAGAAATCGTGTTTTTAATTACCACACTCAAGTACAAATTGTTTTTTGAGGTGTAAATAAAATCGTAAAGGTTACTTAATATTCACTGTAAAAATGGTTACTGAAATTACTTCACTGAGTTTCGTTTGAAATTTAGCGTATGTATTTCTCCAAGTGATTTGATGACCTTTTCATTTTTCATCTTAGATATTACCTACGAAAAGTTGGTTAATTATATTAAAGAGTTTTATGAACTCATTTTTATCGAAGGCCTTATATATGGCAATATCACCGAAGAGGTAAGCATACAATAATGTGGTTAATATCCTTTATTAGGTTAAGTCAGTAATGAGAATATGACCAGGATTTCTTTGTAATAGGTTGAAATGTTAAAATCATTTATAGTTATTGATACACGAATATTATAAATTGTGTGAAGTAGCATACAAACACTATGAAAGGGTTTTTCATTTCAACTTGATTACTTAGTTTATAACATTAAGAAAGAGATGAATAGGTGACAGTGTAATTGGAAACAGTGAAACGATCTCATAAGTCACTGTTTGTTACTGTCATTGTAAAGCTCAGTACAAGTATTTATCAGCCCATATCCTATTAGTCACGATGATGTGAAACCAAAAACAAGATTTTCAAAAGTGTTATAATTAACCCTAATAAACATAATAACCAGACAGGCTAAACAAACATGGATCAAAGAGAATTAAAATGTATTTAAGATGGAATACTCAATATCCAAAAAAAAGATAAAGAGCGATGGCATGTGACCCATGCTGTCTGATTCTAAGACATGTTACACCACGTTCCCAACGACTGGTCACAGTTATCATACCGTTCTCAAATAGGAATTCTAGATCTATCAGCATGACTTATACGGAAATTCAATGATTTTATGGGCTAATATTACGGAGCTAACATACCGAGAACTAAATTCATTTAGTATTGTTTGTTTGAATCTTCTCATTGATGTTTAGGACTGCAACTGGTCAGTCTCTAATTGGCATATGTGCATACTGTGCGTATTGCCTCGATGTAGCCTTAATTCACAAGCATGGTAAGCAAAGATGGATAGTGGCTAGCAGTGGAATCCAGGACGTGCGTTTCGTTCTATTTGGGACTCGTCAGCTGGATGTACCTGAATCTCAGAGTTGATGTTCACTCTGGGACTCGAAACCAGTACCTTTCACTTTAAACGCCATCGCGTTATCCACCCGGCCACTGAGTCCTGATAGCCACTTGCTCGTGCAATGGGGTGAAGTTTGAATTCATTTACCACTGTTTGTTTGAATCTTCCCAACTCTGAGATGCAGGTGCATCCAGCTGACGGGTCCTAAATAGAACGAAATGCGTATTCTGAATTCCACTGCTAGCCACTAACCATCTTTGCATACCGAGAACTGTTTGTCTCTGAATGTTGTTACACTCAAGGGAGCTTCCATTGTCAACGTTTTACAACAGAAAACTGCGAAACGATTGTGTTTGACTTGAGTTAATATTTAAAATCACTCAGCCACATCTGTAGGATGTTAAAGTATTAATATATATCACCAAAAGTAACGTAGACACGTGTTTGAAACTGTTACATTTCCTAATCAAGGATTAATGTCACATCATCTATTTAAGCATTTTCGAATCTTGTGAGTGCGGGATCCTGGATGCGCACTGCTGAGGAGTCCCATAATAGGACGAAACAGCCGTCCAGTGCTTCCAGATTTTCCATGATGGTCTAGCTTCAATTGACTAATGATTTCAACTATGAAAAATACTGAAATCTCCACAAAACCCCTTCTGATCTTTTTAAGCAACATAAACACTACTGTGATTTACAGACTTTTGAACGATTCTCCGTCTTTTTATCATGTGTGGTTTGGATCATATTTCAACCTTAGATTTACTTATTACCAACCTACTAAATTGAGTGTGCTATGTCACGATATCTATTCACTGAGTGATTTACAGTTTGTTGATTAATTTTTTTATTCCATAGTTTAGTTATTAGTCACAGTGATTGATCTTGAATGTTAAAGGTAAATTGTTTTCTGTATCACTTGGAAAATAACTTGGATAAATTCGTTGATTGTTTTTTTCTAAATCATCATTCTCAACTAGTCATATCGATATTTCAAATTTCTATCTACAGAATGCAATAAATTATTACGAAATGATTCGAGGTCTGTTAATACGGAAATTTAGTTCTAAACCACTTTTGCTATCTCACATCACAACACCTCGAGAAGTTATAATTCCTGAAGGTAAACACCTTTGCCCATCATTTTTTTCTAGAAATATTGTTTATGAATTATATATATAGGCCCTGGGCCGTTCACTCGACCAAATCTTGGCAGACATCTTTATGATACACCTACAACAAACTGCTATGAAATCGGCGAATAATGTCACAACGTTTTATGTCAGGTCAGTGAGAGTAGGCGGAGTTGCCCGTAGTTGTATGTTGCTTACGTGAGAACAGTTATCCTCAAGAATTCATAAATAAATACAAAACGACTTAAAAAAGAAAGTCGTATATCCTGCGGTTGACAAAAAGCCTGTCTTTTTAAAATTCGGTTTCAGAAGTGATAAAATAACTGGGAGGAATGACTTTAAACTAAAGGTAATACTGAAAAGAACATATTCAGCGATCAAGTTGTTGTCTTTATAGCAAACAAAATATTCATTATGACAGTCAAATGTGGACAGATACCCACCTCTTGTTACCTCTAATCGCATTTACCAGTTTGCATGTACGTGCCAAAGTACATACATCGAAAGAACAAAAAAGAGCATTTGTGTCCACATCTTCGAACATATACCACAAAAGTTGACACTAAACGAGCAGAAGGTTTTCAACAGAGCAATCGCTTGTCATTTGCTCGACAGTGCGCATGGTGTTTCAGTTTCGAAATTCTTCAAAATGATTAGTAAACAAAGGGATTTAAAATTATTACCCCTTGCCGAAGATATTGCAATAAGAAGATTTAAACCCAGTTTATATATCCAGAACGGAACATTTATTGACCTTATTTTTATGAGATTAGTACCTAAGACTTTTTTTACATACATTTTGATCAAACTTTATAATGTCGTAAATTCGTGCTTCTAAGCTTTACTTAACTAGTCTATATTATATAATCTGTCTTCGGTTTCGTAAATAAAATTTCTGTTTCCATCCTCTTATAAAATATTCATATACTTAACCTATAAATCAGCGAGTTTCAGTAGTGTCTCCTAATATTATTCTACCTCCAGATCGAATAAATTCATTCTAGACATAAAGTATATACACTTGTTTAATTCTAATGATTAATGCCACAGTTTTAAGGTATGAGCAGCTCATCAGAATCTACGGAATAAATGAATTAATGTTATTCCACTACAATGTTTGTTCTTTCTTTTTCCAGTTTCATAAATTAGAAAATTTGTATGAAATATGTGTGTATTGTATAACAAAGTGAACGTCAATAGGGAACTAGATGACATTTTTTAAAAATTTATGTCTTGTTTTCCTGGTAAATTTGAACAGATACAGTAATCATAAATACTAGAATTCTTAACTGTTGTAATTTCCTTTTTTATGATTCGAACAATCTTGTTGTCATATAAATCCAGATCATTCTATTGATCTGAATTCTGATTCTTTAAATTTTAATAACCAAATTAATATTATATTACAATATGTTTATTTTCACTACGATCTCTTACTGAATATTATCTCACAGTGTACTGTAAGATGTGAGGTTTAAACTGAGTCATGTTGGTATGTGTAGAATACCTTCATGCATTTATCCTAACCAGTATGTGGTTACTGTAGCGTAATATCACTCGGAATCAGTCTCAATGGAGCAGTTATATTTAGTCTTCGTCTTTTCTTAGTTCAAAATAATCATATTGTATATCCTTAGTGTTTTCTACTATCACTGATACTAATATTACTTCTACCACTCAATAATTCTTTCTTGGTTTACTGATGTAGTGTGCTAATTTGATCTTCTGAATATGTATGTCAGGCTCTACTTTGCATAAAAACTGACTGACAAGAAGAAAATAAGTTATTTGTTGTCCGAATTGTGTACATGATTTGTTTTTGTTGGTTATTCATATTCTGATAGTTTTTTTATTTTATTTAGGTTCCAGTTTTCTTTATCAACGATATATTTCCAGTCAACCAGCTTCTGCGATTTACTATTACCTTCAATGTGGTGAACAATCTACGCTTAACAATACATTACTTCATCTGTTTTATCAGATTGTAAGAGGACCCACTTTCGATAAATTATATACAGAACAACAACTGGGTGAGGAATTATTATTGAGTGTGAAACGTGATAACTATAAATGCAGTGGAATTCTCAGAGACTCACAAAGATATGAGTTATCCTCAATTATCTTAGCTATCAAATAACTAATATGAATATGTGTCTTTGGTGACTAATCTATACATTTTGTTGGCATTTTAATCTTGTACTGTGACACAAAAGGCTATATTACAAACATCTCGACATGGTCCATGCAGTGCCGAGTCATTTAGGCTACTGGCCAAATTGCGAATTGATCGATAAAATTCGTTCAATAGTGGAAATGACTTGATCACTAATCATTGACCTATTAATTGTCATCTATCTGTCCACTAGAAAAGGAATACTTAAGTGTGGTGAATAAACCACAGAATGATGTAATAAGATCTACGGAGTTAATTATTTTCATAAACTTTTAAATCTAAGGTTAATTTGCTGTCAACCGAACTCTGACCTCATGTCTCAATATTACCCTATGCTCTTTCAGATTCAATGGTTTTTGTGTGACCTTCTTATGTTTATAGTCGTACGATAAGTTATATAATAAAATAAAACCAGTCACCTGTTTAGTACTTCCTGGTTTTAAGTGGTTCACTACTTGGTTTTACATCGTAATTAAGGTTAACTTATAATATGGACGGAATGCGTTGTGTGAAGATGTGTATTCCATTCTTTCGTTTTACAGCAAGATTGTTTCTCTGTTGCCGGGTAATTTTTTGTATAGTTAGTCCCTGACTCTATTTCTCCATAGTTGCGTCATGCCATTTTACATGTTGAACTATTCATTTGAATTACGTATCTATCCCATATTTAAGTAGTAGTACTGTAGTGCACACCGCACTACTACAATTACTATCAAATTACATTGTATCCAGATTTACTTACGAAAATACAGTTGGTATAGATTAAATAAAAATGTTGACTTATATCGAAAAAATATATTCATTGTAGATTTTTCCGCCGCCACTGATAATTCTTGTTGATTAGACACTGTATTCGGATCCTAAGCTATTCTCGTAACCCCCAAGCTAGAACGACACAGCGACTTGAACACGAGAGAAAAGACGCAAACTATACGAGAAGCACTTTACTCCAAAGGTTCATTTATGTACAGAAAATATAGGGTTTTTATAGTATTTTAGAAGTCCTTGGGTTTCCCTGAAAATTCTAGAATACTACTAAACATAGTAGCAGTGTAGTAATCAGCCAATCAGAACTTCTACATGTGACTTTTAATTTTCGCGATATTTTTAGCAAAACTTCTAATCAAACGGTGATTGAATAAAATGATTCTTAATGTTTCCTGAGCTTGTCATGTTTGTTGCGGGAAATTTTTAGGATCACCCCAACACTCGATATCTTGTGACACTTAATGTGACTTCGTAATCTGCTACTATTGGGTTCAACTTTAACTACGTCAGTCTTACTGGTAGCTATCATAATTACTTGATAAAGTTAACTTCTATGCGAAAACTGATTGTCTACTCAAAACTTCCTTTCCCCAAGACCTAATGGCCAGATGAGGATAAAACAGTCGATCATATTTTTATACCTGAAACTCGGAAATGCATACTATTAAGTAATTTAATAGTCGGAATGGGACTCATCATAAATAAGGCGTTATAATATATGCTAAGATCGGACACGTATGATGCGACATTGAACTAATAGTCTTATGATTAATTTACTATAATCTGTCAATGAAAAGTAGTACGATAACAGTTAATCAGTCAATTAATAGTTTGAAATTATTTGGATGAGAACAATAAATGAACTAAGTGTTAGCGACTGAATACTAAGACTTAAGAGCACTCCAAATGTATATCAACATATTTTATAATGGAAAATTGAACAATTTTCATGTTTCAAATACGTTTCGCTTTTGTTCCATTTTATTAAAATTTTACTCACAGTTTCTTCACCTATAGTTAATGATTCTATCGGCGTTTTATTCTCTTGTTTTTTTCATGTTCACACTAAAGGTTATATTGTACAGGCTGGACTCCGACGATCCAACAAACTACAAGGTTTTCGTATTTTAGTACAATCATCTTATCATCCTAATAAAATTGATAAATGTATCGAAGAATTTCTACTTACTGTAAATGTGAGTGTTACTGATTGTTTTCCTTGCATAAAACTGTATACGTAATGGATTGTGGTCTGTTCCGTTCTATCATTTATGCTTCCATACAATGTGTACCTCTCCAATATGATAGATTGTACTTACATACAGACTCGTAGATGCATGCTACTTACCTTTGCTTACATATTGCTATTTTAGAAACTGTTAGAAGATATGTCTGACGAAGAATTTAATGTTCATGTGCAATCCCTCTTGACACACTTACTGGAAAAACCGAAAGGTATGCAAGATCGATTTGGGCGTTTATGGTCTGAAATTGCTTGTAGACATTATAATTTCAAACGACGTAAGTTTACTCTACTGTTATTACTATGGTTGTTTTCTAATCCATGCATATTTTGTGCTAAACAACAATCTTGCTGAATACATTTTCGTTAATATTAACAATGATATCTACTCAGCAATACAATTATAATGGATAAACCTACATATTATAAGATAAGCTTATTAGTGTTCGTGATACTGTAGTGTGGGTTACTTATATCGACATACGTAGTGTATAGCGTGAGTCAGGAATAGAATATCTGGCAGCAGAAGATTGAGAAGAGAAGAACAGAAAGAGAAAGCGATTGGTATGGAAATTCAGGAACAATGAAGCCTGTGACAATTAATGAACATTTTACAAATGAAGTATATATATATATATATATAGGTATATTCGCTTATCAAACTCTGAATTGGGATAGACCTTGATTTAGATCCAGTGGAAAACAATTTTGCTCACTTATATGTTTTGATCAAATTTACTCCAAGATGTAACCAATAAACATTTGCAAGTTCCACAAAATGAAAACAAATAATAATTTTTTAAATAATTTGTAAGTATTTCTATATTAATTTTTTGACTTTTACCCTCAGATGTACATGCGGTTAGTGTGCTGAAATCACTTAAAAAGAATAGCGTTCTCGATTTTTTTAAAGTATGTATAATTTTACAAAAAAAACTTTATTCACTATTAATTCTCATTGTAGATTTTATCTAGTTCACCTAACATTTTATAAAGATGAATAACAATATTTTAAGCAAAGATGGATAGTGATTACCAGTGGAATCCAGGACGCACGTTTCATCCTATTTGAAACTCGTCAGCTGGATGTCACAGTTGATGTTCACTCTGGGACTCGAAACCAGTACCTTTCGCTTCAAACGCCCAAATAGAACGAAACGCGCGTCCTGGATTCCACTGCTAGCCACTATCCATCTTTGCTCACAATGCTTGTGAATTAAGGCTACATCGAGGCAATACGCACAGTATGCACATATATGCCAATTAAAGACTGACCAGTTGCAGTCCTAAACATCGATGGGAAGATTCAAACAAACAATACTAAGTGAATGAATAACAATAGTTTTATGAAAACAATTAAGTGAATTTAAAAAAAGTCAGTCAGTCAGCTACAACGTAGGACCAGGCACATTTATGCATCGGTCCAAGTTGCCATACCTCGTTAGCACAACAAGATGAACACCGGATTCATAGAAGTAATTAAATAACTGGTGGTAGTAGTATATAAATTATAGGTTGTATATAAGGATATAGTATAGGAAGGAAGAGAGATATGAAGCAATTTTAATCTCAAGGTTTAAAGGAAGATAAAGAGTGATCGATTCTGAGCCATGTCACCTAGAGTCTCCAACCATTTATTACGATAGTCACGCGGACCCCAACCAGGTAGTCTGCATCTGCCAACATGGCTCAGGCTAGAAGTTAGTGACTTCAAGCACTGATGCCATGTTTTGGTTTGGCCGCCCCTAACTCTCTTCCAACAATCCCCTACACTAGTCATCATAGCGCGTCGTGGTAATCGGTGTTCAGGCATACGTAACACATGGCCCAACCATCTCAGTCGATGAAGATTCATGACCTCATCAACTGATTTACCATCATTCCCTAATATCATGTGTCTAACCTCACTATTACTTACCAGGTGATCCCAGCAGATGCGAGCAATATTTCTAAGGCATCTGTGGTCAAATACTAGTAACCTACGAGTATCTTCTACTCTTAATGGCCATGTTTCACAGCCGTAAAGTAGAACAGAACGAACTGCTGCGCAGTATACTCGTCCCTTAATTGATAGACGGATATCTCGTCTTCGCCATAGGTGACGTAAGTTGGCAAAAGCCAAACGAGCTTTTTGAATCCGTGCTGAGATTTCGTCAGACATCAACCCATTAGGGCTGATCAGACTTCCAAGATAAGTGAAGTTGTCGACGCGTTCGACTACTTCACTCCCTATCCTTAGTTCAGGTGTTGACGTAGGCCAGTCCTGGAGTAACAATTTACATTTGGATGGGGAGAAACGCACCCCAAACATCCTGGCATTATTACTGAGTTCCAACAGAAGACTCTGCATTTTGCCAGCGTCTTCACCAAACAGGACTATGTCATCTGCGTATTCTAAGTCGATTAGTAGTCCCCCTGGTAGATCAATTCCTGTAAATTCAGTCGAAGAGAGTGTTATTTCCAGCAACAGGTCTATAATGAAGTTAAACAAAAATGGGGATAGTGGACAGCCTTGACGGACACCACTTGAGGTTGTAAAATCATATGACAGTTCGCCATAAGCTCTCACTCGACTGGTAGTGTTCGAGTAAAGAGCCTTCACAAGGTTTATGTACTTCTCAGGTACACCTTTCAATGACAGACACTGTCACAGAACCTCTCGGTCTACAGAGTCAAATGCTGCTTTCAAGTCAAGAAAAACTATCATTGTCGGACGCCGATAAGCGTGTCTGTGCTCTAAAACTTGAATATGTGGTGAATATGTGGTCGATACAGCCACGACCAGGTCTGAAGCCAGCCTGATTTTCTCGTGTTTGCAGTTCACGAGTCTTAGTTAGGCGCCCGATAATTTTTGAGGCTAGTATTTTAGATGCTATGTTAGTCAGACTAATCCCTCTATGGTTATCGCAGGATGATTTTGACCCCTTTTTATATATTGGGACAATCAGTGATTGTGACCAGTCGGATGGGATTACATCCGTCTCCCAGATTTTAGCCAGAATATTAGTCAACCTAATCGCTAAAATCGGACCACCATATTTAAAGACCTCTGGAGCCAATCCATCTGGACCAGCTGCTCTTCCTCGTTTCAGATTACCTATAGCCTTTTGAACTTCAAGTAGGGTCGGGGGGCCTACTTCAATGTTCCATTCAGGTTTTCTGGGAATAGTGGGTAATTGTGCAGTAGCTGAAGGCCAGCTAAACTTCTCCTTAAAGTGTTCCTCCCATCGTTCTAAACGTTTGGGTTGAGAGCAGATAAGGGTTCCGTCTTTTTCCAAAATTGTCTCACTTACACTTGACTTCTTAATTCCGGTTTTTTTATTAGTCTGAATAGTTGCCTGGTGTTGCCTACAGCCGCTGCCTTTTCCATCTCTTTTGCTTTCGTTGCCCACCACTGCTCACGATCGTTCTTTAGACTTTTAGTTAACCTAGATCTAATTTGTTTACGCTCTTCGTCATGTTCAGAGCCTGATGGTATGAGTTTACGCGAATCCATCAGTGAAATAAACTTAGAGGAAATCCACTGGTTTTTTGGAGCCCTATGGTTTAAATGACTAATAGATGTAACTGCTGTTTCCACAGCTGTTCGTATGTCTTTCCAAGCAGCATCTGTGTCAGTCTTGTTTACACAACTGCCTAGATGTGAACTCAGTTGTTTCTGGAATTCGCATTTGTCTTTCTCATCCTCCAGTTCAATCCTAATGGGTCTTCTTAGTGTACTTTTCCTGCGTCCATTGAGGCGCAGACAAATGCGCGCTCGTATTAAAGCGTGATCAGAGTCTAAACAAGTATTCCAATACGAGCGACAACGTTCTATTGAGCCTCTCCAACGATGACTGATGACAATATGGTCTATTTGAGTCCATCGTTGGTTTGGTGCAGGTGGTCGCCATGTTAGACGATGTCTCTCCTTATGTTTGAAATTAGTGCTTGCTAGAAATAAACGATTGTCTGAGCATAGTTGCAACAGACGATCACCATTATCGGTTCGTTGTGCCAGAATACTAAAACACCCACCTAAATGTCTTTCTGTTTGATTCAAGCTGCCTACCTGGGCATTAAAGTCACCCGCTATGAGTACTATGTCTGAGCGCTTAGCTTTCTGAAGAAGCTCAGAGAGCTTTCTGTTAAAGTAATCTTTCACTTCATCACGGCTGCAGTCGGTGGGAGCGTAGGCAGAAACGACGAAAAGGCAACGACGTGTGTCCCTATCCTTCCGAGTTCTTACGGAGCCATTTAACCGGACAGCACACAGGCGACTGTTAACGGGGATCCATTCTAATAGTGCCTGTTCTGCCCTTGTACTTAGTGCTATGCCTACACCTGCAAGTCCGCGAGAACTAGCCAACGGGTCGCCAGATACACGGAGGGTGTATTTCGTTGGCTGTCCATTTTGGCGAGGTGAGGTCAAGTGAATGACCACACTGGGATCCTGTATGCGTGTTTCGGAGACACAGCATACATCAATGGTACGAGATTCTAGGGTTTTAGCTAAGGAGGCCTGTTGACCGATTTGGCATAGGGTACGTACGTTGAAGGCTCCAATGTGTAGTTTGGAGCGAGGTTTAAGTAGACCTGGGACAGCGTTTCGCGCACTAGAATCGTTGGCCATGGTGACACTTGAGGAGGAAACCGGAACACGAAGTTTAGTGTTGAAAGTCAAGGTAGAAGGAATAGTAGGAATTGAAGGAGATTGATTATGAATACGGTGGTCTTGAGTGCTGTTAGGGGTATGAGGGCAGTTATCACTTCCCGGTTGCCCACACCATGGAAGGGTTCTCCTGGGGGTATCTGAAAAAGAGATTGGGTTAGAAGTGGTCTTAATGACCTGAGAGCGTGACCGCAGTGCCCAAGGGACAACTGCTTGAGGTCGGTCACACACGATCTTTTTGTGGGTAGTTTTTGTGTTAGCTCCGTTCTTCAAAAAAAACCTTACCGCCGGAGACGGAAATCCGTGGGATAAGGCGAGGTGTGCATTTTTAGGGTCGACCTTTTCTAACCCCACCCCTCCTTGTGGGAAGGCAGCATCGCTGTCATGTTGGTTGTCTGAAGGAAACACCTTACTGGCGTCACACCTCTGTACAGTCGACAGTACGACTTCGCCTTCGGACCTTGGGATTGCTGCTTTTAGTCTCACCGCTCTTCAACCGACCTGTCTGGCGTGGTAGGACCTTGAGGAACGATTGTTCCAGCCAGCATAGCTCGATTGGTTCATCACGATAGGCAAGCCCGACTACCACGTCAAGGTAGCAGCAACGGTCGGGGAATTTAAAAAAAAAAGTATATCCATTATTAGACGATTTATTCACAGTTGTCACTTTTCTTGTATTATTGAAATTTCTAATCATGTTTATACTTGAATAAATCTAAACTGAATGAATCGAATGTCATTGAATTAACATAAACTTAGTTTATTTCATCGAATTCATATTATTTAGTAAATAAATGAATAGTCTAGTGATTTGATTATTTCAATGGTACTTAACTTTCAACTACAGATTTTAAAGTTCAAACTTTACTGCAACACACTTTGTTTTAAACTGTCACATCATATTACTAAATTAAAAGTGGTTAGACTGAATGGTCTAGGAAATAATAAAAGATATATGTCTATGTGTTATGACTGATTTACTAATTTTTAGAGTATTACTTATTTGTTGAAATACATTTGACTGAAAGTTTCATCGTAACTCATTTATAATTTAATTTTGACTATAGAAGTATATTGATCCTTCATCATGTACAAGAAGAAAATTAGTAATTCAAATAATATCGAGTGAGAAATATTTACATGAATCAGAATTTAGTATTCATAGCAAAAAGGTCAGTAAAATTCATATCGTATGTATTTCCCTGTTTGAGACTATTATGTATTCGAGATATTTCATTTCTTTTACCAAATATAGTGTAGTGATTTAATATTTTTTTTAATGAAATTCTTTAATAATGAGCTTTCAATTGTTTGTACTTTGGATTATTTGGGATGCATATCTCACTTATAAATAATGTAGAATCTGACACAAATTTGAATTTCCTGGTATTTTCAATTCCCATTAAGATAATCAGAATGATTTAAAAGAATGATAATCACGTTAGTCGACATAAACGTATCATTAATAATACAAAACATCTTCAAAAAGAGAAAAACAAAGTCAAAGAATATTAACTGTGAGACAATGTTGGGTCTCTAGCAGTAATAAGTGGCCTTGATGATTTTTTTGAGTAAGTCTTCAGAGGCCGGGAACATGTGTTATATACACCAACCAATTAGCATTCGGAAACGACAGATCATGTTTTCATGATACTAATAAGATTGTTTCTGACTTTTCTATTAATTTGAGCATATATTGCACTAGCTTCCAGAATCTCAGCGCTAGATGGTCCATAGGTACACTTGTTTGTTGTATATAGACAGATTTTAAAAGTAAAACACTTTCCATTCTTCTTGTCGTTTGTTTTATGCTAAAATTTCAAGTGTTCAACTAATTAAGTGGACCACATAAACCGAGAAATAAAAAGGGTACTGCAAAATACTGAACGTCCTAATTGATAGGTGGCGTCATCGTATAGATATATTGAATGGTTCAGTTTGCGCAGCTAGTTTCCCAGAACTACCAATCGGGCAAGTGATTAATGGTGGCCTAATAGCTAGATTATCCTGTGATATCTTTTTCGTTTCGGGCTGCAATAGTAAAATGATGCATCATATATGCTCACTATTGATTGATTAATAATTGTGTATAGCTACAAATTACTCATATGTATTACCCAATTACAGCACTATTTTGCTGATTGACTCAGTTAGTTAACGAAGCTCTCCACTGGATTTGGATTTAGTGGCTGGGAAACAGGTTGCTCATCGTTCGGTCTCTAACACACAACTGAATCTAATGAAATAATTGCTTACTTTTGCTAGGTCTGAGTTTTACCAAAACCAATTCTCTTCTTAATTGATTGTTTTAAAATCAATGCTAATATTAGCCGTTTGTCAAATTATATCTAACCATGTTGTGTGTTACTTTTTATAAAATTGTTGAATGATATATAAAATAAAGTAAATCTCCAATACTTTTTACTTTGATTTAGGTAGTCGTCTTAAATGATCATACGGAATTGAAACGTTACTGTCCGTTGAGTTCTTTAACGAAACCATTCATGATGTTCACATCCAAGTGTGAAGGGATTTCACTACGATTTTAATCCAATTGTCTGGATTTAGAAATATTCAACATACGCGTCACTTCTTGTGGTTATCACAACGTTTTATTTTTCATTCACTAAACGCCTACTTTTTTTAAAAATCCGTTTATATTTTCCTCTTGGAGAGATTTGACACTAAGCACCTTTTAAAGAATTCACTTTCATAAGTTATAGAAAATAAATAGTTATGTATATGCTTTTCTACTACTTTTGAGTGCAACTATTTATTCAAATGCTTTTTGTACTTTTTCTTGTGAATTAACTCATGATTATTTCTGAATATATTGGTACCTCATCTCTGTAGAGTAACTGGAATTTTTCATTATGATTTTTCGTTTATTGTGATCTAAGATATTCTTTAAATACATATATGAAATTACTAGTTGTCTTCTTTGGTATGTGATGAGAAATTTAGAGTTGGGGAAACTTTTGTTTTATTTTGTCATAAAAATTTGTTCTTCTGTTAATTCTGAACCAATAAAAAGCTGTAACTTAACACCATACAGTTCAATATTTTAAACTCTCGTCTTTGAGAAAAATAGAATTTTGATGTTGATGTGAGTTTTTATGTATGTCACTACCGTTAGGCCAAAAGAAATATATATAAATACCAATTTTCTATAGGATTTCGCCATACGCGTATATTGTCGCGTTCAAAGTCTAGATATTTAAATTTCGGCAAGTGTGGAATAGAATTGACGTTGCTGAAGGTAGTGTCTATTTATTGTTGGTTCAGTTTTTTGTGAGTCAGCTTACTTGCTGAAAACATCAGACTCTTAATACTTTTTGTTTGGATCTACGTAGGGAACTTATCACCACATGTCCTCCCAAGCATAAGTTTATATCTTGATGCTTTGCATATTCGCAGAACAACCTACATCGTTATAATGAGCAATTAAGAACTCAGTTCTTGTGTATCAACTTAGTATGACGAAGGAGGCAATAACTGAGGATGGGAAATGGGTGTTTCACCACAATTTGTCAATGCATTGAATTCCAAAATAACAATAGTGGATGATACATAAGCTTATGATTAGAACAACAACTTAACCTGATTATTAGTAGTAATCGAGGAGGGTAACAGGTTGAAAGATTTCAACTATTGACTAATGCAATTGATTTATACTGTTACAGAGTTCATGAAATTCCAACAAAAGTGCTTTGACAGTTTGGTTTTGCATATAGATTAGCATACTGGGCATTTAACTAGCTACTGTAAAGTAAGCGGCATAGTTAGTTTATGTATAATCTAAGTTTCATGCTCTATGGCTGTAGCAGTTAATTGAATTAAATCCGCAACCTGAAACTGAAGAAACCAGCGTCAATTTCGGATGGCCAAATGGCTATATATTTGGGGGATAGTCAGATGATGCTTGAGCATACAAGGTAATCGAAATTGATAGTCCTTGCACATAGGTGGCAATATGTAGACTATAAATTTCACCCCATGACATGATTTTGTTGGAAGCGTTGCTATTAATTTCTCTATGAGAAGCTTCTATATTTACGAAATAAGGTCAGTTGTTCAAATGTTGCTGATCAGGAATGGAGTTATTTGTTACTTCGGATCGGCATCTCGATGGTAGTGGAGAGTTCTAAGCTAAAGAGTAGAATGAATCTCGTTTCAGTTTCTCATCGAACAGTTATTTAAGTGTATGAGCGATTGACAAATAACATCCTGATAAATCTGCGGCATAACTTTTAAATTCTAGTTAATGTTGATTTTTCTTCCGAAGATATCAATAGATTGACGTTTACCCCCTTCTTAATTATTGGAACTTGAAAGGCTAAAGTATAAGCTTTCCTTTTTATAACATATGTCAAGCTTGAGAGTACTTTGGACGTTACACAAGCGCGTGTCGTGAGATAATGAACTAAAGATGGAGAGTAGAAGGATAAGAGTAAAAGCGAGACAACGACTCAGTAATCACATAGAATAAACTTAAATTAGGTAATCGATAATAATCAGAAATAACACAAGCGAAGATCAGGACAACTTGATAATAGAAACTATAAGTTGATAGCGCAAGATTGCAGGCGTCTTTTACACAACACTAATAGAAAACAAAGGACGGAGTACTGCTACTTGAACAGAAAAACATTCTTCACTCAAAAGAGCAAAACAGAAAATTCAGAAAGGACGGCCTTACGAAGCGTCTCACTTCTAAGCACTGGTGTAGTAAACAAGAAGACGAGTGGTTGAAAATTTGTTGACTATACCACATATATTGCTGGTCAACAGTTGTTGAGCAGGACTGTTCGCGAAGATGGTCTTTTAAAGAACGGTATCACAGAGTTATTAACACTTTAAAATTCTGCCTACAGATAAGTGAGTCCAAATGTCAAGTGCATTTTTAATGTTTTATTTGAGGATTAGGGTTAAGCAGGATTCGTCTGTTTCGATATCTTTCAAAAATTTTGTCAACAATGGTATTTGTTGTTGTCGATATTTAACATAATCCCTAAAATTCGTATACAGTTCGTCTTGATAACTGTTACTAGATGACCCCTAACGGTGTATGAATAAGTAGGCGAATGCGAAGTGTTGATTACGTTTGTTGTTGTACGACGCACTGGTCACCAAAACCGCAGAAGCGCGATGCAAAAATGAAAATCTAGTGCCATAAAGCAAGCAAGTGAGTGAGCGCGCGAGTCAAATCAATAAGATTAAAATTAACATGCATATATACATAGGAAAATCAGTGAATCATCCAATCACTTAGGCAGCTAACCCTAAAGCTAGCGGAGTGAATATGTGCGTTCAAACATACATGTTCATACAAGCGCAACAATAATAAAGGTGCAGTGATGTAGATAAGTTGTTATTGTGCAAGTGACTCTGTCCGTTAAATAAGTTAACTGAAAGGTTTAATCAAATTAAATGTGAACAAACTGAAATACATGTAAGCTGATATACATCCTACAAGCAGCTCTGATGTAAGTAACTACAAAATAGGTCTTTTAACTGAAAATATGCTATCAGAATTTTAAGTAAATGAGCGATATACACATGCTTTGCAATGTGTATCTTGTCTGACGATGACCAGTGTTCATGGATGTGGCGCGTGTTTTTAATCATCTAACTAAAGAGAAATCGCTCCGACTTATTTTCGGATGTTCGAGCAACTAACGACTTCGAAGAAGGACGATTTAACTGGCCTGGTATGAATAAGGATATGAGGGAGCATTTACGCTCATATGTAAGCTGACAGAACTCTGAGGTGATTAAGCATTATAAATGTTAACTAGGATCTTTCGCAATTCTCGCCTCACGTTTGGACTATCTTCGCTTCGGTTTGTCGAGAAACCTTATTGATTCAGATGGACAGTCTTATTTCTTAGCATGTGCGGGAGCACTTCAAGAGGTAACGAACGATAATCGTAGACTAAAATGTCACAACCTAAGACAAACCATATTTTACCCCATTACGTTTTGGGACGCTATCTCAAAACCTACTGAGTTGATTGCTTAAGTGAAAGGGAACTCATGAATGACTTCCGATTGTTCGCCTGAAACATCTGTAACGTTTTACTTCACCTATCAATACAACGTCAACCGCTCTTGCCGTTACTAATGCTGTAGTTGCAAACAAATCCACAGAATAAAGAGCTCTGTAAGTCTTCGACAATGAATGCTGATCACATTAGTTTTAAAGGACTCACCTGACTGAGGGCTCACGGTCATGCCGCCGCACCAGATCAGGAGTGAAAATGCTGTGCTTAACATCCCGTACAATCGCTAGACATATTAGATTAGATTGATAACCTAACACATATATAAAAGATAACACTACTCTTTACCAGTAACACCTGTAATCTAATCGCGCCCACCCAGTTAAATGAAAAGTCAGAAGCGAGGAGGTTGGATGATATATTTTATGGGTTATCGATTTATCGAGAAGTGACTGATCTAACCTGGCTAGTGATCGTAGGAGATGCTTCACAGGCCATTCTGTGATCTACGTGATCTGGTACGGATGCATGACCTTAAACTAAATGAGTCCACCAAAATTAATGTGTTCAGCATCCAATGTTGAACACTTACAGAACTATTGATTTTGGTGATTGATTTACGTTTACAATATCTTTGAACCTCCTCAATTCTGTCTATTGATTTCACTTGGTTGGTTGGTTCCATAATAGAAAGTGCTACTGGTTAAAGCGTTGTCGAACTCCGTATACCTGTGGCATCTTCGTCGTCATATGCCCTTCTTGCCTCATTCTAACGGATAAGATAGTGTTCATGAATTTGTAGCGCATCTAATTCAGAAGTGATAATATGTGCAATGGTAAGCGTTTTTCTACTACTTTAGCCAACGACAGCAACACGTAGAAGCACATTTAACATTCAGACCAAAAATTCATGGCAAAACGTTAACTTTCGTTGGGTATTTTCATCCGGAAAGTTGGGAAGCGCATCTGTAGTATTCACCGAAGACAAGTTAATAGATAAACTTGTCAAAACAACATCAGCTAAGCAGCCGAAATGCTCAAACTGTTCATTAATGAAGAAGCAAGTACTGTGCAGTAACTTGAACAAGCTAAAGCAAGTAAATCACAATATGTATGCCAAATCGTCACAACGCTTTTTAACACAAAGTTTTTCTCATTCAAAAGAAGCTGCTCTTTATTTGTTGTTGATATTCAGGCATTATTATTTCACATGAATCCTCTGAACATCTCGTTCACTGATTCTATTGAGTGAATGTACTTGTTTTAAATAATCGTGGACTGTGTGACCTTCACGGTTATAGTGCGTTTACGTAATTTGACTTGCCACGTTGTAGCAGCGCTAAAGTCGTTTTAGTTACAACTTAAGAATCTCCTCTCCAGAAGTATCTTGGGTCGTAACATATTTAGGAGTGTTGGTACTATACGATTTTACGTTATAAGCTTGCTTCAACAAAAATGCCTTTCAAGCAAACTTTGCTTTTCTAACATTGAAGCCCATTTGTGGTCAGTTTGACGGAAGAACTTTCCACATAATCTTCAACAGTTTTATTCATCCCGATATAAAGTACGGAAACAGTATTTCTTCCCTCACTCTAAAGGATTAGGACACTCTGAAGCGTATCCAACGTCGAGCCACAAAATCAGTTTGACTCAAATTCAAACTTTATGAAGATCGCCTCCATTCACTTAACCTTCACCCGTTAGAGTATAAACGTTTTAGAGGTGTCGTTCTTGTGACTTACAGTATCGGTAACACTTCTGGTCATCCCCTTAAACATCTACTTAATTTAAGTCACAACACTAACCTAATGGTTATTACCCAGAAACTGAAGACACAACATAGCAGAGCAGACTAGACAGAACTTCTACTCCATAAGAGTTGTCAAATGCTGGAATTTGCTGCCGACTGAGCTAGTCCAAGCTACTACTCAGGAGTCCTTTAAGAGGAAATTTGACTTATTCTTATGGACTAAGGATAACATGATTTACCAATTTTTTTACCCTGTTATCGTTCATATACCTAGGTTCTTACCTGGAGGTATTGGTGATCCACTGCTACTAGACACGGAAGCCCGTTAAGCGAGAGCTTCTAATCCGTCCTCAACCATTTGAAACTTCACTCGCTTTCTAGTGACGTGATAGGAACTGGATGGTCACCTGCTGGTTATCCGCGGGTAAAGAAAAACATTCATCTAAAATTTTCAAAAATTGCGACGGTGAATTGCTTTCCACAAATCGTTGCTCCTTAATCTATCTCATAGTCAAGGTAAGACGAGAGGTAATCGAAATGTTCTGACATCGGAACTTTACGCAGACATCACTCACTTTTCAGACCATCCAGTTCCTATCACGTCACTAGAAAACGAGTGAAGGTCCCTTTGACTGTCTCCACTTTATGCAACAAATAGCAATTCAGGAGTTTCCTCGTCTGAAAATCATATTTATTTAAACATACACATTGTTACAAGGAGGCACCAAATACATATGCGCCACATAAGTCACTCGATTTGTGTGAGGGTCGGGTTACTGCCCGAGTGCCCACACCGAAACAGGTGGTTTTCTTATTGGGCACACCCGGAGCCTTTGACTTGAAGGTCTTATCCGCAAGGTAGTGGAGCAACGTCGGAGATGCGGTCCCATGGTTGCCGGGGTCCAAAAATGGGTTCATACTCCATTTGTTCCCTCAGAGTCACCGGCTATCATGGGACTGCATCCCCTCACGATGCTCCACTGCCTTGTGGATCTGACATTCAGGTCAAAGGCTCCGTGTGTGGCCCCCTAAGAAAACCACCTGCTTCAGTCTGGGCACCTGGACAGTATCACAGCCCTCACACAAATCGAATGAGATTTGTGAGGCACATATTTATCTGGTGCTTCCTTGTACCATTATTTATGTGTTTAAATAAATAAATAATAAAGTGTTCCCTCAGGGTACTGGAGCCCGTGTGCACCATGGGTTCGGAATCAGGGTATTCCAACTCCCCTAGTTGGATCCTCCGTATCCACCAACCTGGTTAAAGGACCGGACAATCGCTTTTCACTCTCTCGATTTCGTGAACAACACCCGTGACGCGACAAGGTAGTGAGTAAAACTTCCGTGGCAGTGGTTGTATACACGTGGCCATGTGTGAGCATTTCGATTTAGAGAACTGACTCTCCACTCTCGACCGCAACAGGCATTCGGGAAGGTGTTGCCAAACGCGATCCTAGGCTGCCCTGCAATGGAAAGGAGACAGAATCACATTAGTAACGTCATACATAGTAGTTTCAACGCCGTTGCGTGTTGTGGCAGTCGGGCTTCATGGGATTGGCAGATGTTGAGTCTCTATGTATCTCGTCTAAAACAAAGCTTTCATATTGCTTTTATCTGTTCTAAATACTTTACACTGCTTTAAACTGGTAGAAAACCTACAATGCTTTTTTTATGATCCCTTCGACATTTTGATTGTGAAATACTCAATCGAACTGTTTCTCCCACATTTCAACAGCTCACATTTTCTAACAGTATATTGGATATTATTCCGGTAATCTGAATATTTATATTACTGGTTGGTTCAAAAGAGTCATTTACATCTAACAGTATCATATACTTGTTACTTTTATTTAATACTGAGGTGTATACGTGTTTGAGCAGTATTGGTGCAGTTTGGGGAGACAATACGCATTACTGTACCTTCTCAACTAACTGTAAATAATGGCTTGTCAGCGTTTCAGTAAAGTCGTTTCATTGCTAATCGATATTAGTGAATGGATCATTATATTTTGTTGCGCTGCACAGTACAGTATCGTTGTGTCATCAGGATGGGAGGAATAGGGATTTATAAAATTGTCACGAAGGCAAGTTAAGTTGCCCGAAGTGCATTCAGACACACGTCTGCATTTGGTTAATTTGGTTTTGAAAGTACAAGATACACAAGTTAGTTTGGAATTATCTCAAATGTAAGTAAGAACGTGATCTAAAAGATAAAGTAGAATGAGACTGGTATGTCTGAAATCGACCCTGTCACCCAGTGTACAATCACAATTCATATACATTGCTGCATAGTTAGTTTAAATATGTCCAGTCCAGTGCTACTACCATAGTATTTAAAAGCATATTACTTCCATTAAATTGGGTCTGTATTCAAAATACACGGGTTTTGACGTAAACAGTTTATGTAATATTTGATTTACTTGAAACCGTCTGGTCGTATCTCCACTTAGACACCTACAAATTATTGTTTAAGTTCCGTCTTATGTGCTATGGTTTTTACTTTAGTGGCTCAAAAAAAGCATAATCAGCGCATTCCTTCATTACCTGTTATTTACTTTGATAAGTGTAATTATTGTTGCTTATGCAAAGTACCAATCGATTAAATGTGAACCAAGTGGAGAATCGAAGCAGATTCCCACTATATAGTGCCAAATGTAGTATATACTACATTTTGCACTGGTCCTATTTTTTCAGTACCTGAGTCTGCGGTGGATGTATCTTTCCACCTATCTATCTTGATGTAATTTTGTTTATTTATGTCTTGTTTTTCAGTTGTTCCGATCGGTTCACCTTGTTACCTCATACCTATATATGTATATATATTGTGCAATTTTTCACTCGAATTGAATGTCGATCATGGATTGTATAAATTCGGTAGATTCCTCATCTCCAGTAGTACAAAAGTCTGCGAATGACTTGAGGGAATATAAAGTGATGCGTTTATGCAATAGGATGAAAGTGCTTCTTATAAGTGATCCCGAAACAGATAAATCTGCAGTGTGTTTATCTGTGAACATTGGTATGTTGATGAATGTTGTTACAGTGTTATAACTTTAGGTTCGCTGTCGGATCCGAAAGAACTGCCTGGTCTCGCACACTTTTGCGAGCATATGTTGTTTCTTGGTACGAAGTCATTTCCGACAGAAAATACCTATTTGAAGTACATAACCGATCATGGTGGTCACTGTAATGCTTTCACGAGTCCAGATAAAACTTCTTATGTGTTTGATGTTGCACCTGAAAGTTTGATAGGAGCATTGGATATTTTCTCACAATTTTTCGTGTGCCCTCTTTTCACAGATTCTGCAACAGAACGTGAGGTTAGTTTTAATATGGTTACCGAGCATGGCAAGTGTTTGTTTGTAGTGAATGGGAAGTTGTTTCAATACTGCAACAATGATTTCTGTTTCAATGCACACGCTTTTTTTCAGAGAAATATATGCTGCAAGTGAGAGCATTTATCAGTTGTTGCATTAATTAGGTGCGAAATTCTGAAAACTCAGGTGTTTCTAAATATCATATCACGATCACTGGTATGCTATGTTTTGAGTTTTACGTTTGAGCTCAGAATTTATGAACACCACCCCATAATTTTACTGTGAACAATGACTTTATATGACTTTGATATATATTACGGAAATGTTTCATCTGCATTTCACTTGTCGAATCAGAAGGATTGTGGCGGTTATAGAACGTTTTGTGGGGTGATACATTGAATGTATTAAAACTGGTTTCACAAGACTTTGTTTATCGAATATTGCTATCTACTATGTGTGCACAGCATGGTGTTATAGGTTGTCTTATTTCTTACGAATAAGCGTTGATTATTGAGTATATCTTTCTTAGATCGAGAATGATATTATGTGTAGAGTATTGTAATCTGCAGCATGTGTAGTTGATGTGCCTCTTCCATTATGTTTAGAATTGTATTGGGAATGCAGTAGTCCAATATCTGCTTTTGCTTTACTGCAGAAGAGCTGCAATCATAGTTACTGACAAGCTAAATGGGGAAATAAAAGGTAGTCTCATAAAAAAGCTTCGTATTGTTTTTATGAAAGGTAAACTAGGGTACACTTGTCATGGCGTAAGGGATATTTAGAGAAGTAAGATTAACATGTTGAAAGGTAAGTAACTATCGAAAGAGTAGCCATGGTTATAATGGATTATCAGGTTACAGTTTCGAAACCCCGTTTATTCACTTGATTTTAGGCAGCTTGGTAGTACTTCTCTCTCGCGGACACTGGTTGTTTATTGTAATGTGGATAAAATGCAACGTTGTTCTAAATAGGATTATACTTTATGACGAAGGTGAAGTCATTCGACATTATGAAGAATTATTTTTGTAATTATTTCATCCTTTAATGTAAAATGTAATAGTTGGATGCTTTCTACTGCTTACGATTTTGTGGTTGTGCGTGTAATTTTATTTTAACAAAAACACTTGTGGAGAAGCACCTATGCATGCCGATTAAAGTCACCGTTTTAGTACATAAGTGATGTCAATCAGAATATAAAGCTTACGACTACGAATAACGGTTTCAAGAGTGTATTGAAGCTAGAAAGGGAATAGGGTATAAGAGAAAAAGCAAAATGTGATTTAACTTTGAGGATCTAAAGATGGAAATCCATTTCAGTTGTAGTCAATTTTTAAGCACATTGTGAAACTGACCACTGATGATTTTATTTGCACATGTTGGTTGATTAATGACTGTTTAAAAATTGGTTTTGAAAGGGACTTGTTAGCCATTTTGGTGCACGGGCGGGATCAGATTTTGAATTTTGTAATAAAGTGAGGAAATTTCTTAGGCTTTTTCAGTGTGGTCGTATCACTTTTCCCAGTTAACAGATGAAGATCGTTAAAATATATACTCCGTGACCTGACATCGTCATCATTATATATTTGTTAATAGAAGGGACTTGATTGTATTTTCTTACCCTCCTGTTAACTTGACAATAAGGTTTTCTAGATCAAAGTGTTATGCTACGTAGTTTCAGGATTCCTGTTTGTTTTCTGTGGTTATCACTATGGAGTTGATTAGATAATTTATTTAACACGAAGTAATACTCGTTGGGTCAGTGAATTATACTTGTTTAGTAGTATTGGTAGCGAATGACGGCATCACAGATAACTTACCATGATATTTTTACTGTTTGGACTACCACTAACAAGCCAAGTTTTAATTTTAGGTGAGTGCTGTACAGTCGGAACATGAAAAGGATAGTAGTAATGATACTAGACGTCTTTTTCAGCTAGAGCGAAACTTATCGAAAGGTGGTCATGATTATACGAAATTCTTCTCCGGTAATCGATACTCATTATTTGAGTCCAGTTGTGCAAAATCAGTGAATACACGTGAAAAGTTGTTGCAGTTCTATTCGACATGGTATTCGTCAAATCTGATGAGTCTAGTTATTCTTGGAAGAGGTACATAACATGTAATATTGTTGAATTGAGATTGATTGATGGAATTGTTAACCTTTGAGACCTACATTTCTTTTAAAATATCGATGTGACTAAACCATTTTATACTATTTGAACATATTTTGATATTTAGTTTGTTGAGATTCTGAGTTTGTATCGATATTCGTTAATTTGAATGCATGATCTGGCACTCAAACTTTGAGTAAGTCAAGCTTAGATATTGGTTGTTCATACTTCAGATCCTTGACGTCATGTGTTCTGATTTATTTAGACTACTAGATACGTTTACTTGGAAGTCAAGAATTATAGCGACTCATCATAGGACTACTTTGTCTTGAATAGTTGATTATTATGTTTAATAACATGTGATGTGGTAATGGACTGTGGGTTTAATTCAACTTGAGGAAAATCGATTGATCAGCATTCGTGACCTTCTTCGTACTACAGGTAGGTAAATGACTGAATTTGAAGTAGGTAAGTATACAGAAGAGTAAGAAAATGTTATTATGATAACTTTGATCTATTTTGTTTACCAAATGAGATAGAACGTTTGTGATTATCATGGCTAGTCCCCACTGTTCATCTATCTCATCAAAAATTGAACAAAATCGTTTCACTTATATTGTGATCTGTTGATTACAGTCAAGGAAACGTGGTAGTGATGATTTCAATTAAGGGGACTCTATTACCTACAATTATGAGTTGGCGATAAGATGTAATTTTTTTCAAGTTGTTCGTACAGATAAGGATAGTTAGCATGTCAATGTATGTAGGGTAGAGAACATTTGGAGAGCAGGTTATTCAGTTGATAAGAACCATTCATACTTTTCATCACAATACTAAGCATGATTCGCTTCCACCAGACGAGACTGGAAACGTCATCAGACTAGTTGTTTTTGACATGATGCCTCCTGATTGATCATTGGGTAACTATATCAGACTAATATTCATTGTGTTGTTCTGTCCATATATTAGTTATGGAATTGTTCTTACGTGTCAGCCTGTTTGATGCAGTGGCCATGAAGATCAACGTATTACCAAGAGATTTTCAAACTACTCAAGAATCAGATTGTTTTTAACAACCATTGTGTCTGGATTATTTTGTCTTTGGTTACTAACCATAATTCATGGAAAGTACTATATAGGTGAGGAAAAAAAACCTATGTAGAACAAAGTTAGCTAACAAAAAGGCTGAGAAAGTGTCACAATGCCACATTTTGTGACTCATATCTAACTTCTGAATCAGATATTTCCGACTTGTGTGAGATGCAAGTATGGCGACTACAAAATTGTGTTGAATTATTATTTCGTTCATGTCATTTTAAAGTGAATATTTCTTGGTGTCTTGTAGTGTAAGATTATGGAAGATTTTTCAGTTAATCTTTTATGATAATTCTGTTGATTGATATTGTCTATTCATTCCTGTGAAAATGCTTTCAACGAATTATGTTTGTTTTATATGCCTTTGTTTTGAGTCGTTAACTGGATTTCGGATAATCATCCTTACATTTGTTTACATGACACATGTGATTTTTATTTTGTCGTTTGATTGAAATTAAATTTAAATACTAGATGTGATTAGTATTTATGTTTTCTTTATGTCTGTGATTGTTTCTGATGAAATCTTTTCAGAATCTATAAATGACCTACAGAAGCTTGCAGAAGATAATTTTTCGGAAGTTATTGATCGTAATGTCGTGCAACCGTCATGGAACGATACTCCATGGCCTGATATATGTCTCAAGGTAACAGTTTCATTTGACTTTTATTATATTTAATATGTTTTCCGAGTAAAATATTCATATTTGATACTGATTGCTGTGTATGTGTTTATGTCAATCAGATAATTAGTTGATTCCAAAAGGTGTTTAAGTTCATATTCCTGATTGTCATTAATTATGCCATTTGGATGTGGCCTTTTTCATAGTTAGAGAGTAGGTCACTGTAAATGAGGCGTTGGGTCATTAAAAAACAATATGGAACTTTAGTTATGTGGAAGAATTCTTGTGATAATCTAAAAAATGATGATAAACAGTTTTGTGAAGATAGTTGTCCGGTGAGCAGTGTGACTGTTGATGATGAATATGTTGAATGTGAAAATGGATACATTGGAGGTGTATCAGAGAATAATGGCTTAGTAATAATGGTGCGTAGGGTGATAGGATGTGGTAAATAGTAACATGAATATTGCCTGTTGTCTATTGTTGAAGGCATGCCGAAAATGGATTTAATGGTTTGTGTAACTGTGTTCCTTTCTAAGACTCTTGTTTTACCTGGGACTCAAACGTGTGGAAATAACAGTTGATATTTATTGAGCATTATAGTTTCCTAGTTGGTAATATTTAATAACGCTGATGTGAATTTTGTTTTTGTCAATGTGAGCACATTGATTGTTATTAGTTTTTTGGTTATTGATAAGTTTCTAGTTTGTAGAATGTCTCGTGTGAATGTAAACCTTTTGTGATGTCAAACTTGTATGAGAGGCTTCATTGTTGTCAGAAGCGTCCGTACAGTCCAATACTGCTAGACATTTCCATTGATTAGTAAGTATAAAATGATTGAGTAATGCCAATCACATTTGAGTTATTGTCCTGTTCAGAAATAAAGTTGTACATTTTGAATAAAAGAATTAGAATTTGTGTGTTAGAATATGGATTGCTAAATTATCCACCTGGGTAGTTGGTGTTGTACTGTCACTGAGATTGTAATCTGTGAATAAGACCAATAATTTATTTTTCTTGAAGTATGTAATGTTCATCAAAATGTTAATGATTTTTAATCTCTTAAATTAGAGTTTTAAGGTAGAATAAATGTACAATTTGATTTTGATTTTATCACAGAAAATGGTATATGTCGTCCCACTGAACGATATTCATCAAATGAATATAATGTGGCCTATTCCTGACTATATTCCAGACTATACAGCTCAAGTAAATTATTGTTTTGAACTGGATTGATCAGTTATACACAAATGCAGATTCATTGTTCGTTGTATTTTTTCACCATATTGTTTCCAAATGTTGACGTGTGTGGATCCGTTTTTACGTTTACTTATAATGGGGAATGATTTGCAACAATAGTTTAAACATTTGTATTTTCTACTGATAAATGTTTTTGATGTGGTAGAAGATGTGCGTTAAATGCTGAAATAAGTGGTATTCAAAATGTTTTACATTTATTGCCATTACCATTTATAACCATTACATCGTATATTGGGACGTTGTTTTAATGTCTCTCAATTCTGCTTAGTCATTTTTTAAAATGTTTTGTAGTTAATACATTAGACATATTCAGCGAGCTGATTAGTCTTTAACACGTTTTTGAGGTTTGTAAATGTGCTAACAATCGAAATTTTGCATATTGCTTAGCATCTTTATTCATGGGGATCATTTTTGTTATTGACCGAGACCGAGTAAGGAATAACTCAAGACAAATAATTATCGTGTGTCTATTTTTGTTTAGAGTTTAATTATGTTTTGTGTTAAAGCTTAGGCTAGAATAAAACGCCTCATTTTAGGCTTCTCCTTTTTTCCAGTAGTTTTCAGGTGGCATATCGTTTATTTACATAAACTCTTCAACTTGAATAAGCTTAGCAAACTGCTATATTCGTCTTAACGAATTAATTACTTTGTTTTTTTTTCGATCCAACTGTTTACAGGCCCCTAGTTATGTGACTCATTTACTTGGTCATGAAAGCCGTGGAAGTTTACTGAGTTTATTCAAAAATGCAGGCTGGGCTAATCGATTAGCATGCGGAGTTAGTAGGCCAGCAGCTGGAATCTGTTCTCTAATTTTGTCTATTGATTTAACTTTGAAAGGACTAGGTGGGTTAATTATCAGTTATATTTCTTATCTTCAGCTGTTATCATGATTGACTATATGTGTGTTAGCTAAGTTTATGGTCTAAATAAACAGCGGAAAAATCCCATGCTGTCATAAGAAAGAATGGGGATGTTTCAGCGATGATATATGGACTAGAATGTCATTTAATTTATTTTCTTCAATTTTCTTGTCTAGAAAAAACGAATGAAATTATGACAAATATATATCAATACATTAATATGCTTCGCTCTGATGAACCACAGAAATGGATTTTTGATGAAGAACAGGTAGGATTTTTCTTTTTCTTTGACCATTTCGTACTTTGACTGAGGAAGCTTATTTTGTTGAAATGGTTATGCTGCATTACTGTTTGTTGAATGAAAATTAACTGTTTTATTGTGTCGATCGGTTATGTACATTAACAGAGTCATTTGTTTGTTTCACTTTCCACATCTACTACTTACGCCTGTTACCCCTCGTGGAGAAGCATAGGCCGCACGCCAGCACTCTTCATCCAACCCTGTCCTGAAAAATCCTTTCCAGTTGTTATTCATCCTTTTCATATCTGTTTCTGTTTTCCGACGTAATGTGTTTTTTGACCTTCTTTTTTTCCGCTTCCATTCAGGATTCCAAGTTAGGGCTTTCCTCGTGATCCAGTTTGGTGATTTTCTCAATGTATGTCTTTCCACTTACAACGTCTTTTCTTAATTTCCTCTTCAGCCGGAAGCCGGTTTGTCCTCTCCCACAGAAGGCTGTTGTTGATGGTGTCCGGCCAATGGATGTTGAGTATCTTGCGTAGACAACTATTTATAAGTACTTGTACCTTCTTGATGATGGTCGTAGTAGTTCTCCAAGTTTCAGCTCCATACAGTAGGACTAACTGTCTTGACGCTAGTATTGGAGATTCTCACTTTGGTATTGGTTGACAGTTGTTTTGAGTTCCATATGTTCTCCAACTGTGGGGATGCGGCCTTTGCTTTGAAAATCATCACCTTCATTTACGTCTGCATCAGATCCTCCTTGTTCATCGATGATGCTTCCTAGGTACGTGAAAAATTTCACAGTTTCTCCATTAAATGTGATTGGGTTGGTGTTCTCCGTGTTATATTTGAGAATCTTGCTTTTTCCTTTGTGTATGTTGAGCCTATTCATGCAGAGGCTGCTGCAACATTTTCTGTCTTCCTTTATATTTGTTTGTGTGTATGAGATAGGAGGGCTAGATCATCTGCGAAGGTCAAATCGTCTAATTGATTCCGAGCTGTCCATTGTATTCCGTATTTCCCTTCAGATGTCGAGGTTTTCATAATCCAGTCAATCACCAGAAGAAAGACGAAGGGGGAGAGTAGACAGCCTTGTCTTACTCCGGTCCTTACTGGAAATGCATCTGTCAGCTGTCCTCCATGCACGACTTTGTGCTGTAGTCCATCGTATGAGTTCTGGATAATGTTCACAATCTTCTTAGGAACTCCATAGTGTCAAAGTTTCTATAATGTTCTCCTGTCCACACTGTCAAACGCCTTATCGTAGTCAATGAAGTTGATGTAGTGACGAGTTCCACTCAACTGATTGTTCCACGATGATCCGTAGTGTCTCAATTTGGTCTGTGCACGACCGTTTGCTATATCTCCCTGCTATTTTCTCCTTTGTATCATATAGTTGTTTCATATTCCCTTCTCTTGCAGCTTTTTCCGTCGTCGTTGCCAGTTCTCCCATGTATTTCTGCTTGTCGGCCTGAATGGTTTCTTCACTTCCTTGTTTGCTTCTGCGTAGTCTGCTTGTGCCTTGACTTCTTCTGCTCGTGTTCGCCTCTTTTTAATTGCTGTCTTCTTGTTCTTCCTTTCTTGAATCTTGTTCAGGGTTCCCATAGAGATCCATCCCTTATGATGATGCTTCTTAGGTCCCAGAACCTCCTGACACATTGAAGTTAGTGCTTCTTTGATCCCTTTCCAGTTGTCCTCCATCGTAGTTTCTTCTTTCTATAGATCCTTTAAGGCTTGGAACCTATTGAGAATGATCTTGAATTGGTTAAGTTTGTTAGTATCTTGAAGGACGGCTGTATTGAACCTTCGTACTGCTGTTTTCCCAGTTGTCCAGTGTTTCTTTAGCTTCAGTTTCATCTTGGCGACCACCACTTGGTGTTGATCTGAAGCCATATCAGCTCCTCTCCTGGTTCTCACATCTTCCATTGTCCTTCTGAATTTTTTATTGATACAAATGTGATCTATCTGGTTCTCTGTGGTGTGGTCCCGTGAGATCCATGTTGCTTTGTGTACACGTTTGTGTGGAAATATTGTGCCGCCAACAACCAATTTGTTGAATGCAAATCTCTCATTTTCGTTTCTCTCTCCAAGTTACTTCGTGTCATCCAATGATATTTTCATATCCTGTGTTGTTCACTCCGACTCTGGCGTTTATATCTCCCATCAGGATGGTGAGGTCCTTTCTTGGTCACTTAGCTATGATTGATTGCAGCCTCAAGTAGAACTGATCTTTATCGTCGTCGTTGTTATCATTGATGGGTATAACATTGGATAAAGTTCATTGTGATTCCCTCCTCCTTTGTTTTTAATGATGCTTTGATTATCCTGGATCCATGAGATTCCCATCCTGCAAGTGCATTTCGTGCATCTGTGGACAGCATTAGAGCAACTCCCTGAGTATGTGGAGCATTTTCCTCTTCGTGACCGGAGTACAGTAGCATCTCTCCCGTATCTAGCCTTTGTTGTCCAGCTTGGGTCCATTGGGTTTCCCTGATTCAGAGTACTACCAATTTGTATCTGCTCATTTCCGTAGCAATTCGACTGATCTTCCCGGTCTCCCACATTGTTCTGACATTCCATGTACGTATAAAAATTGTTGATCTGGTTGTTAGAAAGAGCATCTCGGCTTTCATAATGCGTCATGATTATTCCTGCAACTCCCAAGGCAGAGTTTAAACTGTTAGCATTATGTTTTTTGGCCAGCGTTTATTTTGCGAGTTAGTCTTCTACGGGATGGGGTCGCTAACCCCGTGCCCAACCCTCCTTCTTTACCCGGGCTTTGGACCTGCAGTAACTCTAGAAGAGATACAGTTCAGTTTCCACATCACATAATAAAAAATTGAAAAGAGATAAATTATTTGTAAAAACAATGGTTATATATATGTATATATAAATGCCCTGGTGCGGCCGAGAGCGGCGAGTCAGTTCTCCTTCTCGAAATGCTCTCACATGGCCACGTGCATACAACCACTGCCAAGGATGTCCTACTCACTGCCTTGTCGCATCACGGGTGTTTTTCACGAAATTGAGAGGATAAAAAGCCATTGTCCGGTCCTTTAACCATGTTGATGGACACGGAGGATCCACCTAGAGTAGTTGGAAAACCCTGATTCCGAACCACTGGTGCACATGGGCTCCAGTACCCTGAGGGGACAAAGGTGCATGAACCCATTGTTGGTCACCGGCTACCATGGGACTGTATTTCCTGATGTTGCTCTACTGCCTTGTGGATAAGACCTTCAGATCAAAGACTCCGGGTGTGACTCCCAACGGTAACCAATTTTTTTTCGGTCTGCTCACTCGAGCAGTGTGCCGGCCCTCACGCAAATCGAGTGACTTATGTGGTGCATATGTATTTGGTGCCTCCTTGTACCAATGGTGATGTGGCTAAATAAATAAATATTATTTTGAACTATAATAGTATAATTGGGATATGTGTTTGCTTCTGATGAAGAGGTTATGCGATAGGTTTCTACAATTTCTACTCAATGCATTAATTAGATGTTAGGTTGTTGATTTTATTTTGACAAAATCAAAGTTTATAATTATTCTTGAGACTTTTACAACAGTCTGATCTCTATTATTTGTCATAATTCCCCAGCTTTGAAATACACAAATTGTTGTAGATGTTAGTTCTCCCCGGGGTTATAGTTGTTCAATGTTATTATTCCTGTGACTTATCACTTTAATAAGCCGGAATATAATTAAATTTATTTGACTATTAACTAATCTTTTGGCGTCTAACCAAATAAATTTTCCTTGGGAGATTTGTGTTTTTAAGTGGTCGGGTCTGAGTGTCGTATCGTTGTTTAAAGAGGTATTAGAAATTTTTCTGTGCTGCAAATCCTATCAAATGTACCATCTTTTATCTTGGATTGTGATCATTATATGTACAGTACTACTGTTTAATGTTATACTTTATCTTACCACTTGTCTCTAATAATGATCACTCACTTATATCCGGACTTAAAAAAAAAGCAGTTGTTTAGGGCAACGTTTTTCTTTTACGTTAACCATGTATGTAAATAAATCAATATGATTTAATCAATGGATTCTTTTCTGTTCAATGTGCTTCTATTTATAGGCTTTATGTCAATTAAACTTTCGATTTAAAGACAAAGAACGGCCTTATGAATATGTGACTGGATTGGCCAGTAATCTATTGGTAAGCAACTTGTAAAAATTCAGCACATATGACCTTGTAAAACCTTTCAATTGTTCCTACATGAAATTGAATATTTTAACTCAAAATTTTTTGACAATAATCGAGAATTCAGTCGATGTTTATATTTTTTTATTATTCTTTTAGAACTCTCGTGGAGTTTTTGATATTCCAGTTATGTTAATAAAGAAGGAATATGTTGTTCAGTGGTTCTCTCTATTTCATGTTTTACTTCTGTCTGTGGTGGATGGTGCAACATAATAACCGGTATCTATCTATACTTCAGAGTAGTGTTCATAGTTAAAGAAACTGCAAAATTCTTATTAAGTTCTTTCCTTATTTAGTTACTAGCTATTAGAACATGTTGAATGAGTTCTAGGCATATTAGAGACTAGGTTGTGCTCACAATGGTTTTCATGAGTTCATTCCTCAAAATGTTAAATAACTTACTGCCTCTTGTTTTTATTTATGCTGTTTATCCTATACATTTTATTGTCCTAATTCCCACATTTTAAGCTAATTTATTTCTTCTGCAATGCTGTGAAATGGGATACCTTGAACAGCCGCACTTCATTGTAGGTATTCACGTTTTGCTCTATTCATTTTTGTTTCTCTCACTTCAAACTCCAATCATACTGGCCATGTATCAGTCCATTCATTTATAGTAATCAAAAAAGTGGGTTTATACGAACAGTCGAGACATTTTATTTTCTCACTATTTTCTCTTTCAGTTCTGTTAGCTACATACAACACTAACACTTAATACCGATCTACTTCTCACATTTTTTCGGAAGAACTAGTTTGTCCTGGAAAGAACAATTAAACATGACTATAGTTTTGATAAGACATTTTTAAATGTATAAAGTGTTTTATCCATAAAATCAATCTTTAATATCTGTAATAACCTCTTTCCAAAACCTGGTAGCTATTCTGATATCAAGCAGTTAACACTCATTACTGTGGTTATTAAGCTATTACTTTTCTATCTGCCAATGTTTTAACTAAATGAGTCGTGTTTACTAACGAAAGTTCCATAACTTTTAGTCTAAAGGATTAATAAGTTATTATTAAATTATTCTCATTCATCTTATTTTTAATTTAAGCCTAAAATAAACTTGTATATGGCTTCGAGTAAGTGGTTAGCTTCAGGTTTATCATTTGTTTCGAATTTCTTACCCTGAAGTTTTTCGAATAGTTGGATTACTTACTTACGCCTGTTACTCCCAATGGAGCATAGGCCGCCGACCAGCTTTCTCCAACCCACTCTGTCCTGGGCCTTCTTTTTTACTTCTATCCAGTTCTTGTTCATTCTTCTCATGTCTGTCTCTATTTCTCGGCGTAATGTGTTCTTTGGTCTTCCTCTTCTCCGTTGACCTTCAGGATTCCATGTGAGGGCTTGTCTTGTGACGCAATTAGCTGATTTCCTCAAGGTGTGCCCAATCCACTTCCAGCGCTTCTTCCTGATTTCTTCCTCCGCTAAAATCTGGTTTGTTGTCTCCTACAGTAACTTATTGCTGATAGTGTCTGGCCATCGGATCCGAAGTATCTTGCGTAGACAGCTGTTGATGAACACTTGTATCTTCTGGATAATGGCTTTCGTAGTTCTCCACGTCTCCGCCCCATACAGTAGAACTGTCTTGACATTTGTGTTGAAAATTCTAACCTTGGTGTTGGTTGACAATTGTTTTGAACTCCAGATGCTTTTCAGTTGTAGGTATGCTGCTCTTGCTTTGCCGATCCACGCCCTCATATCTGCATCTGATCCACCGTGTTCATCAATGATGCTGCCCAGATATGTAAAGGTTTCCACATACTCCAAAGCTTCTCCGAAAAGTGTAATTTGATTGGTGCATATTATATTGTATCGAAGAGTCTTGCTTTTCTCTTTGTTTATATTGAGACCTACTGCTGCTGAGACTGCTGCTACACTGGTCGTTTTCTCCTGCATTTGTTGTTGCGTTTGTGATAGAAGAGCCAGATCATCCGCGAAGTCTAAATCGTCAAGCTGCATCCTGCCTGTCCATTGTATCCCGTGCTTTCCTACAGATGTTGACGTCTTCATGATCCAGTCGATCACCAGGAGAATGAGAACGGATGAGAGTAAGCAACCTTGCCTAACATCGGTCTTTACTTGAAACGAGTCGGTGAGTTGTCCTCCGTGGGCGATTTGGCAGTTTAGTCCATCATAGGAGTTCCGTATGATATTTACTATCTTCTCAGGCATACCGTAGTGTCGAAGAAGCTTCCATAGTGTCTTCCTGTCTACGCTATCAAATGCCTTCTCGTAGTCGATGAAGTTGATGTAGAGTGATGAATTCCATTCGATTGATTGTTCCACAATGATCCGCAGAGTTGCGATTTGATCTTTGCACGATCTATCCTTACGAAATCCAGCTTGTTGATCTCGAAGTTGGGCGTCCACGGAATCCTTCTTCCTGTTTAACAATACTCGTTTGAAGACTGTTGGGGATGTCAAATCCCCAGAACTTACTTGGTAAATGGCTTAATCTTGTAGTTTTATTTTGAAAATTTGGATTTAGCTGTTTTCGCGCCAAAAGCGCTCTTTTTACCTTCACGTCATATTTCCCACCTGTAAACTATCTTAACCGCTATTGGTCCATTGTTTCTTTATGTGTGCTATTTACTAGTGATGCTCAAGGACAATTTGTTACTGTATAAATGCGCTTGACTTTTCCCCTTATTTGATTGCTTGTACTCGGCTGCTTACGGAATACATATATATTCCCCTACTTGCCTTGGACTTCTTCATCTAGTTAGCGGGGCCTGGGACAACCGATTAGAATAGCTTATCGTGTCATTGTATCATTGGCTTTCGTTCGTTACCGCGGAATCGATTTAGTTTCAAGCATAACAAAGACATTTCCTGGTATTGAGAGAAGAGTGATGCCCCTGTAGTTGTCGCACTTGCTGAGGTCGCCTTTCTTTGGTATCTTGATCAGAAGTCCTTTTTTCCAGTCTGTTGGTACTTGTTCTTCATCCCAAATCTTACTGAAAAGGATGCGTAGTATCTTGGCAGTTTCTGCTACATTTGCCTTCAGTGCCTCTGCCGGGATGTTGTCTGGTCCCGCTGCTTTGCCACTCTTGACTTGTCTAATGGCCATGCTGATCTCTTCAATTGTTGGTGGGCCAACATCGATTGGGAGGTCTGTGGGTGCTGCTTCGATGTTGGGTGGGTGCACTGGAGCTGGTCGATTCAAGAGTTCTTTGAAGTGTTCTACCCACCTGTTTCGTTGTTTTTCAATGTCGGTGATTACTTTGCCTTCCTTGCTTTTCACTGGTCTTTCTGACTTACGGTAATTTCCAGCAAGTTTCTTTGTTGTATCATACAATTGTCTCATGTTTCCCTCTCTTGCAGCCTTTTCCGCTGTCATCGCTAAATCTTCAACATATTTACGTTTGTCGGTTCTGATGCTCCTCTTCACTTGCTTGTTTACCTCTGTGTATTCGGCTTGTGCCTTGGCTTTTTCCGCTCTGGTTCGGCTGGTGTTGATTGCTGCCTTCTTGTTCCTCCTTGCTTCAATTTTATCCAGTGTACGAACAGTGATCCATTCCTTGTGATGGCGCTTCTTTTGGCCCAGAACCTCTTGACATGTTGAAGTGATTGCCTCTTATATCCCTTTCCAGTTGCTCTCCATGGTCGTTCCCTCTCTATTGAGTAGATCATGAAAGGCCTGGAACCTGTTGCTGAGGGCTATGTTGAATTTGTTGAGTTTGTCAGCATCTCGAAGAAAGGCCGTGTTAAACTTTTGTGATGTTGTCCGCGCCATTGTCCAGTGCTTCTTGAGTTTTAGTTTCATCTTGGCGACCAGCAAATGGTGATCGGATGCTATATCAGCTCCTCTCCTGGTTCTCACATCCTCCATCGTCCTCCTGAACTTTTTGTTGATGCAGACATGGTCGATTTGATTCTGTGTAGTGTGATCCGGTGAAATCCAAGTGGCTTTGTGTATGTTTTTGTGTGGGAATATGGTGCCACCTATGACCAGTTTATTGAAGGTACATAGGTTTGCAAATCTCTCACCATTTTCGTTCCTTCCTCCCAGTCCATGTTGTCCCATGACGTCTTCGTATCCAGTGTTGTTCATTCCAACCTTGGCATTGAAATCTCCCATCAGAATGGTCAGGTCTTTGGTTGGGCACTTCTCGAAGATTGACTGCAGCCTATCGTAGAATTGGTCTTTAGCTTCTTCATCGTAGTCATTGGTAGGCGCATAGCATTGGATGACGTTCATTGTAATGCTCTCTTGTATTTCCTCATTTCCGCAGCAATTTGGAAGACTCTTCCGGTCTCACATTGTTCGGACATTCTATGTACCTATAAAAATTGTCGCTCTGGTTGTAAGAAGGTGCATCGACCTCATGACTTCCGAAGGAACTCAGCTTTCATCATGAGACGTCATAATTATTCCTCCTACTCCCAGGGCAGAGTTTGAAAGATAGTCAGTGACAATTAAGTAATTAGAGTTGGAAATGTCATTTATTGTATTTCCAATTAAAGGTAATATGATGATTGCAAAGGTTGACGATATGATCGTCAGAATTCAGATAAATAGATACACAGATATTAAATACTTCATGTGTAAAATATCTTGACATTACAATTTATGTTCTTAGTGAGCAGATACTTTCTTTTTCAAATTATAGTCTTGTGAACTGTTCACTATATTCACATACTTTTTTCATTTTTTTCCTATTCTTTTTATGTCAAGTTATCATGTCTTCTACGGATCGGACTTTTAACATCACTCTATCTGTCTCAAAATCAAAACATGACTTGGACAGAGGTGTATGTGTATTTCGAAGCAAAAACGAAAGTTAATCACCCATATGTCTACCAAAATGATGGTAATTGTACGAACAGAATACAAATCATAATGCATTAATTAGTAAAATAACTACATACTAAATAGATCGGTACATATATAAATACATTAGAAGTTGGTAAACAAAGTCGGCTTCATATCAGTTGCTGAATTCTAAATCTGATTTTTTTATGAGTGTAATATTTTCGAATTCGTCGTTCCCAGCACTAGTTAGCACACTTTTCTAATATATTTATATATATATATATATATACTGTAAAGCTGCAGATCGGTAATTTAATTAATTAATTTCCAGCTGGTAGGCAATAATTTGTTACCTTACTTCACCTACTTTCATCAGTTGAATAGTGTGACTATGAGCTATTGTTTGGCAGTCAAGACATTCTACTTTCAACCACTTTGTCCTGCCCCAACTACGGTTTGGAAAACCAAGTAGTATCACGAGCGCCGTCCCTCATAAGCACATGTATAGCTCAAAGTCGAGTACACAAATTCGAATTCGGTAAACGGGTCGCGTTTTTCTTTTCTCTTACTACATCTAACATTAGCCTTCAATTTCATTTCGTCCCACAATTGAGTGGTAACTGGTTTCTTTCTTACATCCATCTGCGAATTTTTTCTCATACAGTTTCCCTCACCTTTTCACACTTGGCTTTTGATTTGACACTGGTATGAACACTATGTAGGTTCACCAAAAAACGGGTCATCATTGTCCTCTTATAATGTGTAGAATTAGAAATAAGTCCAAAAAATCTATTGTATTTTTCACTTGAATTAGATAAACAAACATACCTCACTGTTTACCTTTTCAAAATATTTTTTCTAGCTTTATGAAATGCAAGATGTTCTAACCGGTTCTTTCCTGGCAACTGTCTACGATCCTGATTTAATTAGAAAAATCTTAAGTTGTTTAACACCTGATAATAGCCGGTATGTGATATTTGTTTTTTTTAATGTTTTTGATTTGCAGTACCATGTTAGTTCATGATATTTGTAGGTTTTAATATATGGTTTCTCATGTTTTGCTATCTCACAATAAAAGTGTAGCTTATTCATTGTAATGTGGTGCTTCTGTTTCTTCACTTGATACAAATTTCTTCAGACAATACGAATAGTCAGAATTAATAAGAAATACTAGCATTTAACAGATTTTGATTTTGTATAATTTTTCTCGGTGACATGATTCTTATTCATTCAATTATTTTGCAATATTTATAACTACATTTTATACTTTATATTCTTTGTAAAGTATGATATGTTCTGAATTTCGGGAATCTTGATATCTTATTTATTTATTCATCTGAAGACATAAATATTGGTACAAGGTGGCACCAAATACATATGCGCCCCACAATTGTTTGAGGGCAATGATACTGCCCGAGTGCGCAGACCGAAACAACTAGTTTTCTTAGGGGATCACACCCAGAATCTTTGACCTGAAGGTCTTATCCACTAGGCAGTGGAGCAACGTCGGGAGATGCAATACCATGGTAGCCGGTCATCAACAGTGGGTTCATGCACCATTTGTTCCCTCAGGGTACTGGAGCCCATGTGCACTAGTAGTTCGGAATCAGGGTTTTCCAACTACTCTGGGTGGATCCTCCGTGTCCATCAACATGGTTAAAGGACCGGACAATGGCTTTTTATCCTCTCAATTTCGTGAAAAACACCCGTGATGCGACAAGGCAGTGAGTAGGACATCCTTGGCAGTGGTTGTATGCACGTGGCCATGTGAGAGCATTTCGAGGAGAGCTGATTCTCCCCACTCTTGAGCGCAACAGGGAATTTGAGGCATCAGATTCGACAAATGGCACAAATATTACTATCACATAATCACAGTGCTTCCCCAAGGAGCGTAGTGTAAGTAAAGGGAATACAGGGCTTCCCAGTATGCAGTTTAAGGTTTGTCTCATGTTTTTTCTAATCGTCACATTGTGACAAATACTGCTAAAGGTTTGCAGTCGTGTTTCAGTAGCATGAATTAAGTTCTATGATTAGTAGAGTAGTGCCCATGTCTCGACGCACTATGTTAGAATAGTTTTTGGAAGGAGCAAAAGATATATATATATATATATATATATATATGCGATTGTTTTGTAAACGATAAGTTCGAAATATCTTCCAACTCCTTTTATGTAATGTTGTCTTTATTATATAGTGTCTTTCTAGTCAGTAAAACGTTTACAGACAAATGTGTCGAGGAAGAACCCTGGTGTCACACTAAATACCTTGCTATTGATATTCCTGAAAATGCCTTGTCAGTAAGTTAATCTTCTTAGAAATTGTTTTAATCAAAAATCTTATTCTAATTAAATATCGTTGTTTAAACTTTGTTTGATAATGCGAAGCCGTGGGTTCTTATTTAAGACTGATAAGTATGTATACGTGCATTTCAGTTTTCTAATGGTTTTTCGGTTGAAACTAGAAATGTGTTTGATTGTTTAAAATTCTGTAGTCATTCGAATTCTGATTTAAAATATCCATCGGTTGTTCAGCAAGAAGTAGTTTTAGAACCTTGGTCATGCGGTCGCGTACTTTAGCATAAGATGCTATCTAGCATATGAGTGTGATAGAAGAAGTCTGGATACAATCAAACCAACATATGGTATCATTTCATAAAGCCACGGACTTCTAGTTTGACACGTGTTTTGGACTCCAGACTTCTTGGTTTGAATTAGTCTACGTATCATAATCTATATTTGGAGAACCTAGGTAACACAGATCCAGATCTTTTAGCTTCACAGTTAAATCAACTTTTTAAAAGTCGTATTTAATGTCATTCTTTATTTTTATTTGCTATTTTATTCATTGTATTCTAAATGTATTTGCACTTTCAGTGCATTTGCCGTTTTTATCCCTGCTTGTCTACTTTCCTCCTTGTTAATTTTTTTTCTCTCTCGATAATGTTAATGTGAACTGTGGCAACTTATCGCAATCTTTTTCTTTGTCAGCTCTTACAGGGTTAGTAGTTGGTTGACAGGCCAGTTTATTTCTTTCCAGACCAAACGTCAACGGAGTTTAATTTCAAGACGTTGATATTTGTCCATTAAAATCCTACGTGTTCTTCCTTAAATACCATCTGCTTCAGTTTTTTTAGGAGTTAGCATTATCGAAATAGTTGATTAGTACTCATTCGTGAATAGCTATTATCTATAATATACATGAACTCCAAAAAATCATGTATGTAAAAGTTTAGAATAGATACAAAATTCACTACAACCCTTGGAAAAGGCCTTTAATTTTTTGCATGATGTGCAAGACTCCATCTCTAATTTTCGTCTACAGTTTAAAGTTTACTCGTCAGATTCATCATCGATAGATCCAACTATACTTTTTCTAGATCCATATGTATACTTCCGTTTCAATTAACTGTAATTATCAAATATAGTGTTCTTATCTGGGGTTTTTTCCAGAAACATATGAACTTCGGTTTTTATGTAGTCTCTGTGGTTAGGGGTGTTTAAGAGTGTTTATAATATAACAAACTTAGTATACTACTTAATTCACTACTTTGGGTGATTTTTAGGTTAAAGTTTAAGAAGTATTTTACTTTTTAGACCGTTTTGTTTTCAATTGTAACTAGCTATATATAGGCAATTAAAAATTTTAGAAGCATCAGTATTGTCATTTGTGCAGAAAATATTAGCCGTCATTGTTTAAATGTGTCACAGATTGGCTCTTTCATTAAACTGATTGATATCCATGTGTAAAGCTATCACTTCTCTATTAATTTCACGTTGTGAAAATTAAAAGATATTGATATGAGTTGTTTATATAGTTATGTGTTTACTGCAGCACTTCTCGTTCTGTTTTTTTTTTTGAGTTTTTTTGTTCCTGATTATTTGTTTCTTTGCGATAGGTATGGCGAAATAGTTCTACTAATCCTGAATTAAGATTCCCTGAGCCAAATCCATTCATTGCTACTGAATTTGATTTGGTGCAAAACAAATACCCCACAAATGCTGAAATACCGGAATTATTAATCGAAACAGATATGTCTCGTATTTGGTATTTTCAAGATAGAGAATTCAATCTTCCCAAAGGTTTTATCACATTTCATATTATCAGGTTCGTTTCTCTCTCTCAATTGTATTTATAAACAGTAGTGATTATTATACTGGATAATTGGATGCTATTTCTTTGCTAACACGGCATTAACTGGCTCATTATTATGCCATTTGTTAGGTACAGATTCTTGTACCTATCTTTGAGGGACACTGAGTTTGAGTGGTAGTAATACCATTCGATTGCTCAAATTGAAGTGAATGAAGCGGTATTTAAATCTGGGATTTTATCGAACTTATAATTAACTGATCCACCGCTCTACTTATTTAGTCATTAGAAGTTTATTTTCATTCTGATGGGGTGGTAGCTTAGTACTTAGTCGAATATTATAACTGCACATCGATCCAGACAGTAGGCTTAAATCACTAGAGGCCATAGGAATGATTCATCTCAAACCCGTGTACACTGATATATACTCGATATATCAGTCAGTCACTCAGCTACAAGGTGGGACCAAGCACATCTATGCATCGGCACAAGTTGCCACACCTCATTAGCACAACCAGATAGTCACCAAATTCATAAAAGTAGTCATTGCATTAGTAGTAATGTATAAAAGAAAGATTATGTATAAAGATTTAGTCCAGGAAGAAAGAATTAGTTGGAAAAACGAAAGATATAAAGCAATTTTAATTTCACACTTTAAGAGAAAATAAGGAGTATATATCTACACAATTGTGATAGATTCCGAGCCATTTCACTCAGAGCCTCCAACCGTCGGTTACGATAGTCGCACAGATCCCAACAAAGTAGTTTGCATCTGATATATCTGAAGCGCTAAGAATTCACTAGTAGCGAACGGAACAAAGACACGTGACCAGAGACCGATAACTAGCTATGCTGACGCGACCCAGACCCAGCTAACTTGAGTAAGAAGTCCAAGTTGGAGCGGGGAAGTTATATTCCGTAGCAGCCAGAAGCACAGTAATCAAATAAGGAAAAAGTCAAGCGTATTTATACAGTAACGAAATGTCCTTGGGCATCGTTAATAATTAGCACACACAAAGAAACAATGGACCAATAGCGTTTAAGATAGTTACAAGTGGGAAATATGATGTGAAGGTAATAAGAGCACGTTTTGGCGCGAAAACAGCTAAATTCAAATTTCCAAAATAAAATTACAAAATTGGGCCACTTATCAAGTAAGTTCTGGGGATTTGACATCCCCAACAGCATCTACCAAAATGGCTCAGACCAGAAGTTAGTTATATATCAGTTAAATTTATCTTGTAGTTGAAAGTTGATATTTTTTAATCCAATGAGATGTTTTGTACAGTTTGTTTACCATGTTTGTAAAATTTAATTAAATATCCTAACATTACTCTCTAATTATTTTGTTTGTAGTCCACTTGCATTTTTCGATCCTTTTCATACATCACTTTGTTTGATTTACGCAAATTTATTTGAGGATCATATTAATGAACTAACATATTCCTCTATGCTCGCTGGAATGACTGTTTATGTGAAACACACTGCTGAAGGTATCAAGGTAAGTTGATTTTGATGTAATTACTTTGAATAAATGTTGTTTTTGTATATTTATTATCTGTCTCTTCAAAAGCTAATTTGATTGGAATATAAACATTTGGGCTAATCAACAAAAAACCGTAGTTTACTTCCTATAGCTTGCATCACAAAATGGTCTTAACCAAAAAGCTACTGACAACTGTTTCTTCCTAGTGTGTGACTCTTCAGCAGCACGCATTCATGACTTTGCCCGGGTTCAGACTCGGGATCTTCGAACCTTGCGAGGAGCACTGTACCTGTATATCACTGAGTCGGTTTACATATCTGACTTTAATCAATCCGCAATATTGCTCTGCTATGCAGTGCTGTTGATTATTAACTGTTTCACTTGCAATTTAGTCGAGTTCTACTGGTCTCATTTCAACTCTGGGGATCACATTTCAAAATTAATTGCTAGTAAGCGCATGATTTTAGTTCTTTCTGTCATTTGATTTGCATTCTCATAAATGTTTGTTTGTTAGCTAACATTTTTAGGATATTCGCATAAATTGAAAAGTTTTGTCGAAGAAATTGCAACGGAATTTGTAAATTATCAACCAGCAACTGACCGTTTCGAATGTATTCGTGAGAATATGTCTCGAGAGTTTTCCAATTTCACAATGAAACCAGCTTATCAACAATCCGGTGCATATTTAACAAGTCTTATTTCAGATCATTCTTGGATCAGTGATGATTTTGTTCGTGCTTTTAAAGGTGAATATTCCTCATGAATGTTTTGTGTATTTAATCTCTTCCGTTAGTCATAAATAACGTTAAAACTTAACATCGATGTTCAATTATTTAAATTATCATACTTTACTATTAACCTACAAGGTGTAAATGAACAGCATAAAAAAGCATACACTTGAGAATAATTATATAAGTGCTTGTTAGAGCTAATGATCGCTAAGATAATTCATATTTTCTATATTATGGTATATATTTGTCAAATCAAGGTCTTAATTCATTTGATTCGCATGATCTCAAGCATTTTTACAATATTACTTTCATGGTACTGAAAAGTATATCTTGGAGCAATATCATATACACAAAATATTTCATCTGTATAGACAACCATAATTGCTCATGCAAACTCCAGATCATTTCAATCATATTTTTTGAATTATGCAAAATTTATGGAATGGATAATGCGAAAACAAAAAATGTATGAAAATTAGGTGCTAGACACTTCTTCAACCACTACTGTGTAGTACTAAGCATATACAAAAAAATAGTAGGAAACCCAATAGTTTTTAAGAGGCCTAAACATTTGCAACTTCCAAGTACTACGTTGGATAGATACCAATAGTCACTGCTTACTTTATAACTTTTACCCCTATGCCTATTTTTTTTCTATTTTATCCTAAATATCTTGAATGAACATTCCTTTTATAAATTGCAGTCTTGTCTGCTTAATATCTTCGGTACACTCAGTTACTCTACTGATGCTTCTCCTTGGTTCTAACATTAAAACCCAAGCCGTTAAAAAAAACTATCGATTTGACTACTTGCATTAGTTTAGATGGTCTCACCAGTCAATTGTTTCATCACGACAATATCCATAGTATCGCCTACGCTGCACTCGATGTACGTTTATGTCTTAGCCCTCTGATCGTATTGATGTATACCAGTCATTTCGTCATTATTAATGCTTACCGCTCACTACAGTGAATCTCACGTGATTCTGCTATTCCCATTTTCAAGTGGATGTTGATACGAAAACGAAAATCTGTTAAAGACTAATACGGAAGAATATTGTCGGCTACCTTAAATAATTTTGTCAATAATAGATATGAGCTTACAATAAAAAATAATAAACGTTCTGTTTACAAAATGTGTATATAGAAATAATTTGGTTACAATTAACAATATCAAAGTTCTAATTCAAAGTTTTCGATCAATGAATTTAATGAATTCAAATACAATTATATAAACTGTTTATGGAATCTTGTTTTTATATTCCTATCAAATAGTGTGCATATCGGATATGTAGTAAGGCTAGTTGTGGTTCCCAATAACAGTACAATGATTTTAATCTATCACTTCTGTATATAATAAACAGAATATCTTGAGTGCTGTTAGAGGTATAAGGATGGTTATCACTTCCAGGTTTCCTACATCGTGGAAGGGTTCTTCTAGAGGTACCTGAAAAGGAAACTGTGTTAGAGTTAGTCTTAGTAACCTGAGAGCGTGACCACAGTGCCCAAGAGACAACTGTTTGAAGCCGGTCACACAGTCTTTTTGTGAGTAATTTTTGTCTTAGCTCCAAACTTGTCGAGACATTACTACCGGTGACCGATATCCGTGGGATAAGGCAAGGTGTACATTTTTAGAGTCGACCTTTTATAACCCCACCTCTCCTTGTGGGAAGGCAGCATTGCTATTACGCTGGTTGTCTGAAGGGAACACCTTACTGTACAGTCAGCAATATGACTTCGCCCTCGGACCTATAGTTTGCTGTTTTTAGCCTCACCGCTCTTCAACGGACCTGTCTGGCATGGTAGGACCTTGAGGAACGATTGTTCCAGCCAGTATAGCTCGATTGGTTCATCACGATATGCAAGCTCGACCACCACGTCAAGGCAGTAGCAACGGTCGGGTCATTGTGTATTTAATTATTCCTCAAACATTTAATTTTCAATTCTGTCACTTAAATATATAAATCTTTTTATCATCTATAAATAAATTTTAATGAGTATTTTATCTTTAATGTAAACATAATTTTCTTGTGGTGTAATTATGTCGCTATGCTTCGACTGAAATCTACCAAATATTGTTCCCTGTTTCTGTATAATAATGGAAATACTTCTTTTCCCGCCTAGAAATTACGTACGAAAGGTTGATTAATTTCATCATGCAATTTCATGAACGCATTTTTATTGAAGGCTTTATCTACGGTAATATCACTGAAGAGGTGAGCATACAGTAATATATATATATATATATATATATATATATATATATATTACGATCACGACTTCTTTTATTAACGTCTGAAATCACTCAGTTGCATCCGCAGGGTATTATCAATATGTTTAACCACAGCCATCTTTCATCACACAAAGGTCACAGCCTCTTGTGATTGGTTGCTACGTGTTCGTACATTGATTTTTGTTGTTTACAGTATGCCTCACACTTGGGTACAGTTACAACGCTCCGGTTAAGTACAAATTACGTTACTTATACATACTGTACTATCAGTTTATATGTTAAGTTCATATACTTTATTCTAGCTACTGGCCAAGCCAATTCGCCTATCTATCACTAGTCATATTTTGATCTTGTTAATTATTCGCTTATTAAGCTTGACTATATTTTTAAATGTGCGTATATGTGTACCCTTCGTATCCTATTCATCATATGTCTGTCATTCATTTTTGTCTGATTATAAATATTGAGTAATGCTTGCTCATAGCAAGTTGGCTTCCCAGCCATCTCCAATGCGCATCGCTTTTGTTCGCCTCATCACTCTGATTCTCTGGCCAGATCAATGAGTGTAGAAAATATATGTATTTCAAATCCATTCTCGTATTTGACTTATTTAACTCCGTTATTCACCAACGCGGATAAAGTCATTTATTACATACGATGATAGACAGTACGTAAGATCAAAAAGAAATCAGATTTAAGCTACCACAACAATACTGTAGAGTATATCGTTTGTGTCTGCCACAGATAGTACTCTTTCCTCGAATAAAATCCAAATCATTATTATTCTTTTCTTCAAAAGCTGTGTTCTGCAACCTCATTGATCATAAAACTAGGATATTCGATATTATTATTTATTACAATTTCGACATAAAACATTTAGAGCACAACCATAAATGCCTTTAGGGTCTTGTGAAAATTCGGAAACAACTTTCAGGAGCGGTAGTTTTAAAAAGATTATTAAATATGTAATTTCTGTAGAAAAGGCCTAAACCTTGAATGAAATTATAACTAACGTGTTTTGTTACCTATTTCTCTAACGCTCTGATGCGTCTAAGGTTGAGGTGAGTCTATTGCCACTCTCAAAATTCTCATTAGGCCATGCTTTAATAGCCTCCGCCTTCTCAGTGCAGGGGCTGTTGTGTACAGAAGTGAGAGGATAGAAAACGGATGTTCGGTGTTTAAAGGGTGTTGATGAATATAGAGGATTCACCTGGGGGAGTTGAAAAACCCTTATTCTAAACCAATGGTACACATAAACTCTAGAATCCTGAGAGACTTTAGCGTATTTCATTTGGGTAATTCCATTTATTAAGTAACTAACGGACCTCTATAGATCGTTTTGAAAGAGGTTTTTCGGGAGAGGGGTGTAATATAGTGCTAATTTTCAGAGTTTTGGTTTAAATGAGTGTTGTAGAGTATAGAAGTTAAAAGTATTTTCTATATTAAAAAGAAAATAGTTTTAACAATTTGGTTTAATACTTCACTAATGTATCATCTTTTTTAACTGGTCATAGCGACGTTTCAATTTTCCCTTTATAGGATGCAATAAGTTATCACGAAATGATTCGGGGCTTGTTGGTACAGAAGATGACTTCTAAACCACTTTTATTGTCTCACATCTTAACCTCTCGAGAAGTAATAATTCCTGAAGGTAATCATCGTTGTCTACCACTTTTCTAGAAATACGGTTTATGGATTGTTTCTGACGTTTTTTTGACTATTATTCTAACTCTTTTGCAGTTTCTTTTTATTATAATTTACTTCCAAAAGTTGTATTTGAGGATTTTATATTTTATCTAATTAGCTATATTTGTGTTGTTTGCAAATAGTCAAATTGCTAACTGTATATAGCCTAATTTGCTAAACTTCTCACTTCTTGATAGGTTATTAGTATTTAACCGTAAATGCCTGTGTATGTTTGAACCATTGAGTAAGCAGTGTTAAGGTCAGGCGTAGATCTCTGACTAGTTGAAGATGCCGAATCGGTCAAGGAGGTCGTGAATCTCCATTTATTGCAATATCTGCGATATGTATTACATATGTCTAAACACGCCTACCACGATTAAGAGTCGGTTGGAAGAAATCTAGGGGCTAGTAAGTCAAGATGTTGCATCAGTTTGTAAAGTCAATAAATGTTAAACTGGACTGCGTAATTAGGTACAGACTACAGAATCATATTCTTTATACCGGACCTTTACTATTACCAGAGATAGAAAATTTACTTAAAGTTCTCTGGTATTTGTCTTGACGATTTCATCTCGTGACGATATAATGTGTCAGCTTGAACTGGTGCACATATGTGCAAGGTTCAGCCATATGTACGACTAATTGGCTCTTAGTCAAAGAAATCAATCGAAACCTGGTCCATTAGACAGTCACACTGTAGATTTCAATAACATACTTCATATGCTGTCATATAACAAGACTTGTACTGTAATCAAAACCTTTACTCATAATACTGTAAAAGGAAAGTTATTTGTTATCTGAATTGTAAACATGATTTATTTTGTTGATTATTCTCATTCTGATTGTTTTTCCTCTTTCTATTCAGATTCCAGTTTTCTTTATCAGCGATATATTTCCGGTCAACCAGCTTCTGCAATTTACTATTACCTTCAATGTGGTGAACAATCTACGCTTAACGATACATTGCTCAATTTGTTTTGTCAGATTGTTAACGAGCCTGTTTTCAATAAATTACGTACTGAACAACAGTTGGGTGAGTATTGTTGAAAATAGAGCACAAGAAAAATGTGCTATCAACTTCTAAATAGGCGGGGTATCAGTGCCTAAAGCTTCCAACTTTTAATCATGAATTTAGGGTTTTGGACCTCACTTGACTTGTTTCTATTCAAGCAACTTGGCAGTACCGCTGTCAAGTGCAAAAATCTGTGCCCCGTAAATGATAGAATAATAATTATTATCATCTTATGTATTAATTGAAAGCTAAATTATTTATCAATTTATTTTTAAATTAGACTGGTGTGTAACCGATCACGATTATATTTAAATTGATTTTGTAGATAATGCTACAAAGAATTAAGCAGAATCAGTCAGTCAGTTCTTTGTTCTTACTCTATTCAAGATAAAAGGAATTAAATGTATGAGATAATGCTACACCTGACATAAACTCGGGATGCAATTCTCTCCCTCAAAGTACAAAATGTTACTTCAGGATTGGGTTGCAGCGACACCTGAACTAGTGATAGGGAGTGAAGTAGTTGAGCGTGTTGACTGCTTCACTTATCTTGGGAGTCTCATCAGCCCTTGTGGTCTGGTGTGTGACGAAATCTCAGCACGGATACAGAAGGCTCGTCTAGCTTTCGCCAACTTGCGTCATTTATGGCGTAGGCGAGATATCCGTCTACCAACCAAAGGACGGGTTTATTGTGCAGCAGTTCGTTCCGTCCTACTTTATGGCAGTGAAAAATGGGTGGTAAGAGTAGAGGATATTCGTAGGCTACTAGTGTTCGATCATAGGTGTCTTCGAAGCATTGCTCGTATATCATAGGACCACCGAGTAAGTAATGCAGTTGTTAGGGAACGAGTACTAGGTAAGGATGGCAAATCGATTAATGAAGTAGTGAAACTTCATCAGTTGAGATGGCTGGGACACGTGTTACGTATGCCCAACCACCGACCGCCCCGACGAGCAATGTTTTATGGTGTAGGAGTAGGTTGGAAGAAAGCTAGGGGTGGCCAGACCAAAACGTGCCACAAATCGACGAAGTCACTGACAATTGGACTGAGCCATATTGGTAGGTGTAGACTAATTGGTTGGGATTCGCGAGATGATGGCAACCGATGGTTAGAGACCTTGAATGACATGGCTCAAAATCGTTTGCCATGGCGAAGGTGCATCCACTCTTTATGTTCTGCCAACTTCTAATCTTCTGAATTCCTCATGTCTCTATCTTTTTCTCTTTCCAAATTTATTTCACTGGATTATACTCCATCAATAACATCTTCAAAGCATAATCCTTCCGATTACTGCTTATACTCTTACTACTTCTACCACTATGGGATTTGAATCGACAACTGCATCTCTGTGCTAATGTGGTATGGCAACTCGAACTGATGTACGTACGTACGAAGTTCGACGTTGTGACTGACTGTATTTTACTTTAGTTTTATTAGATAGACCTTGTAATTTTTGTGATAATATTAGCTTATGTTGAATTTTATTTAGATTTGACTTATATTTTATCAACACATAGTTAACGATTCTATCGGCGTTTTATTTTCATGCTCACACTTAAGGTTATATTGTACAGGCTGGACTCCGACGATCCAACAAACTACAAGGTTTTCGTATTTTAGTGCAATCATCGTATCATCCTAATAAAATTGATAAATGTATCGAAGAATTTCTATTTACTGTAAATGTGAGTGTTACTGATTGTTTTCCTTGCATAAAACTATTTGCGTAATGGATTGTGATCTTTTGTGTTCTATCATTTATGCTTCCTTACAATGTGTACCTCTCCAATATAATAGATTGCACTTATTTATTTATTTAAACACATAAATATTGGTACAAGGAAGCACCAGATACATATGCGCCACACAAATCGAATGAGATTTGTGTGAGGTCTGTGATACTGCCTAGGTGCCCAAACTGAAACAGGTGGTTTTCTTAGGGGCCCACACCCGGAGCCTTTAACCTAAAGATCTGATCCACAAGGCAGTGGAGGAGATGCAGTCCCATAGTAGCCGGTGATCAACAATTGATTCGTACGCCATTTGTTCCTTCAGGATACTGGAGCCCATGTGCACCATTGGTTTAGAATAAGGGTTTTCCAACTCTTCTAGGTGGATCCTCCACATCCACCAACCCGGTTAAAGCTCCGGACATTCGCTTTTCGTCCTCTCAATTTCGTAAACAACAGTAATGCCACGAGAAGGCAGTGAGTAGGACTTCCCTGTCAGAGGCTATATATTCGCTGGCCATGTGAGAACATTTCGAGAGGGAGAGTGGACTCTCCCCACTCTCGGCCGTACCAGGGCATTCGGGGGCGATTGCACTTACATACAGACTCGTAGATGCATGCTTCTCACTTTTGCTTACATATTGGTATTTTAGAAACTGTTAGAAGATATGTCTGACGAAGAATTTAATGTTCATGTACAATCCCTCTTGACACATTTACTGGAAAAACCGAAAGGTATGCAAGATCGATTTGGGCGTTTATGGTCTGAAATTGCTTGTAGACATTATAATTTCAAGCGAAGTAAGTTCATTTTATTGATACTGTTACGGTTGTTTAATTTGTGAATTGATGATAACTCAAAAATCAGTAGGTAAGTGTTAATACGTTGTTTTTCATTAAATTAAAAGTATTGTGAAAACTTTATTCGTGATGATGTTGCAACTGATAGTTTATTCACCAAACCAATTCTAAATTCTAACCAAATGCATTTCACATATTTATGTTGAATATATATTACATATCTGAAACTGTTAGATATATTTTAAGTGATCAAAGAGATCACTATGGCTTGTCAAATAAAGAGCTGATGAATCACCCATGATTGTTAGATTCATATTTAAGTCGATTCCAATACATCGTTTCTTATTTTATGTAAGTTCGAAATGTGTATGCTATATTTTTAAAGTTGTTGTTTCTAGCATTTAACGCTTAGAATGCTTATCATCCAAAGTATTTGTTAATGAAAACAAGCTTTTCAAAGTCTAATGCGTTAATACTTAACTGTTAAAAGAATGATCTACTAATGTTTATTTAATGTTACAGATTATTTTCATCGGAAATATTCCTTATAATTACTGATCTTATTTATATGTAGGCCTTCAGTAATCAGTTTGTGTTGGATTATGTAGATTCAATGTTAACTGATGCCTCTATTCAGCGTTGATTTGCAAATTGCTTATGTTCAGAACATTGACTTTCATTTGAATTCAGAGTGACTGTTTTCTTTAATCTCAGTCTTTACTACAATTATCTACATCCTAGCTCTTCCGCTGAATCTTGTTGAACCCTGTGTGAATAGTTTTAATCTCGATAGAGTTATCTGATTCACACCATTCAGTAAATGCTTTGCGAACGACATATTCATATACTCAACAAAATAAATCTCAGAAATGAACGTTTAATATGGATAAACGATTAGCTTCAACACATGTTGTACTGTTTAAAAACAACAAAAATTTCTACCGTCCTATTCAATTGAAGATATTTTACATTTAATAATAATTTGTTTTCTTTATCTTTAAGATTTACATGAAGCCGACGTGCTGAAATCGCTTAAAAAGAATGATGTTATCGATTTCTTTAAAGTACGTGTAACTCAACAAGACACTTATCTTTTCTACTTTTAATTTAAAGTTGTATAAGTTTCATTTGTCTATTTTTCTTTTGGAAAAAAGTCATGTTATGGCAAAATCGTAGCTCCGTAAGATTATATGTGTAATATCCAGCTTCGTGTTGACTTTGTGAATATTGTTAATTAATCTGTTCAGTAGAATGATTTAAGGAACCATATCACCTGCTTACTGAAATAACTCGACCTTAGTTGTATCACATTCAAGTTACAAACATTTTAAAAACTCCTACAGCCTAATCTGCTGTTGTGCCGTAATAACTTGACTTCACAATAGAATAATTTATTTCCATTAGTTAAAGATTCCGTATTCGAATTTCGGTATTTCAATATTTAGTTAGCTATAGTTTATGTGTAAAATAAATCGATTCACGTAGGCGATTCTACATTGTTTTCTTCTTAAATAGATATTTTGATGCTGGTCGCTAGTTCGAACAGTAGAGGTTGTAGTGTCAGTTGCTATGTCAAGCCCACATAGTTTATTCTAGCTTCTGACCAATTTATGCATTCTTCTTGAGTCACATTTTGACCTTGCTAATGATTTGCTTAGAAACATGGACTGTTTTTATGTATGCACATGTGTGTTCATTTCTTATCTCACTCATCACATATACAACTTATTTTTATCTAACTATAAATATCGATTCACACTTGGCTAACCCACACGCCTTCTCCACTGGACGTCGTTTCACTCTACTCTCTTCTCTTCTCCGATCTTTTGTCTAGACCAACGATTTTATGAAATATACGTATTCGATATATATATATTGAAATAAACTTTTGTAGCTAATGTTCATCAACTAAATTGTACAATTTTTTCACAGCTTGATCGATCATGTCAAATGTTTTTCATGCTGAAGTTTTGCTTGGATCTTTTCAGGAGCATTTTTACATAAACAAGTGGACTTACTATAATCTATCACTCCTGAAATTATCTTCTTTGAAACAGTGCAATCATGTTTCTCATTCTTAAACTGAATAAACTTTATAGATTGGATAGTTTAGGGATTAATAAATAGTTTACATCTAATCAGTTATTATTATTATTATTACCTTATAAATAGTTTACATATTTATTTTGTATTGAAACATAGTCGACTGGAGACTTCATCGTTACTTATTGATCATTTTTTATGAAATTTAGAGGCATATGGATCCATCATCATGTACAAGGAGAAAATTAACGGTTCATGTATTATCGAATGAAAAGCATTCTTGTGATTCAGAATACAATAATCATGATGAGAAGGTCAGTATGAATGTATATATAATGCTGACATTGTTTTATTTTCATAAAATGAGATGGCATTTTTCAGTATTCATTGCAGTAAATATCGATAAGTTTTTGTGCTTATGTCGTAAACACTTTTCTGTAATTTGGATAATTTGACCCACGAATCGATCAATCATCCATGAAATACAACTTAGTTCAGATGTTTATCCGCTGAATTTGTGACACAGAATTACCAGTACAAGGAATAGAGAATTTTTAAAATGTGAAAGTACATAATGTTCATTTCATTTCTTCATCTGATGTTGTATTCGATACACTATTGTTTCTTTCCCATGTTTTAATCTCAACATTGTCTCGTAATTTTCTATTTCAATTCAGTAGTCTAAACAAATGATCTACATAACTAAAATAGACATACAATCCCGTTGAACTTCTCTCACGAAAACTTTTTTAGTGCCCCTAGCATTAATTCATCCTACATTTTACCTCGTGATTTATTACACCTGATCGCTTATAAATGGTCTTCGTTGGCCGGCAACCCCCATCTTTTTGTTGTAATTATGCTATTACTATCAGACTTGTAAAGTGAAAGCATACTTACCATAATAACTGTTCGTCGATATTTCGCAACGTTCATAACAGATTTATCTAAAATCAATAAAATTGGGGAAAAAAACTTCTCTGTGATTAGTATGATAACAGATATCTGATTTCTATATCATAATCCTGAATCTATTATTAATCAACGTTTGACTACTGGCCGATTAGCTACCTAGATTGTTGTTGTTTTCTTTTAAAAGGGCAAGTTATTTTATATGGATGTAACATTTATATACTCAAATGACACTTCTGACATTATACTCAGGCTTCCAATATTTTTGTCCTTTTCTAGGTGAGATGTCACTTTTAACCATATATATTTCTGAAACATAAACATGACACCTACGTATGTCTATTAACCTTACATTACTGTTCAACAAACGAAGTTGTCAACTGCTAATTAATCTTTTTCCGTCCATAAGTAATATTTCGGTGGATATGAATATCAAGTGCGTTTTTGAACTAAATTCCTCATACTGGTCAACAAACTTCTTAAAAATGCGGAGTATTCATGGCACCCAATAGTAACGTTGATTGATTTAATCTATCCGTTCCCAATTCAAGTTGCACAAAGCATGGTTACCGTATTCCAACATGTGAGATTTTCTCATTTGTAGATGACTTCATCATCTGTGTATTAACATTTTTGCGATTAGGTCATGGCAATCAAGCAAGTCAGTAAAGATAACTTGAGGTGAATAATTAAATTGGTGTGTCAAACCCAATCATACGAGCAAGGCATCATCTTGTTTCGTTGCTTTTGAGACATGGATCACTGTGTAAAAAATTGACCGGATTTCTAAAATTTAATTGTGCGGTAAACTGCTCGATTTGTCTAAGTTATCCACAGCCTCATAGGTTACAAAATAACTAATTTTTCGCTACTTTCAATTTTCCCTTAGCCGATATTAAATGACCTACGACATGAATGATATTATTTGCTTTCTTCCAGTGCTTACATTTTACCATATTTCTTTTTTCTTAGTTTATTGATTGGTATGTAAACTGAAGCCTATCTACATTGATTTTTTCTTTGGTTTAGGTAATTGTTTTAAAGGATTACACTGAATTGAAACGTTGTTGTCCTTTGAGTGCTTTACCGAGACCATTCATGATGTTCACATCCAAATGTGAAGGGAATGTTCTGCGGTTTTAATTCGGTTTTCTGGATGATATATTTAAAGATATTTAATATATGGGTCATTTGGTGATCGTCAAAACGTGTCATTTTCAAGGTTTCATATCTTCTACATTGTCTTCACTTTCTTCACGGAGAAATCTTGGATTAAAATCACCTTTAGACAGGTTTCAATTATAAAATCCCCGGACGAATATTAACAAGAATTAATCGTCCCGTTACTTATGTGCCCAGTTATTTGTCAAATTATTAGGTCCTAACTTTTCTTTGTATCTTCATCAACCAAGTTCTCTTCATGTTTTAGTTTTTGTTTGCTGTACAGATTTTAAAGATTTCTTGCAGTTGTTCCCAGGCTTTCATATTCCTCCTTGATTTTATGTTCTTTTCGTCTACCGTATTTTTCAAATACACATATAAACTGACTTGGTTTTTTTCCTTTATGATACATAGTACACGTTCATTGATAGGTCATGACAAACGACTGATTGTAGAAACATTTATGAGATCCAATCATATAAATATATTGCTTTTGACTTGGTCCTAATTTGAAGGCATACGTAAGACATTGTAGCCATTTTTTCACAAATGACGGTATTGTTTTTCTACCGTCTTATTATTCGTAGACTAAGTGTGCTTGTCAAAGACTATCATATTTCATCATTTTCGTTAGTTCTAAACTTTCCACCACGTAACTATAAAAGCGAACGTATAGGTTGTTATGCAAGTACATAAAACAAACTATGAGTTAATAGTAACGAATCTAAACGGTGAATATCGGAACACCAGGACAGCATGTTATACATTTCGCTAACTATTTATGTATCTTTTTATTTGAACACAAAAACTTCGGTACAAGGCGGCACCAGACATATATGCACCACACTGTAGGTTTAGTATCATTACCTTTGAAAATAACTGCAAATAGCAAGTCGAAGTAAACCATCAAAACCCTTATATTGAAGGCAAAAGGCTTGTTTTGCTAGCTTCGAATTCGACATTTATTTATTATTAGCTTTGATATTTTATTTCTGGTAAAAATACAGAATTCTCAGCATAATTTGTTTCAAGTTGTCGTTTCTTACTTCTTGGTCGATCCTGACGATAAATATTCAGTGGTCGCTAGTTGGATGTTAGCATTTTAGGAATCGACATTGGGATGATGTTCATTCTTTCAATGTACATTGTTAGCAACGACGGTATCTCTGATTGGGGCACCTGAATAGGTCATGCGATTAATAGCCATACTGATGTACTAAAGCAAACTAAAAAATAGATAGCTTGTTGAAATATCTGGATGGCAGAAACAGGTAACCCAGATGTTCAAACAGGTCAACATGCGTTATCTACACTCTTCCTGTCATCATGTGGACATGTGTTTCGTTTACTTCAGGCGTCCGCTGTCTGACATCAATATCAACACGATATTATTCATGAAATACACATCTTCCGTAATAAGGAGAGTAGGTTGATGAACCTGTGTTAATCCTGACAGATTTCCTTCCAGTGAAGGTCTAGCTTCTTTTTGAAAATGTTCACTGATGGTGCTGATACCACTTGTTCTGGTAAAGCGTTCCAATCATTGACCACTCGATGAGAAAAACGGGACCCCACCTTTAGTTTATTAGATCGCGGTTTCAGAACCTTCTTCCTATGACCCCGGAGATTATTAGTGCTGGAGGGAGCAAAAAGATAAGACATATTAACACCCAGATCATAATTAAAGATACGAAATGCCAGTATCAGGTCACCTCGCGTCCTACGATAAGATAAGGGGAAAGGTTTAGACGTTTTAAACGCTCATCGTAAGGGAGTTTGGAAAGACCCTTTACTAATTTTGTCCCTACACGCTCAAGCGATTTAGTATCCTTTATCAGACAAGGGCTAGCCGCTTGGATACAGTATTCTAAGTGTGGCCTTACATAGGTGGGATATAAAATTCGAAACATATCTTCGTCAAAGCATTTAAATGCTCTGCGAAGCGACCATAGCGCGCGATAGCCTTTGGAAGCAACCGCATTGCAGTGCGTAGTAGTTTTTAAGTCGTGACTTATAATTACTCCTAAGTCTTTATGCGTATGAACGCGTGGCAGAGATGTACCATTAATGGTATAGTGGTAACTAATATCGTGTTCTGATGTGCATGAACACGCTCTTCCTGGAATTAACTTCCAGGCCCCAATCATGAGCCCACCTAACTAATTCGTCTAAATCTGCTTGCAGATAACAACGATCAGTCTCATTTCTTATTGTTCTCCAGATTTTAACATCATCCGCAAACAATAACGTCGACGACTTAAGTAATAAAGGTAGTTCATTAATATACAGAAGGAAAAGTAAAGGGCCCGAGATGCTGCCTTGGGGTACACCACTTCTGACCGGTTTCCATTCGGATAGAGTTCCATTGACCCTCACTCTCTGTCTGCGGTCACATAAGAAGCTTCCTATCCATTCCTGTATAGCACCTGTTATACCAAAGCTCGAGAGCTTGTGCATAAGACCTAAGTGTGAAACCTTATCAAATGCTTTGCTAAAATCTATAAATATCACGTCGACAGACTGGCCGTTGTCTAGGGCAGCTGTCCAATCCTCTCTCGCAATGAGTAAGTTAGTCAAGCATGAATGCTTATTACGAAACCCATGTTGCTCGGGGGTTAACAGATTGTACGAATCTATGTGGCTCAGTTGCTTAGCCCGAATTAATTTTTCAAGTAACTTAACTACTATACTGGTCAGGCTAACAGGCCGGTAGTTAGATACTATCCGTCTCTGACCATCCTTAAATATAGGACTAACTATGGCGTCTTTCCAGTCTCTAGGTAGTTGAGCCTGTGAAGGGGACATGTTGAAGAGCATCGTGAGTGGTCTTGAGATAATGTCCGCAAGCGACGACAGAAAACGTGGGTGTAACCCATCGGGGCCCGGTATCTCACAAGGTTTTAGGCTAGTTCTCAAAGGAAGAACAATATCCTCTGTCACGTGTAAAGGTCCTATGGCTGGTATCTCATTGTCAACGGGAAAAGTAGTTGTATCACTACACGTAGAGTAGACTTCACTGAAATAGTTAGCAAATGTCTCCGCTTTCGCTAGATCAGATTCAGCCAATAAAGCTGAATTTTCGCTTAACAGTAATGAGGGGATACCATCACTATTTTTCGTCCGCCTTTTAACATACGAAAACAGTCGCTTCGGACAGGTACGGCTATCGTATGCCAACTGTCGTTCGTAAGCCGTGTGGGATTTAGCTATGGTCTTTTTACATATATTCCGGATTTTTTTATATTCGCACTTAAATGATGCCTGACCTGTTGACAAGAATAAGTCCCAGAAGTGTTTCCTACGCTTCAACAGCTTCCGGGTTTCCTTATTAATCCATTGGGGGGCAATATGATAGCTTACGTGCTGACCATGGGATAAACGGTTGCTAAAGTTTGAACATATTTATTAACTTAATTCCCGTGAGTGAATAGCGGAATAAAATGGATCAAATACTAGGACGAAACCCGAGTGCATATATAATTATTAACGCAGATAGGCTGTTTGAGTAAAGAAGTGTATAGGAGAGGCCGGATGTGTCTACCTAAAATAGTACCCATCAGGAGCACTTGTATAACTTAAAATAAATAACGAACGGTACAACAACAAGAAGGACACTGAATAAAAGGATGTGCACAGAAACAAAGACAAGCAAACATGAAAAATATAGGCGTAGAAATGCGAGTAGTGGGTAGATATGTTAAAGGTTACTTTTTTCTATGAAACGAATGGAGCTAATAAGAACGTAAAACTGCTGTACTGACCTACTTTTACAACGAGAACGTGATTGGTGTAATGGAAACAACTATTATTATAACCAATTGTACCAGTGGTTGTTTTACTGTGCTTGTACCAAACGCACTTTTCCTTCCGTTGTATATTTCACTTCTACGAACGAGCTTACGCTCCCCTATTTCACCTGTAATCTTTGGTACGTCTAGGTGTTGTCGCGAGATCGCCAACAAATATAACTTATAGTTAAGATCATGAGTCAACTGAGGCTAGACCACCATCGAAAACCTGGAAGCACTGGACGGCCGTTTCGTCCTATTATGGGACTAAATCTCCACAAAAACCCCCCTTGTGATAAATATAACTTATCCGGATCATCAACAGCCTTCTTGTTTTTGGCCTACCGAAATGTGCAAGCCGATATCTGGCACGTAATCTTATTGTACTGGCGATCATCGTCAATCGTGACTCGACACCATCTACATCTGGTGAGCCTGACGTGATTCGAACACAGCCTCCTGCCTAATTAGTTACTAATGTTTGAATAACTAAAGACTGTTCAAAAGTTAGGAATAGCCACGTTGATAATCTCAATTAAAAAGAACCTGATTTATTATTATTCCGTTATCACTGTTATTTTTTCTCTCTTTTCTTTTATTCAAACGTGGTAGACGTTATGTTAACATTATCGATACCTGTGTATTATTGCATTACTGAAGAAACCTGAGATGGTTTCTTTACAAAACGTACGTACCCATAAGATGTTTATGAATAATAATGGCTCTTGGAAATCTATAGTTGACCGAAAATTTTTCGAACATATGATTTACCCGGGAATTATCCGACAGTAGTATTTCCCATTGGTATCGTCTTTGCACAGATTCTCTGAAAGAGATAGCTGTTGAATATCGGTGACTTGACATAAAAGCCTACCTCGTCTTCCAATTATTCAAAAACCATGGCAATACCACAATCATTCAGGAATGCCAGATTGGTACTGATTGACTCGATTTTTTTCATGCTGCTTACAACCAAGGTAGTCACCCTAGGGAAAGCAAAAATGAGATCATTTTGGATCATCTAGAAATGATCGTAGTGAAGCAGTTTCACACAATTCATACAGGTCATAAGCTCTTAACAGACCATTATCTTAGAAATCCGTAAACCATCACTTTATATGACAACGCAGAAAACAATTCTCCACAAGTAAAGCACGTCAAGGCATTCATCAGTATCGCCATAGACGTTCTCGG